AAATGTTTTAATTAATGCTGGTTTTATTGTTTCTGCAACTCGTTTAGAGGCTCTATTGACAATCAATTAGTATATGGATTTTGTTCAATAACATGCCCCAAAATCATGCCCTGAATTATTTTTTTAAAACGAATAATACATGGCATGTATTTCAGTACCCCTCACTTTGCACCTCTTTTACACACAAACACACACGCACACACTCCGTCTTGTACAGATGGATAACAGGTGCAAAAATAACGGAATTACTCAAATATAGGGGGGCGAAGGCACCTCGCCCTCCCCCCGTTGGCTCCTTATATGCCCCCGCTGTCCTTGAGCCCCGGGCGCGGAGCGATGGGCAGAGGCGGGGCCGCGGCGGCGAGGCGGAGCTCCGGCTCTTGTCTGGCGCCGCCGCCGCCTCCTCTGGCGCAGTCCGGGCTCGGCTCCGTCGCTCGCTTGCTGTCGCCGCCGCCTGCCGTCTGGGCAGCCTCGACCTCCCGTCCAACCCAGAGGGAGCGATGGGCCCAGCGCTGCTGCTCGCGCTGCTCTCGGGCCTCGGAGCCGCCAAGGTAGGCGATTCGAACCCAGAACCGGCGCCGGAGCATCAGCCCGCCGGGCGGGCAGGATGACCGGGGACGCGAGCCACTTGCGGGATGGGCGAGCATCCGCGGAGGGGCGAGGGGTGACGGGTGCCGGGTTATCTGGGGACTCCACACCCAGAGGACACGTAGACTAGCCCCTGGCCCTGCGCTTGGCTTCCTTGCTGGAGCGATCCAGAACCATTGGGCTCTGCCGGCACTTTTCTGTGGCGCACCTGCTTTTCTGCCTCTGCGCAGCCAGCCGCGCTCTGGAGGGCGCGCATCTGATTTCTGTAGATGACTGAATAGTCGTCGTTGGCAGCCCAGGGAGAAAGGAGAGGCGTGGGGGGCACCCAAGAGCTGAATTAATGGGGCATGTGGGATGTGGGGGGATGAGAGCGTTCTTCATTCAATGATGGTGATCTGGAATAAGGATGCTCTCCAAACCGTGCAGGACACTTGGCAATCTGCGTGTGTTCTGTGCTGGGAAGCAAAAAACAGCGAGTCATTTGTGCATCAATTTCACCCGCCGATCCCAAAAAAAAGGGCGCTCGTGTGTTGTGCGTGTGCTTGTGACTCATGCCTGTTCCCTCTGTTGAGCAACTGGGGGCTTTTGTGGGTGGAAAGGTAAAGGATGCGTTACGAATTCAGCTCCATCGTTTCCAAGAATTACGCACAGCAGAAGAAGCGTGTGCATGTGTGCAAAGGGCCGAGCGAGTGCTGGGGGGCCGTTGCTGTGTACAAAGTGTGGGTGCGCGGGACTAAGGATGGCTAAGGGTGTGGGCTTTTGTGGAAAGAGTGTGACGGGTGCAGCCAAGTTGCGGGGGTGCGTCTGTGTGTGTGATATCCGAGTTGAGCAGATGGGCCCCAAAAGAAGTACACCGTTATTTTTGCACCTGTTATCCATCTGTACAAGACGGAGTGTGTGCGTGTGTTTGTGTGTAAAAGAGGTGCAAGTGAGGGGTACTGAAATACATCCATGTATTATTCGTTTTAAAAATAATTCAGGGCATGTATTTTGGGGCATGTTATTGGAACAAAATCCATATACTAATGATTGTCAATAGAGCCTCTAAACGAGTTGCAGAACAATAAAACCAGCATTAAAATTAAAACATTTTTTAAAATGCCCAATAAAAGACAAGAGTAAAAGCAGGAATGGGAAATATATATCATAGAATACTTAAAATCTGCAATAAACTGGAAACATCTATAAAGACACAATTTTTCATCGATGGGGCTTTATGTCCGTGGGCCTGTCTGCTGTGCGCTGCCACCCATCTCAGCTGTAGGAGTCTTGACTCCTTATTAAGGGGCAGGGGTAGTTTTGAACAAAGCCAGAGGCAGATTGGATGTTGCGAGCCCCGCTTAGCTCAGGAGAGCCTCACAACCACCAAAGTGATTTCTCAGTGTACCCAAACCAACCAGGCTTCCCAGCATCTATCCTTCCTGGTGGTTGTGACTAACTCTGCAGGAAGACTGCGGAGGACCTTCCACCGTGACACATCCTCAAGGGCTTCTGTGCACATCCTTGCATTGATGCCCGCCCTTAGTCTGGCCCACCTGCCTCCTCTAACTGGGAGATTCCCCCTTGCCCCCATTTCCAGAGGGTCTTTCAGCTCCTGAATCTTGATTATGGCTCAAGTAAATTTCTCCATTTGGGTAGGCGTTAGTCAGAGGAAGTTTGGTTACTGGTCCTCAGATGTGAGATGGGTGCATGGTGCAAATTGATATGTTGATAATAACAATGATGTTAATCATTATTAATGATTAGTAATGCCCTGAAATTTGGCTGCTGTTAGTTACGTAGATATGGCTTATATATGAAGGACATGTGGTGATTTGCAATAACCAGTTTGCAATTGGGAAAAGAGTGTGGCTGGTATAGATCGTATTTGTGTGTATTGGGCTGGTAGGTCTGAACTTGGAAACAGGCTTCTGTCTATGTGTGTGGTACACACACACACACACACACACACACACAAATTCAGCCTTTGTTGTTCTGTCTTCATCAAAGCCTTTTTACAAATGTGAAGAAAAATAGAAAAATGGATGTGATTCTAACCAATTATACCATCTGGAGATGCAGAAATATAAACACCTACATCTACAAAGGGAGAAGCAAAAATGCCATACTATGGCAGCCAAGAGGCAAAATAGTTTATTGTGACGTGAGCTTTTCAGTCCCCACAACTGGTCCTGCGAACATCTACTGCGAATGATACAATAAACCAGTTGCTTCACCAGAAAACCATCTCATTTTCTGTCCTTTGGCTGTTGCAGACTTATTGCAGTTCCCAGAAATCTGACAAAAATCCAGAGTGAAACCAAGGAGAAAAATCTGGAAAGAGTCTAACAGAAGGGTCTCAGGCATAGTCTAGTTTTCAGGCTTGGCTTTTTATTTTTTATTTTTTTTAAGTCTCTAGCTGATGTTCTTCTAGACGTCAGAGCAGGAAATGTGCAGGCAGTTTTCAGCTCAATTACTCACTCGAAATTAAATCTGCCTCTGCTTTGTAGTATTCACCCCCACGCCTCTCCTAGCCATGACGCTCACTGAGTAATGCTTGATAATTCAGCATGCAGTGGTACCTCTGGTTGCAAATGGGATCCGTTCCAGAGGCCCGTTCGCAACATGAAAAGCCCGCAACCTGAAGCGCTGTATCTGCGCAGGTGCGCGGCGTGATTTGGTGCTTGTGCACATGCGCGAAGCGAGATTTTGTGCTACTATAATAACAATAATAATAATTTACTATTTATACCCCACCCATCTGGCTGGGTCTCCCCAGCCACCCTGGGTGGCTTCCAACAAAGTATTAAAATACAGTGGTCTGTGGGTTTTTTAAAATGTATTTTTATTAAAGATTTTCTTGATTTACAAAGGTATGTTCAAAGTCTCTCTCTCGTATTTTTTGTTTTCCATGTAACATTTTTTTTTTACAAATTGGTTTCATTTGTTGAGACATTAGGAGGAATAGGGAGAAAGAGGTGGAGGGGGGAAATATGAGTGGGGGTGGGGTCAGGTGGTGAATACAGTGGTCTGTTAAACATTAAAAGCTTCCCTAAACAGGGCTGCCTTCAGATGCGCGTGCTGTGCATGCGCGAGCGGCAAAACCCGGAAGTAACCCTTTCTGGTACTTCTGGGTCACTGTGGGACGCAACCTGAAAAAACATAACATGAAGCAAACGTAACATGAGGTATGACTGTAGTTGTGCCTAAACACCAGGGCTGATCCAAGATGTTTTGCTGCTGGAGGCAGAACAGCAAATGACACCTGCACCTCCAAAAGTCAAGGTGCATCGTGAGCAAGACGGACTGAGTTAGAATTGTGGAGCTGGAAGGGACCCTGAGAGTCATCTAGTCCAACCCCCAGCAAAGCAGGAATCTCAGCTAGCATCCCTGACAGATGGCCATCCAGCCTCTCATTGAAAACCTCCAAGGAAGGAGACTTTGCCGCCATCCAAGGGAGACCATTCCGCCACTGAACAGCTCTTACTGTCAGAAAGTTCTTCCTAATGTTTTGTTGGAATCGCCTTTCTTGTACAGCGGTACCTCGGATTAAGTACTTAATTCGTCCCGGAGGTCCGTTCTTAACCTGAAACTGTTCTTAACCTGAAGCACCACTTTAGCTAATGGGGCTTCCTGCTGCTGGCATGCCACCGGCACGTGATTTCTGTTCTCAGCCTGAGGTAAAGTTCTTAACCTGAAGCACTATTTGTGGGTTAGTGGAGTCTGTAACCTGAAGCATATGTAACCCGAGGTACCACTGTAACTTGAATCCTCTGGAGCAGGAGAAAATAAGCTTGTTATTATGGCACCTGAGGCATAAAATCCCACAAATTCGTTTCCCTGGGAGTAAAAAAAAATGCAACGGCAATAAATTCAATAACCATTTGCTGTTCTTTTGGGACACTCAGAATGATCTTCCTGCGGCAGTTACCGCAACACCGTGTCCTGCCAGGACCTTGTTGGTTTCGTTTCAAAGGCTAAGCGCATCCCCTTGCTAAAACCAATAAGGTCACATCCACACGATAGATTTAAAGCACGTGGCTTCCCCCAAAGGACCCTGGGAATAGTAGTTTGTTAAGGCTACTGGGAATGGTAGCTCCATGTGGGATAAACTAGTTTCCAGAATTGCTTGGGAGAAACCAGGACTGTCAAAACTATTGTAAATTTGCTTTAAATGCATGGTGTGGGTGTTACCTAAGTGTTTTGTTTTCGGTTGAAGTGTGCCTTTTACCATTTTTGTTTTCACTTTAATTCTTAAATTACTTTAAATGGCTTTTTCGTACTTCGCTGTTGTTGTAAACAAAATCTGCCCTTCTTCTCTTATGGGGGTACCCAAGAGCCCATATGGAGTCCTTAAGTGGCTTACCTATTGGTAGGTGAAAATAACAGAGGCCAACCAGAGAATATTGAGAAGCAAACCAGCTAGTAAGCCTGATCTTTATTAAAGCTGTTGCAGCAGGGTGCTCCCCTCACAGGCAGGAGGATGGAGGAGGACACAGAACAAAGGTGTCCCTGCCCTTATATAGACAATTTAAATTCCCTGCCCTGGAGCTCAAGACCACCCCTCCATACATCATACATACATCACAGAAGGTGTGTAACCCAAGACCACCACCCATAAACATCATACCTACATCACAGAAAAGGCGGTCTACAACAGAAATTTGAATGTTGTTGTTTTTCCTGTCGGCCAGGTTATCTGATAATGCCTTTCCTGGTAGTCTGGCCATTCCTTTGAGATGGTGATTACCCAATTCCTGAGACAATGGGAAGGTTCCCTCACCCCCTCCCTCCTTGCAGGGAAAACATTTGGTCAGTTTGGGAGTCAAAATGGTTTCAGGCCGGTCTTCCTGTGCTTCTCCAGACATGTGGTCCACATATCTATGTATGTGCTTGGTTGCTACATTTATGAACATTTATTATATATAAAAGACCTTAAATTTTTTATCATACTGTTCCATATTGAAGTATGATGGCCCACACCACGAAATGCCCAGCGACTGGCTTGCTGTGGGGCAGAGGTGGTATCGTGCCCCCCTCCCTGCGGTTGCTGCCAGCCTGACTTCTGACCTTTCCTTAAAATTCAGTTTGCATTCTTTCCCCATTTCTTACAGCCTCTCCCCAGCACAGGGGGCTCCCGTGGAGGGCTGAACCACAACTTACCTGGGGGAGCCCGAAGGGTTCGGCGGGAGCTGCAGGGAGTGCCCTACGAGGCGGTCGAGTCTGCATTGGCCAATGAGGTGTATTACCCCGAACTTGTCCGGCTGGCAGCGATGGAGAGAGCCATGTCGTCCCCTGGTGGCCAGCTGCAGGAAGAGCACCTCGCCCAAGCCTTAGAGAGAGCCATGGCCGCCTCCGGTAACCAACTGCAAGATGACCGCTTGGCCCAGGCGCTAGAGAGAGCGGTGGCACCGCCCGGGAACCAGTTCCAACCAGACGAACGCTTGGCCCTCGCTCTGCAGCGCCTCCTTCAGGACGGGCATCGCCGGGACCAGGAGTCTGCCTATCTGGCCAACTTGCTCAGGCTTTGGGAAGAAGCAAAAGGGGCCCCGTTGTACCCAGAGTATGATGAGACCGGCTTAGCAGGCAACTCCTTCCCACCTCAAACACAGCGCAATCGCCACTGGGTCCCAGAAGGAGGATTTGAACCCCAAGAGGAGCTGGGAGGGGAGGAAGAACCCACTGGGGAGATGGACCCAGAGATGCTGAGGTAGCTGGAATGGGGTCCCATTTCTGAGCTAGGGCTTAGCCCCAGAACCTGTTTTGAATGTCATTCTCAGCTGTGTAACACAGGAAGCAATAAAGAAGGGAGTGCCTATGACATAGCTGTCAACTTTTCCCTTTTTTAAAGGGAAATTCCCTTATTCCAAATAGGATTCCTCACAAGAAAAGGGGAAAGTTGACAGCTATGGCCTATGAGCATGTGCAGAATGCCCACATATCGTCCTCCATCACAGAATAAACTCAGGCTGCCTTCGTACACCTGTCTTTTTATATAGAATATATAATTAAAATAACAAGGTAGTACATTCGAGGAAACAGTTAATGGAACAGGAAGTGGTACATAAGAAATTTCAGTGGCAGTTTATATTTCCAGTGGCAGTAAAGCATTTTCCTGGTTTCAGGTGTGGGGCTATGTATGCGTGACTATCTCCACTTTTTTTTTAACCATGCATATAGAAAAGTAGCTTGTCGTGGAGAAGAGTTCACCCAGCCTTCTCCCTGGCAAGCTCTTTGTCCAAATGCAGGGAGTTTGCTTTGCAAGAGGCACTCGTTCAGCAATGCAAACCCTCACCTGAAATGGTGTAATCCAGTAATGACGTTCCATTGGAGTATAAAAATAATTATCAAATAATTCAGGAAGCTTCAAACAATGCTTGGGAAATGCATGGTTTTGAACAACTTGTGCAGTCTGCCCCTGCCTCATGCACATGGAAACAAGGGGCAAGATTGCTAGGCTGAAGAGCAAGGCATGGGCTCCAGCACTTTTACCTTTTTAAAGAAAACCACAGCCTAGGAAATATTCAGTGTAGAAAATCTGGACCCTAGAACTGCCTTCTTCAGCCTGAGGTCCTCCTGAGGTCCTCGACTACAGGTCCCCTCTTTCCTGACTGCTGGCCATGCTAGCGGGAGCTGATGAGAATTGTAGTTCAAAGCATCTGAAAGATGCTGCTGGGCCCAACAGCCCCTCCCCCACCTGGATATTCCAGGTAGGTCCCCAGATTTGCATCTGGCGGCTTACATGTAGGTGGAATTCTGGAATTTTAGTTAGTTAGGTAGATTCTGGCATGTAATAATTTTAGTAAAATGTAATAAAACTATGATATATAGCAATATAGGATGCGGGTGGTGCTGTGGGTTAAACCACAGAGCCTAGGACTTGCCGATCAGAAGGCCGGCGGTTTGAATCCCTGTCATGGGGTGAGCTCCCGTTGTTCGGTCCCAGCTCCTGCCAACCTAGCAGTTCGAAAGCACGTCAAAGTGCAAGTAGATAAATAGGTACCGCTCCGGTGGGAAGGTAAACAGAGCTTCTGTGCGCTGCTCTGGTTTGCCAGAAGCGGCTTAGTCATGCTGGCCACATGACTCAGAAGCTGTACGCCGGCTCCCTTGGCCAATAAAGCGAGATGAGTGCTGCAAACCCAGAGTTGGCCACGACTGGACCTAATGGTCAGGGGTCCCTTTACCTTTATATAGCATTATAGGCTGTCTGGGTTGCATCCAATCCTGTCCATCCATTCGTGAAAGGCTAGCTGATGCAGCAGAGGCACCTTCTTTGAGTGCAAAACAGAGGGAGGAATTTCTCCTTTCTCCTACAGCTCCCTGCACTGCCTTCCATGCTATTCCAGAAGAACTGGAGCATACCGTATTTTTCGCTCTATAAGACGCACCTTTTCCCTCCTAAAAAGTAAGGGGAAATGTGTGCGTGTCTTATGGAGCGAATGCAGGCTGCGCAGCTATCCCAGAAGCCAGAACAGCAAGAGGGATTGCTGCTTTCGCTGCGCAGCGATCCCTCTTGCTGTTCTGGCTTCTGGAATAGCAACGCAAAGCCTCTTCAAGGCAGTGGGAAGAACGCTCCTCCTGCCCTGAAGAGGTTTCAGAATATATTTTTTCTTGTTTTCCTCCTCCAAAAACTAGGTGCGTCTTGTGGTCTGGTGCATCTTATAGAGCGAAAAATACGAAATTTGTGTGTGCGTGTGCAGAGGTCTGGAGAAGGAGGGCAGGCGGAGCAATAGACATTGTCTGCTCTCCATGCCCACTGGAGCCCTTTGTAAATGGAAGGACAGGGCTGAGTCCAAGTGCTTGCATTTCTCTGTTTGCTACCTTAAGGGAACCTTTTCCCACATCGACTTGGCTGGCGAGGAACGCTTGTCTATCAGTTGTAGAACCGCAGCGAGCCACAAAGTATTGGGGACACAAACAATGGGAGATGTTCACTGCGGGGGCAAACTGTTTTCCCTGGAAGTCTGGACACCAGTATTGATATTGTCAGTAAGAAATCTCAGATAAGCTTTCAACTTATCTAAGAAGCCATTATACTAAAGTATGGAGAAGGGGGAGACTAATCCAAGGAAGAGAAAAATCCAGGTGTTACCTCTGGGAAATCTATTTTCTCCCCAAAATGTTTTATTGTTTTTCCACATTTATCACAAAAATGACCTAACGAAACACACAACAAAGAAAATCACATTACACTACAATAAACTAAACACAAAGAAAAAATATTTCTTCAAATACCTAATTCTCATTGATAACTGACTTCCTCGAATCCCCTCTAACTGAATTTCATTATATCACCTGTATAGCAGTTCTCCAAATTCATACTTCTACTGATATTAACTCCTTTCATTTACTAACCTCTTCTCCTTTATTAATTTTCAAATCCTTGGTATTTACTACCACATATTCTTATTCTACCCCTAAGCCTATTTATCATTTCCAAGAATTTTCTATTTATTTTATGTCACAATATTTAGCTAAATATTCTTTAAATTTCTTCCAATCCTCTTGTGTCTCCTCTTCCTTCTGGTCGTGGATTCTTCCAGTCAGGTCGGCCAGCTCCAAAAAATCCAACATCTTCATCTTCCATTCTTCTATTGTTGGTATCTCTTGCCAGTTTTTGGCTAATAAAAGTCTTGCCGCTTTAGTGGCATACAAAAACAGTCCAACATCTTTTGTGGGGCATTTCCAGTCCTAGTACCTCTGGGAAATCTAAAAGAGCAGACCCCATACTAACCAATCCATGTCTGGGAGTTTCAATGGCATCATTGGGTTCTGTCAACGAAAGTGGGGTTTAGTGGGCAAGGCGAGTGTACATATATTTGTATGCCATCAGAAATTACAACTTCAGTCTCCAGCCTTTTTGGGGAGAGGGGAGATGGCAGGCAACTTTATGAGTCAAGGCCTTTCCTTGGCTCCCGCAAAGGATTGTGGGAAAAGGCGGAGAGGGCTCCTTCGTCCGACTCACCTTTTTCTCTTGCTCTTCTTTGCAGATACCTGGTTGGCCGGATCCTGGCAGGAGCAGGCAACCTGAACCCCCAGCGTTTCCAAGCGCCTCCCCGGCGCCTGCGGCGTGCCATCTTTGACGGAGGGGACCTACCTGAGCCCCCCAATCTTCTGCGGGTCAAACGACTAGGCGGGGAGACCGGTGGGGAGCCCCAGCTGCAACGGGTCAAGCGGACAGAAGGGGAAGGGGCCGGCGGGAGGAGGGGGGTTTCTGGGGGGGTGCAGAGGCTTCGGTATCTGCCTGAATAGGAGGAATTGGCCTAAAAAAGATTGGGGGAGCCACCTCGCCCCTGCCCCCCACCTCTCTGGCAGTCTCTGAATGTCAGTGGACTGTGACACCTCGTGTTTGTTCCTGCCTCTTTTCTGCCTTGTGACCCCAAATTACTGAGGAGGAAGGGGGAGAGCCTTGCACTGGGCTCCCCAAATCCCAGTTCTGCTATTGTATGGGGAGGGGCTCTTTTCCCCACTAACCTTCTGGGCATCCTGATAGAAAGCTGCAGTTTGATGGTGATCATCTCTCTCATGTCAAACGCAGAGCTGGGGGCCATCTTGGCTAAAAAATATATTTAAAAGTGGCTCAAATTACCCCCACCCACCCTAATTTTCCTTCTGCCTTAATAGTCCCATTACCTCAGCCCTGTCTCTCATCCCTTGCTCCTCCCTTGGCCCACCAGAGTTTCCCGCTGCTTGTGTATGTCCGGTTTGTAAGATGCCTTGTGTTCACCCACATTCACGTTACACAAAGACATATGCGCCCTCTTGCTGATTTGTCACCCTGTTTGATCCTGCTTGTGGCCAGAGTTTTTGGTGTTGATGAATTAATAAAGAGCCCACCAGGTATTTTAATGTAGCGCTGACGTCATTGGTTACATCTTCTCAAACCTTTTTCAAATACCCTACTCTGTTGAACTATGGAGCCCAAAGGTTCAAGTCTCAACGCCCTTGGGAACTTATGTCCAGTCTCAAAGATTCTCATCTGTAAAACAGGTAAAATATTTACCGGTTTGGAGGGTTCCAGTGAGAATGAATAAGATAAATGATTTTCAAAGCTTATGAAAACAGCTATAAAGGTAAAGGTAAAGGGACCCCTGACCATTAGGTCCAGTCGTGACTGACTCTGGGGTTGCGGCGCTCATCTTGCTTTATTGGCCAAGGAAGTCATGTGGCCAGCATGACTAAGCCGCTTCTGGCAAACCAGAGCAGCGCACGGAAAAGCCGTTTACCTTCCCGCCAAAGCGGTACCTATTTATGTACTTGCACTTTGACGTGCTTTCGAACTGCTAGGTTGGCAGGAGCAGGGACCGAGCAACGGGAGCTCACCCCGTCGCGGGGATTCGAACCGCCGACCTTCTGATCAGCAAGCCCTAGGCTCTGTGGTTTAACCCACAGCACCACCCGCATCCCTTTTGAAAACAGCTATAGAAATAACTAGTAACCAAGGATGTCCCGAGGCATCCTCTCCTATGTTTGTCACAACCAGTGCTGTTTGTTCTCCTGAAGTTTGGCTCCCACTGAAACCTCCCTTGTTCATTTTGCTGTCCACTATTGCCCAAAACTGAAAAAATAAATTACACAGCTGGTGGCATAATTGCATAATTAATTTCAGTGGAATGGGGGGGGGTGTCAAAAACTATGCAGAAAATAAGGTTGATGGTTCACACAATGATCAGGAACTTAAAAAAAGGGTGGACTTCCACACAGTGCTAAATGTAAAGTGTGTGTGTGTGTGTGTGTGTGTGTGTGTGTGTACACGCGTGCACACGTGCATGGGGGGGGGTAACAAGATCTACTTTGGTTTCCCCCCAACCCTCCAGAGAAGATTTAGCGGGTGGGATGGAAGTCCTGTTGCACCAACAGACCTTGTTCAGCAAATGCCGCAACTTCGTTGAATCCCACCCACTGATAGAAAAGATATTTTTGCTCACATGTTTTCCTTTCCTGACTTGGACAAACATGCAGCCTGCAGCAATTTCTGCTTCCATTTCAGTTTCCAGCGGAATTCTCCAACATCCGTACTAATAACACATCACAATGTAGCATTTTTTAAAATAAAAAATATCTTTATTGCAACAGCTAGGCACAGCAAGGAAAGGGTTCTGTTGTGGTGAGCGACCGACTCTGAAGGATGTCCGTTGGGGAGGTGAGATCAGTCCGGAGTCAGTGCTGAAGTCACACCTGTGTGCATACAGGGAATGGGAAGGAAAAGACCTAGAAAGACACTGATCTTCTCGTGTCCCTGCCTAAGCAAGACATTTGCTCTCCTAAGGAGAGCCCCAATTCCCCCACCCCACCGAGGCCAACACATTTTATTCCTGCATTTCAGGGGGTTGGTCTAGATGACCCTCAGGGTCCCTCTTCCAAGTCTACAATTCTTTGATGTACTGGTCAGAGAATAGTTCATGCCCTCATCTGTCCTGCGCTCCTTGTGCTACTGCCTGGAGCAAGTCGCTTCATCCTGCAACAAATGAATGACCTTTGGGGTCCGTTCCAGCTCTACAGTTCTACGATCCCATAACCTTCCCTCTGAACTCAGGCAGGAACCATCATAGGTGATATTGTGGCACACGCCCTGCAAGCATATTTGGGTACGGAGGCCTTGGCTAGTGTCACATTGGCTAGTGTCCTAAAGGAGCATCTCTACCATAGCTGTCAACTTTTCCCTTTTCTTGCGAGGAATCCTATTCGGAATAAGGGAATTTCCCTTTTAAAAAGGGAAACGTTGACAGCTATGATCTCCACCCCCATCGGTCTGCCCGGACGCTGAGGTCCAGCACCGAGGGCCTTCTAGCGGTTTCCTCATTGTGAGAAGCAAAGCTACAGGGAACCAGGCAGAGGGCCTTCTTGGTAGTGGCACCCGCCCTGTGGAACGCCCTCCCACCAGATGTCAAAGAGAAGAACAACTACCTGACATTTAGAAGACATCTGAAGGCAGCCCTGTTCAGGGAAGTTTTTAATGTGTGACATTTTAATGTATTTTAATCTTTGTTGGAAGCCGCCCAGAGTGGCTGGGGAGACCCAGCCAGATGGGCGGGGTACAAATAAATTATTATTATTATTATTATCATCACATTCCAACATACCAATTTTCAGCTGCCTCTATTTTATAGGGTACTAGGATTGTTATTGTTTTTTCCTAGGTTTTTAGGTTTTTTAAATAAATATAAAACAGTGTCACCGCCACTATTTTAAAGGCATTTTTTAAGGACAAACTTCATACATCCAGGGTTGTTATTTTTCGGTTATTTTTTAATTAAGTGTTTCTCCCATGCTGGGGGTCAGGGTTACAAGTATTGAGGGAGGAGATGTGAGCAGTTGCCCAGCAAGGCATGAATGGTTCTCTCATTTCCTCCCTATAAAGGTTTTCTGCATGTTCTAAGTCTATGTGAGCCAGTGTGGTGTAGTGGTTAAGAGCGGTAGACTCCTAATCTGGGGAACCGGGTTCGTGTCTCCGCTTCTCCACATGCAGCTGCTGGGTGACCTTGGGCCAGTCACACTTCTCTGAAGTCTCTCAGCCCCACTCACCTCACAGAGTGTTTGTTGTGGGGCAGGAAGGGAAAGGAGAATGTGAGCCGCTTTGAGACTCCTTAAAGGGAGTGAAAGGCGGGATATCAAATCCAAACTCTTCTTCTTCTTCTTCTTCTATGTAACACTCAGGCTGACCTTGACTTCAGACACAGAGTCAGGCTGCATACAAACCACATGTGTAAAGCACATGACTTGCCCCAAAGAATCCTAGGAGCTATAGGTTTTTTTTCAAAAAAATATTCTGGGAGGTGTAGCTCTGTAAGGGCAAACTATACCCTGCCAGGAGTCTTTGGGGGAAGCTGTCTGTTTAAAATTTATTTGTGTGTATGCAGCCGCAGTTAGTCAATTTATTTTTCCGGCATGGAGAGGTAGCTTACAGATTTTCTGCTTCAGGAACCAAACTGAGCAGAGCCTTCTCTGTGCTTGGTGGTGAATATCCCATGGCTCTAGTGCCAGGCCTGAGATCCTGAGACATACCTCATGCGGGGCTTGGCAGGGTCAGAGAAAATACACACCCTCTTGGATCAGGCCAGGCATCAAGTTACAACCAAGATGGGGGCATTGACTACAAGCGGACCTCCTGCCCTTTGTGCCTCAAGCCACACAGGCCTCTAGCATGAGCAGTGATGTAGCGTGGGTTTGGTATCTTTCTAAAGCCTTGCAACTGGCCATACCCCAAATCCACTCCTCAGTCTGCCCATGCAAACACACGAGATTTTCTGTGTGGGAAGGGCACACTATTGTCTATTTATTATTCCTTTTTTAAAAAAAATTGTGCCCCTAAGAATTTTGAGCCCAGGACAACCCTCCCCCCCGTGGCCCCACCCATGCTATGCCACTGAGAGTGAGTTCTGTATACTCTATATCAGGGGTCAGCAAACTTCCCAGGCCTCGGGCCGGTATCTCCAGCGCCAATTGTGCGGTGGGCCGGAGGGTGGGGGAGCGCGTGCCCATACGCGTGCACACACACTATTTCTGGCACACTTCCGGGTCGGAGAACAGAAATAGCTTGTGCGCATGTGCACGGGCCTCCTCCGGCCTGGATGCGCACTGGAAATAACGCTTGCGCATGCACACAAGCTATTTCCAGTCCTCCTCCGACCCGGAAGTGGCAGCTGCGCAGCAAGTGGCGGTAAGAGTGGGTGGCGGGGGTCGCCGCGGGCCAGATAAATGAGTCCCACGTGCCTTACTTTGGGGACCCCTGCTTTATACTTTCCCCCTATAACTCACAGAGTGGCTGGGGAAACCCTGCCAGCTGGGTGGGGTATAAATAATAAATTTATTATTATTATTATTATTATCACCACCACCACAGAATCCCATTTTTGGTGGTGGTGGCAGTAGTGAGGCAACGGAGCGCAGACTTTGAGTTCTTTACACAGAGACCCAGCGGCGTAGCGTGGGTTGTCAGCACCCGGGGCAAGGCAAGTAATTTGCGCCCCCTAACCCGTGGATTTGCGCCCTCTAACCTGTGGATTTGCGCCCCCTAACCCGTGGATTTGCCCTAACCCCAGATGTTGCGCCCGGTGCGGCCGGCCCCCCCCGCACCCCCCACGCTACGCCACTGCAGAGACCTAGATAGTGCTTTGAGAAACACTGGAACGGGGTATGAGGAGAAAATGGGGCCTCCTCTACCGCCTCCCCCCCCCCACTTTGGTGGCAGCAAGTAAGGCAGCAGAAAACCCAGAGTCCTTAATCCCAGCTTGTGGCAGAAAGGGAGAGACTTATCAACACATTTGCATTAGCAGAAGCATCGCCACCAGTTATATTTCTCTGGTTTGGAGGAAAGGGAGAGGCTTCAGAGGTTCCTGGAAGACTGGGCCTCTTTGCTGCAGCCTCCAGCCCCCTCCACCTTTCCCCCATTTCAGATGCATCCTTGTGTCTCATTGGCCGTTGCTAGGCAGCAGGTGACATTCCTGCCAGCCTCGCATCTGAGCATCTGCTGGCTCCCATCCTTGCCCAGAATAACAGGGACGGGGGCTATTCTGCTGCTTACCTCTTCCTCCCGAGGGTGGCGCATAGCCTGCTGGTAGCAGAGCATCCTGCCGGTTCCCCAAGACGAATGCCAGGGTGGCCAGTACCAGGGCATCGGCTATGCCCAGCAAGGCAAGGGTAAAGGCCCAGTGTATTGTGCAGGCACCCAGGGTGTAGCTCCTGGCCCGAGGCCCACAAAGAGCCCTGACTTCAGGGGCTCCCCAGCCGTCTGGGAAAACCAGGCAGCCAAGAGCCTGACAAGTTGCTGTGAGACAGAGAGAGACAGAGTTAATAAAGCTGATGTCCTTGCACATAGGACCCACGTACCTACGGGTCCGCCTCTCCTGGTATGCCCCGCAGAGGACCTTAAGTTCCACAAATGACAACACTTTGGAGGTCTCAAGTCGCAAGGTGGTTAGATTGGTCTCAACTAGGGCCAGGGCCTTTTCAGTACTGGCCCCGACTTGGTGGAACGCTCTGTCTCAAGAGACTAGGGCCCTGCAGGACTCGACATCTTTCCGCAGGGCCTGCAAGACAGAGCTGTTCCGCCTGGCCTTTGGTTTGGACTCTGTCTGACCCTTATGTTTCCCTCCCCTTATGGTTTTGATGTATGGGCTACTTTTAAAATGAGGCTGCGTTTTAAATTGCATTTTAACCTGTATTTTATATTGGTTTCCCCCCCCCTTATGTTTTTACTGTAATTTTACTGGTGTTAGCTGCCCTGAGCCTGGCTCTGGCCAGGGGGGGCAGGGTATAAATAAAATATTATAATTATTATTATTACACATACACCTCCATAGGATGATAATCTACTGATTCCCACCCCCAATCTTGATGCTTAACCCATAGCCTTGGGACCTACTTTCCCCAAGCTAGCTCCAGAGGGGGGAAAGATTGGGCTTTTGCCAGGACCCTGAAGACCAGCAGAGGTCCATTGCCCCCACAGTACTATAATTCTCACTTTGCTCAGCATGTTCTAGAACAGGCATGTCCAACTCCCAAGAGACTGTGATCTACTCCCAGTACAAAAAAATGGCAGTGATTGTTATGTACTGAGTTGAATAGGATCCAAATGGCAGCAGTTTGATTGGTCCTAGAACAATAGGATTCAGAATGCAGCAGTCTGATTGGTCCTAGAACAATAGGATCCAAAATGCAGCAGTTTGATTGGTCCTAGAAAAATAGGATTCAGAATGCAGCAGTCTGATTGGTCCTAGAAGAATAGGATCCAGAATGCAGCAGTCTGATTGGTCCACAGGAGCCATCCAATCCAGCTCCAGGTGGAAGGGAATCCACAACCTGATTGGCCTACAGGAGAATCCCGGAATTAGCCAATCACGTGGGGCCCATTGTGTAAATAATGTATATAAAGCAGACATTCTGGGGGAACTTCCATTCCTCCTCACCACTATGAGCTGAATAAAGAGCATGAAATCCACAGCGCCACCCGCGGGAGCTCAAAGAGGGGCACTATGTCTGAGGGCCCTTAGCATTCTGGAGCCAGCACTGTTCTCTCCCCCTACTCCAATCCTGGGGGGTGCAGGAGAGGACCCCATCCTTTGCCCCAAATATTTTGGTACTTGAGGGGGAAATCTGAATGATGTTGCCCTCCTGCTAATTTATAAGGGGCACAATCCACCAGGAAGTTGTCTTGCAGAAGCCTCATTGAAATGGATAGGAGCAGCACAAGAGCACTACAAGGGAACTCTATCCCTCGGTCAGGGCTCTGTGTATACTGCAGTTGAGCAGGAACACGGAAAAAGCACAGAAACGGTAATGGGTACAGACAGAATTCAGTTTTCCAAGAAAAGTAGCGTTTACTCTTTACAGCAGGTTTCTGGCCCTTAGGGCAGCACAAGATATGCTAGAAGGAGTGCAGGCGGCATGTGCAGAAATCTCAAAAGATGGATGGTTAAATTGGATCTGGAGTCCTGCATAACTCCTTGCCCCTCCCCCGTGGCTAGCAAAACCAGAAGAAGAAATTGTTCAGAAATGGAGACAATTGCAGACTAAATTATGCAAAAGAAGAGAATTATGCAAATTTCCTCAACTTGCATAGTTCATAGGAAAATCTCTGCTGAGTCAGAACAAAGGCTTGCCAAGGTGGCTGACCGGGTGCCTTTTGGAAGCCCAAAGCAGAGCATGAAGGCAATAGCTCTCTCCAGCTGTGGCTCCACTGTTGTCCCTCAATGGGCAGGTATTCAAAATACCAATGACTGGTATTCGGAAAGGTATTGATGGTACCTCTAATAATGGAGGAAGCATATGGCCATCATGACTAGTAGCCGTCCGCCCTGTCCATTGGCCTTGCTGCCTAAGAGTTGAGAAGCCAATGGCATCTAGAGGGTCGCCCGTTCTAAAACAGATACATTTTGGTGGTCATGGTAGGACACCTATTTAAGGTTTTTTATCTGTCTCACTTCCACTTCCATATTGGCCTGACCAAACATAAGAATAGCTCTGTCTTCTGGTACATGACCCCAGTCAAGCTAGCAAAAATCTACCATTTGCCCGATAATAAATGTTGGAAATGTAAGGAAATTGAAGGTACATTCTTTCACCTTTGGTGGACGTGCCCAAGGATTAAGGCTTTCTGGGAGACGATATATAATGAACTGAAAAAAGTATTTAAATATACCTTCTTGAAGAAACCAGAGGCCTTTCTCCTGGGCATAGTTGACCAATCGGTGTTAAAGAAGGATAGAACTTTCTTTATGTACGCTACAACAGCAGCAAGAATACTTATTGCAAAGTATTGGAAGACACAAGATTTACCCACTCTGGAAGAATGGCAGATGAAGGTGATGGACTACATGGAATTGGCGGAAATGACTGGCAGGATCCGAGACCAGGGAGAAGAGTCAGTGGAAGAAGACTGGAAGAAATTTAAAGACTATCTACAGAGGCATTGTAAAATTAATGAATGTTAGAATGATGCTGGATTGAAATTAAGTGGTTTCTAGCTGTAATGGTATAAAAGAATATGAAAAAATTGTTGTTTATAAGTACAAATTCAAGGTTATAATAATTTAAGATTAAAGATCTGGGTAGAACAAAGAGGGAAAGAAATTGCTGAGCTAATAATTGGAACTGGAATACAAAAAAGGGAGGTATGAGGAGGTCCGAGAAACAAGTAAATGAAAAATAATGTGATGAAAAGATTGATTGTTTTTAACTACTTTTATTTTGTATGTTTTCTTTTTCTATTTTGTAATGTAAAAATCTTAATAAAAATCTTATAAAAAAAAAGAGAATAGCTCTGTCTTCCTTGTGAGCCCCTCTTCATCTGATATTTAGAGCTGTTGTGTCTCTGATAGTGGAAGTAATACTACATGCTCACCATGTCTAGAAGCCCCTGAGAGTCTTCTCCTCCATGAATTTGTCCAGCCCACTTCAAGTCAGTGGCCATCACAAAGCCTTGGGGGAGTGAATCCCACAGTTTAACTGTGTGTTGTGTAAAGAAGGACTTTCTCTTATCTGTCCCCATTCTGCTTAAGCCGATGACTCCGAGTTCTAGATTTATAAGATGCAGAAAGTACCAGAACCTGGGATCCCCCAAGAAGACTGAACATAGGGGCAGATTCTGGGCAGATAAAAGGAAGGAGCCCACAGCTCAAAGACCTTGTTGGTAAAGGCCAGGCAACCCACAGTCAAGGGTAGCAGGCAAGATTTATTCTCACCGCAGGTGAGTATTGGGGGATCCCACTTAGGTGGGGAGTAAAACCAGACTCCTGCCTATTGAGAATCAAGCCTAGCTGTGGGTGCATAGCCTCATCTTGGATTGGGTCTGTTGGTCACACCAGCACGTGACTCACACTGTTGTTTGCCTTCTAAACATGTTACCAAGCAATCACATGACTGGTTTCTGCAGGATATGACCCCAGGTGAACAGGTGTGTGTGTGTGTGTGTGTGTGTGTGTGTGTCTGTCTGTCTGTCTGTCTGTCTGTCTGTCTGTCTGGCAGTAGAAGAGACTCCCACAAGAGGCAGTGGAATTTCCTTCCTTGGAGGTTTTTAAGCAGAGGGTGGATGGCCATCTGTCATGGATTCCTGCATTTCAGGGGTTTGGACCAGATGACTCCTGGGTCCCTTCCAAATCAAAGATTCTTTGATTCTATGAATTTATTGCCCTCCCACCCATTCCTTTCTAAAAGAAGGTAGCCCAGGCCTGCCTGCTCTCATCGCACCCAGGAAAGCTGCCATTTGCTCCCACTGAGAGGCACCTTCTCTCTCACCTGCTGAAAGCTGCTGCCAGGCACACACCTTGTAGACAGTCCCTGGGCTGCAGACCCAGAAGAGGCCCAAGGAAGCCACACTGCCCATCACCAGGACCAGGGCCATCAGGACAAAGACCGCGGCTGCCTTGAAGGATGGGATCGGGGTGAGGGTGACCAGTGACCCCTCGCACTGGAGGGTGCCATCCCGCTCCTTGCAGACTTGGTAGAGGCCGAAGGAGCCCACGGCGCTGACGCTGGGGTCGAAAAGGACCCCGGAGGGGGGCAGCTGGTAGGTGAGCGGCGCTGTCTGCACCCACGCCGGCTGGATCAGGACCACGACCTCCAGGACGCCAAAGCAGAGGGTGCAGCCAGCCCAGAGAGCGCCCACCGCCCTGGCATTGCGCACGAAGTCCGTCTGGTAGAGCGCAGCTGCTTCTCGGGCTGCCAGCATGGTTCAGCCCTCTTTCAAGGGGTCTGCCCGCCCTCTTGCACCCGGGGCAACCTCCACGAGGGAGCAGCTTTCCAAAGAAGGATAAAGTGGGTGTCGTCGTGTCCCTTTTGCGCCACAATCCAGCGTGCGCCCACTTCCTCCGGCTGCGGATGCCCTGCTTTCGTTTTCAGCTCTTGGCTCCTCTCCTCCTCTGGGCAAATTTCTGCATTCCTCGGCTGCAGCAGCTGAAGCTTTCCCTGTGGCTGGTTCCAGGCTCCCTCTGGGGCGAGGGAGGGCTGCTCGGCTCGCTTCCTCCGCAGTCTCTCTGCATTCCTCTGCTGGGACTGCTACCTTCCTTCCTTCCTCCGAGATTGGCTACCTTCCTTTGCGGGGCGCCGAGGGAGGGAGACGCTGCTCCCCGGCTCTTCCCATCCTCATTCCACAAACCCGGATTTATTTCCTCCAGCGACGGAGGCAAAAGCAGCTGCCACTTGGCCCGGCGCCCAGGTTGACTTGGCCGCCTCGTCCTCGCCTCCCTTGCTCGGTCGCTCAGCGAGGAGCGGCTGGGAAGATGCTCCGCGCTCCCTCCAGGCGAGGATGGAGGCACGCTTTCATGTCCTGGCTCGGAAAAACAAGAAGCGGTGTTTTGGGGCTGGGGAGGAAGAGGGCCCAGAATAGCTGTCCCTTTCCTCCAAAATGCACATAGGCTACAAAATGCAGGAATGCAGACAGACACATCTCATGCTCCTCTGCAGACAAGGGATTCGCGTTTCCAGCAGAGGGCAGGCAGCACAGTAGATTTTTAAATATTATTATCGACTTATATACAGCAAATACCGTATATCTATATTGTCATAGATCTTGCTAGAGTTGTTAGTGAATGGTAAAAAAATAAAAATAAATGGTAGTATTTAGATAACCTTTGGGATTTGTTGTTGCTGTTGTTTAGTCGTGTCCGCCTCTTTGTGACCCCCTGGACCAGAGCATGCCAGGCACTCCTGTCTTCCACTGCCTCCTGCAGTTGGGTCAAACTTATGCTGGTAGCTTCGAGAACACTGTCCAACCATCTCGTCCTCTGTCGTCCCCTTCTCCTTGTGCCCTCCATCTTTCCCAACATCAGGGTCTTTTCCAGGGTGTCTTCTCTTCTCATGAGGTGGCCAAAATATTGGAGCCTCAGCTTCAGGATCTGTCCTTCCAGTGAGCACTCAGGGCTGATTTCCTTAAGAATGGTTGCGTTTGATCTTCTTGCAGTGCATAGGACTCTCAAGAGTCTCCTCCAGCACCATAATTCAAAAGCATCAATTCTTCGGAGATCAGCCTTCTTTATGGCCCAGCTCTCACTTCCATACATCACTACTGGGAAAACCATAGCTTTTACTATACGGACCTTTGTTGGCAAGGTGATGTCTCTGCTTTTTAAGATGCTGTCTAGGCTTTGGGATATTGGAGGGAAAATACAGGCTGCAAGCACTTCTTTTGCCAAACATGCGAACTATGAAACAATGGCCATCAAAGAAGGATCCTTGGGTCTGTGCAAAACAGGGGTGCCAAGGTTGGCAGGTGGGGAGGGAGGAGTGATGTCACACAGGAAAAATGTGCGCGTTTAAAATTAGACTTGGAATAGCAAACGGAAGGGGAGGAGTTGCTCTTTCCCAGTGGGTTTCTGGGAACAAGAAAGAAGTAGGCAGACCTCAATGGGGGGCCAAAGAGCAGAACCATCTTGGCAGGTTGCGACAGAGGCAGGGAGATGGCTGCAGTGCTGGGGGAACAAGCCCCTACTGAGATAAAGGTAAAGGTAAAGGTACCCCTGCCTGTACGGGCCAGTCTTGCCAGACTCTAGGGTTGTGCGCCCATCTCACTTAAGAGGCTGGGAGCCAGCACTGTCCGCAGACACTTCCGGGTCACGTGGCCAGCGTGACGAAGCTGCTCTGGCGAGCCAGCGCAGCACACGGAAACGCCGTTTACCTTCCCGCTGGTAAGCGGTCCCTATTTATCTACTTGCACCCGAGGGTGCTTTCGAAGTGCTAGGTTGGCAGGTGCTGGGACCAAGCAACAGGAGCGCACCCCGCCGCGGGGTTTCGAACCGCCGACCATGCGATCGGCAAGTCCTAGGCACTGAGGTTTTACCCACAGCGCCACCCGCGTCCCTCCTCCTACTGAGATGCAAATGCTTTAAACTGTGCACTCCCTCCGTTGAAAGCTTCTGGTGTAAATGTGTGGAGAATAAATAGTATTTCTTAATGGCACAGCAGTCTCTGCCGCACATTGATTCCCAGTGGAAATGGACCCCAGGGTAAGTGCCTGGGTCTCCCGGGAATCTTCTACCGCCTGGCAGAGATTGGGAGTTGTGCGCAGCCTTTGCAACGATATGTTATAAAGAACAACAACTGTACAATGTTCTAGTTCACAGAAGTTACACAACTGTGCCTGGGCTTCAGACTGCTAGGGCTCAAGTGCTGGGAGGCTCTTCCACACAAAGAATTGAAGCCATTAAAAGGTAAAGGGACCCGACTGTTAAGTCCAGTTGCGGGCGACTCTGGGGTTGCGGCACTCATCTCGCTTTCAGGCCAAGGGAGCCAGTGTTTGTCCACAGCTTCCGGGTCATGTGGCCAGCATGACTAAGCCGCTTCTGGCGAAACCAGAGCAGTGCATGGAAGCGCCATTTACCTTCCCGCTGGAGTGGTACCTATTTATCTACTTGCTCTTTGACGTGCTTTCGAACTGCTCGGTTGGCAGGAGCAGGGACCAAGCAATGGGAGCTCACCTCGTCATGGGGATTTGAACCGCCAACCTTCTGATCGGCAAGCCCCAGGCTCTGTGGTTTAGACCACAGTGCCACCCGCGTCCCAATTAAGCCATTACTGACCCCCCAATGACGGACGAGCATTTAGCCATGTCAGAGACCAGTTGTGGTGATGCAGTTCAGACCCAAGGTGGGCATCACAGCGAAAGCTAGACCTAAATGCCTGAGCTCTGAGTTCTCTGTGAAGACCTTGTCGCTGCTGTACATTCAAGTACAGTGGTACCTCTGGTTACATACGATTCAGGTTACAGAGTTCGCTAACCCAGAAATATTACCTCAGGTTAAGAACTTTGCTTCAGCATGAGAACAGACATCGTGCTCCGTCAGCGTAGCGGCAGTGGGAGGCCCCATTAGCTAAAGTGGTGCTTCAGGTTAAGAAGTGTTTCAGGTTAAGAACAGACCTCCAGAACAAATTAAGTACTTAACCTGAGGTACCACTGTAGGTGGTGCTGGAGCAATGGAAGTCTCTCTCTCTCTACCCGCCATCTCACCTGCAATATGGGGGATGGTGTGATGTTAAGAACGCTGAAATACTTAGAATTATAGAATTGTAGAGTTGGAAGGGACACTGAGGGTCATCTAGTCCAACCCCCTGCAATGCAGGAATCTCAGCTAAAGCATCCAAGACAGATGGCCATCCAATCTCTGGTTAAAAACCTCCAAAGAAGGAGAGCCCCCCACTTTTTGAGAGAATCTCTTCCACTGTTTAAGAGCTCTTCCTGTCAGAAAGTTCTTCCTGAGGTTTGGGTCCTAGCCTCCGGGATTTACGTTACCACTTGCTCTGGCCTATCAGCAGACATACCAACTTGTGGCATCATGCAAACACAAATATGTGTTTTTATAACACACACACACACACGTTGACTTGCTGAGCCCGAATGACTTAGGCTGCAGACCTAAGAGCCGCAAAAGTTCTGATCACAAGCAGTTTGCTATTAAAGAGGCGAAAAAGCCTATTGATTTTGCCAAGGCCATCAGAGGGAGAAGATACAGCCTGTCCCCCTCTTGTGCTTAAGACAAAGCTCCATGATCTGCCGAATTCCTATGTGCGACACAAATGTGCAGGACTGCAGAGAGTAAGGAGTTAAGGCCATCAAACTATACCTGAAAAGTGGGTACGGTCAGAATCAAAAATCTTTCCATCGTTGGAGCAAGGGTTTCACAGAGCATGGCATCCGATCACCCAAGGAAGAAAGGTATATATAGGTGTGGAACAACTCTGGTGGATCAACACAACATTATGGATAACAGGAAGGTAGGTGAAAAGAAGATCCTTAAGGGACCGGGCTGGAAAAACTGCAAGTGGATTTTGTGACAAACTATGTGTGAAACTATGGGACGCAGGTGGCGCTGTGGGTTAAACCATAGACTTGCCGATCAGAAGGTTGGTGGTTCGAATCCCCACAACGGGGTGAGCTCCGGTTGCTCGGTCCTTGCTCCTGCCAACCTAGCAGTTCGAAAGCACATCAAAGTGCAAGTAGATAAATAAGTACCGCTCCAGCGGGAAGATAAATGGTGCTTCCGTGCGCTGCTCTGGTTCACCAAAGCGGTTTGGTCATGCTGGCCACATGACCCGGAAGCTGTACGCCGGCTCCCTCGGCCAATAAAGTGAGATGAGAGCCGCAACCCCAGAGTCGGCCACGACTGGACCTAATGGTCAGGGGTCCCTTTACCTTTTTATGTGTAAAACGAAGTATCTTTTGTAAACTGCCGTGGCTTACTCAAAAGCTGCATCCAATGAACTGGCATTTGCTGGACAGGGATAAGGAGGTGGAGGAAACTTGCCTGAATCTCTGGAACAGACTGGGATAAATACAAATTTAGAAGCAGAATGACAAACCCACACATCTGGCAAAACACCCCCCAGCCCCAGCTGCATCCTGCACATAGTTCTGACAGATGGCCAAGGGGGGATGTGTCAGAAATGGAAGAGAATGAGTTTCTATGACACACAGAGGCTCTGGCAGGTCATCAGGTGTGCAAAGCCTCCCCATGGGTATACGTGTCACGAGGGTATACGTCATGAGGAAGCAGAGAGGGCACTAGCAGCCAGTGGGCAGAGCACAGGCATGGCCCCAGTGGCAGCCCACGAGGAGGGCACAGTCATGGGATCACAATTTAAATGGCTTAACATTGGACCAAGCGATCTGTCCCAACTCCCCAGATCTAAAACACAGCCACTCCATTCACAGAAACACTTTATTTGAATAATTAGAAAGATTATAAAATCGAGCAGAGAAACAACGGCAAAGGAAGTAATCATATGCAAAGGATTTTTTAGGCTATAATGTAACTAACTCCCCACTTCTAAAGGTTCAGTGAAACCCCCCACCCCTCCTTTATATCATGGTATGAGTTCAGCCCCTTTATCAAGGAAGAGGGGGGAACTGTGACCCTCCAGGTGTTGAACTACCCAGTCCCAACCAGCATGGCCCATGTGGTCAGGGATGATGGGAGCTGAAGCCCAATAACATCCAGAGGATGACAGGTTCCCCACCTCTGCCCTATAGACACCCCCCCTGCCCCCCAGCTTACCAGGGCCGGCCCTGATAAAACTGACACCCCACCACCACCCTCCCCATAAGCCCTTTTCAACCCATCTTTTCTCAAACCTCTTTTTTTATGGACAGAGTTATGTGTCGCCTTGACCCTGGCCCCATTCGGGTTTTTTATTAGTTCAAGGTGAGGGGCAATCTGTGGTTGCCCGGAATCCAGTAAGGAAGGTGCTCCTCTGAACCACTTTGAGCCAGACAGGGTTGCCAAAGCCTTTTCCATTTGCCCACCCCTGCCGCTCATTGCCCAGGGTACAGCTCTCGGTTGCCCTTTGGAAGGACTGGCCATGCTCCTTGCTTAAGACGATCGCTCAGCAAACATTTCCCACAAACACAGTAACCCAATTCTCACATTCTCCTTTTGCAGCAGAACTGCAGGATGCCCAAACACTGCAGGAAACAGTGTGCGAATAATGTAGCTCTGGCATGCTGAAAGCAGAGTTTTAAATGGCCCCATTTCACACCCACCTTCACAGATGAGATGCAACACACACACACACACACACACAATTTTGAGTCCACATACAGTGATGGGGCAGGAATGGGAAGAATGTGAGAATCTGGCCTTAGAAGAATGATAAGATAGCCTTCACGGCATCAGACGAGAGCCTTTCAGATCCCATGCTCCTGTCTCTATAATCTAGAGAGAAAGACCCCTTAGGCCATCCTCTCAAGCATCTTGCATGTTCTCTGCTACATGCAGCACCAAATACTGTAGAACCTTGGAACAAGCAAACCAAAGACTCCCATCAAATATATATCTGTATATAATTGCAGGATGTCACTCAGTTTAGATGAACTTGGACCTCCAGCCGTTTATATTTCAAGCCTTCTGGAGATGAACCTCTTCTAGCCACAGGATTCCGCTTGCCCAAAACATGCTTTTGTCTCAACTAGTTACAGAAACGTTCTTGATTAATGGGGGCGGGCAAAGGGGAGAGGAGATAAGAGGAATACATCTCTCTAGAGTGGCTGAGGAAACCTAGCCAGATGGGCAGGATATAAATAATAAATTATCATCATTATTATCATCCCTCCTTTCTCAGTTCAGCATGGTTTCCCTCCAACCTAGCAACTTTAGTATGGAGGAGAGAGGGTGATTTGGAAAAAATATGTGGCAATTTGAGACAGGATGGAATGGGTGTGTTGTGCAATCAGACTCCGGAAATGTGAGCAGAGATAAATGCCTGCCCCCACCTTCCCAAGAAAAACATGCGCTTCTTCAGCAACAGGGAAAGCAAGTCACCTCTGCCCGGAAGTGAAGTAATCCCCAAGGTTGATTTGAAATGGACGCAATCGTGGAATACACCAGAAAGGAACATTCTTTGTCCTTGTGGAAGCAATGAGGTTGCTGGTGTTTGATTTGTGGCTGCTGCTGGTATTGCATTGATGATTGCTGACTACTATTTGGCACATCAAGAGCCCTTGAAGCATCAGGTTCAATTCAGTGAGGTCAAACGATGGTAGATTGTGCTGCATTCTGTATTAGCTGCTCCTTACAAAGGGAGTTGCTTTAGGAAGGTACTGCCATGTCCATGCCAAACTTTAGCCGGTGAGCCTGGCTCTTGGCTTCAAAGAGAATCTGGGAGAGGGGAGAAGCCCAAAGGAACAATACTAATAAAAATAATGCTAATAAACGCACAAAAGAGTGTCAAATCAGACTACAATTCAAGAAAACCTCAGGCATGAAGAGCATTGCTGGTGGTGAGGATTCCTCCGCACTGGATTCTACCACACTCGGGTGGGCAGTCACCTCCCACTGGCGGAAGGAAGCGCAAATCCCCAAAATAGGGGAATGTGGAGCCAGGGCCCTGGAAGATTTCTGTTGTGTGAGCACTAAGTTGTTCTGCTTGCATAATGTCTCGGTTGAAGTCAACCCAGAAAGTAGTCCCATTAGGAGCAATAGGACTCACTCCCTAGTCTAGGGGTAGCCATAGAGAGTGCCTTCCAAAAGATGGGAGTTGTGATCCAAAACGTCAGGAAGGTAACACAGGGGCTGCTCCTGCCGTAGTCAAGGAAGAGGAACCTGTGCTCTTCCAGATGTTGCTGGAATCCAACTCTCATCATACCTGCCCTGGTATTCGAGAGGGGCACTGCTGCTGAACAAAGAGGCTCCGTTTAACTATTCTGGCCAATCAGTGACATTCCTAGCAGCACAGCTGGAGAGAGGGCAGGTGCAGTGGGAGGGGCCTGGCACTTGGAGCACCTCCCACTTTTTGGACGCATCAGCTGCCACTATTCCGAAGCAGAAGCCTAGGATTATTCAGGAGATGGGACTGGAAAAGAGAAGTCATGTGCTCTCAAAATACTACTTTCCACCACGCTGTTTTCCCGAAGAAGCATGGCTGCTGTTTTGTTTTATTTCTCATGAAGGGAAAATAATTCCTTTGAAGGAGTGTAGCTTCTTACTGGGTGGGACTCTCCCTCCTACAGGGATGTTGGAAATTTCCAGTGGGCACAAGAACAGAAACGACCAGTGTTTGCTTATTCATCCCATGTCCAGAAAGAAAATCAATCGAGTGAATATGATTGGCATTCACTGTAGCTGTTTTCAGTCTGCAAATGATGACATTTTTACCCCATTTGCACTGGTTTCCTTTGCACTGAAATGAATGGCCTCTGTGTTGAAATCAGTGGTGTGGGTTAATGTCATGATAAAGTAATTAACTACATCATTAATTACATAAAATTCCACCACAGCAGACAGCGAGGCAAAAAACCTTCAGTGCTGCCAGCAGAAACACATTCCATGCAGTTCACAGAATCCTCTCTGCAAAGAGCGAATTTGCTCTGCTCTCAGCATAATGGAATGGAATAGCCCCAGGTGGGAGAGAAATCCCTCTGGATTCTCTGTTAATGGAAGAAGTTGGCCCCATCAGAGAACAATCTCTTGTCAATAATAATGGAACATTCCACCCACACTCTTCTTTAATGCCACTGTCAATCAAACTTTTTTCTTAAAAAGAGCTCGAGTGAAACAAAGCCCTTATTTGCTGTTCCCAGTTCTTTTTCTCTGGGGGTACGCAGTACACATACCCCTAAACATTTTATGAATCTTTGTACTTTTGTCCATTTACTGTATTTATTTTTTCCGATTTGAACTATAAAATGGTGATTTTCTTGAGTCAAAATGAGAGTACCCCAAACATTTTTTTTTTAGAAAAAAAGCACTGGCTGTTCCTGTTCAAAAGCTGCCAAAAGCTTACTTTTGTATCTCAATGGGGGAAAGCATAATGCACATAGTGAACTCAGTACCCAAGTAAACTAGTTCAGCGGCAAACCAGATTATGTCACTCCAAGTGCACTGGGGCTGGAACCCCTTAAAAGCAACAGCCATCAGATTATCTTGGGACTCCCCTAGAGGGGTGGAAGCTCCTCCCAAGCCTCAAGTAATGATTTGCAACCCCAGCTGATGTTCCACCAAGCAATGCAGCTCAGACGGCTATGTATCATTTGTGTTGAATGACAGGACTGATGGGGGTGGGGGTTCCCCACCCGTTCCCCAAGCAAATGTGCATCTCATCACACTGGTTTGGTATTTCCAAGCAGAAGGGCAAACCGCTGGGAAAGGAAAGGGTGGAAAAAGGACCAAAGCACGACACAACTCACCGGGTGGTGGACATAGGCTTGGCATCCGTAGCACCAGACAGAGAGGTCCGCAAAGCTAAGAACCAGCGGATGCCCAGACTCTGAGTTGTGAGCTACCATATGTTGCTTAATGTAGCGGCCACAGCAAACCTGAATGGGGTGGAAGAAAGCAGGCTTAGATGATGGTGGAAACGGCTCCAAAAGACAAGACTAACCTTCGGAATGGACCAAATAGACTCATTTGAAAATAAATAAACCAAGGACAGCTATCTGAAGCTCAACTCTTCTGCTCTTAGAGAGGACGGACCACACATCAGCACCCCATCTGGCAAGTATCAGAAGCAGAGGAGGAAGACAGAAAGCCGATACAGTGGTACCTCGGGTTACATACGCTTCAGGTTACAGACTCTGCTAACCCAGAAATAGTACCTCGGGTTAAGAAATTTGCTTCAGGATGAGAACAGAAATCAGGCGGCGGCAGCGCGGTGGCAGCGGGAGGCCCCATTAGCTAAAGTGGTGCTTCAGGTTAAGAGCAGTTTCAGGTTAAGAACGGACCTCCAGAACGAATTAAGTACGTAACCAGAGGTACCACTGTACTGTGGAGTGGATCACCTCAGAGAAATCAAGGGGGCAAGTCAGCAGGCCACAGAAGGCAGTCTGCACAGTGCCTCGACATGTTTAAGGACAATACAACATGGAGAGAAATCTCCTTGCCTTGCATACAACAAATACAGTGAACCCCACAGCAAGGAGGGAAAGGGGGAAAAAAACAATCTTTCCCAACGTAAATGTAACTGGGGTACAAAAAGACAGCATAGTGTGGCAATTAAGAGCACTGGGCTAGGATTGGGGAGATATAGGTTCAAAACCCCACTGAGTCATTAATAAATCTCACCCTAATCCCCCCCTCCAGACTGCCCTCATTTGAGGTTCCCCCATTACCGAAGCTCCAGTAGTGATAGCTTATCTGTGAGCTGTTAAACCAACTAAAACAAAACCCTTAAAAAAACAAACACCTAAAAACCCGGTACTGTTAATTCACTTTATGGATGGTGGGGGTCACTCCCAGTTTACCTAAGCCCCCCCCCCGCTTGCCCACCTTAAAGGTAAAGGGACCCCTGACCATTAGGTCCAGTCGTGGCCGACTCTGGGGTTGCGGCGCTCATCTCGCTTTATTGGCCGAGGGAGCCGGCGTACAGCTTCCGAGTCATGTGGCCAGCATGACTAAGCCACTTCTGGCAAAGCAGACCGGCGCACGGAAACGCCGTTTACCTTCCCGCTGGAGCGGTGCCTATTTATCTACTTGCGCTTTGCCCACCTTAAAGGTAAAGGTAAAGGTACCCCTGCCCGTACGGGCCAGTCTTGACAGACTCTAGGGTTGTGCGCCCATCTCACTCTATAGGCTGGGAACCAGCGCTGTCCGCAGACACTTCCGGGTCACGTGGCCAGCATGACAAGCTGCATCTGGCGAGCCAGCGCAGCACACGGAACGCCGTTTACCTTCCCGCCAGTAAGCGGTCCCTATTTATCTACTTGCACTCAGGGGTGCTTTCGAACTGCTAGGTTGGCAGGCGCTGGGACCGAGCGACAGGAGCGCACCCCGCCACGGGGATTCGAACCGCCGACCTTTCGATCGGCAAGTCCTAGGCGCTGAGGCTTTTACCCACAGCGCCACCCGCGTCCCTTTGCCCACCTTACCTTGTAACAAATCAGACAGACCCAATTCTCTGCCACGCTGCCACATTCTGCACAGGGCTCCAGCACATTCAAGCCAAGGGAAGGCACAGGGAGCACCGAGTCAAGGTGGGGGCACCATGGCAAGGGAGTCACAGCATAAAACAACCCCTAGGAAGAAAGAGAGCATCATCTCTGCATCCTGGCACCCAACCTCAACCAAGCCCAGAAAATCCAATCCCAGGTACCCTCCCATCTCTCCCCAAACTCACTTCATCTGCCAGGTCTTCTTCAAGCGGGTCACAGGAGGAAGAGCAGCCACCTGCAGCTTCGTCAAGCAGAATAACCTCCGCTAGCATTGGGGGGCCAGCCGGTGGGCTTACCTGGTTGAAGGAGGGGCGATGGAGGAAAGAGAAGAGAGATTTAGGGGAGGACTTGCTGGACAGGGAAAGGAGGTGGAGGAAACTTGCCTGAATCTCTGGAACAGACTGGGATAATACACAATTTAGAAGCAGAATGACAAACCCACACATCTGGCAAAACACCCCCCAGCCCCAGCTGCATCCTGCACATAGTTCTGACAGATGGCCAAGGGGGATGTGTCAGAAATGGAAGAGAATGAGTTTCTATGACACACAGAGGCTCTGGCAGGTCATCAGGTGTGCAAACCGTCCCCATGGGTATACGTGTCACGAGGGTATACGTCATGAGGAAGCAGAGAGGGCACTAGCAGCCAGTGGGCAGAGCACAGGCATGGCCCCAGTGGCAGCCCACGAGGAGGGCACAGTCATGGGATCACAATTTAAATGGCTTAACATTGGACCAACCGATCTGTCCCAACTCCCCAGATCTAAAACACAGCCACTCCATTCACAGAAACACTTTATTTGAATAATTAGAAAGATTATAAAATCGAGCAGAGAAACACGGCAAAGGAAGTAATCATATGCAAAGGATTTTTTAGGCTATAATGTAACTAACTCCCCACTTCTAAAGGTTCAGTGAAACCCCCCACCCCTCTTTTATATCATGGTATGAGTTCAGCCCCTTTATCAAGGAGAGGGGGGAACTGTGACCCTCCAGGTGTTGAACTACCCAGTCCCAACCAGCATGGCCCATGTGGTCAGGGATGATGGGAGCTGAAGCCCAATAACATCCAGAGGATGACAGGTTCCCCACCTCTGCCCTATAGACACCCCCCTGCCCCCAGCTTACCAGGGCCGGCCCTGATAAAACTGACACCCACCACCACCCCTCCCCATAAGCCCTTTTCAACCCATCTTTTCTCAAACCTCTTTTTTTATGGACAGAGTTTGTGTCGCCTTGACCCTGGCCCCATTCGGGTTTTTTATTAGTTCAAGGTGAGGGGCAATCTGTGGTTGCCCGGAATCCAGTAAGGAAGGTGCTCCTCTGAACCACTTTGAGCCAGACAGGGTTGCCAAAGCCTTTTCCATTTGCCCACCCCTGCCGCTCATTGCCCAGGGTAAGCTCTCGGTTGCCCTTTGGAAGGACTGGCCATGCTCCTTGCTTAAGACGATCGCTCAGCAAACATTTCCCACAAACACAGTAACCAATTCTCACATTCTCCTTTTGCAGCAGAACTGCAGGATGCCCAAACACTGCAGGAAACAGTGTGCGAATAATGAGCTCTGGCATGCTGAAAGCAGAGTTTTTAAATGGCCCCATTTCACACCCACCTTCACAGATGAGATGCACACACACACACACACACACACAATTTTGAGTCCACATACAGTGATGGGGCAGGAATGGGAAGAATGTGAGAATCTGGCCTTAGAAGAATGATAGATAGCCTTCACGGCATCAGACGAGAGCCTTTCTAGATCCCATGCTCCTGTCTCTATAATCTAGAGAGAAAGACCCCTTAGGCCATCCTCTCAAGCATCTTGCATGTTCTCTGCTACATGCAGCACCAAATACTGTAGAACCTTGGAACAAGCAAACCAAAGACTCCCATCAAATATATATCTGTATTTATTTGCAGATGTCACTCAGTTTAGATGACTTGGACCTCCAGCCGTTTATATTTCAAGCCTTTCTGGAGATGAACCTCTTCTAGCCACAGGATTCCGCTTGCCCAAAACATGCTTTTGTCTCAACTAGTTACAGAAACGTTCTTGATTAATGGGGGCGGGCAAAGGGGAGAGGAGATAAGAGGAATACATCTCTAGAGTGGCTGAGGAAACCTAGCCAGATGGGCAGGATTAAATAATAAATTATCATCATTATTATCATCCCTCCTTTCTCATTCAGATGGTTTCCCTCCAACCTAGCAACTTTAGTATGGAGGAGAGAGGGTGATTTGGAAAATATGTGGCAATTTGAGACAGGATGGAATGGGTGTGTTGTGCAATCAGACTCCGGAAATGTGAGCAGAGATAATGCCTGCCCCCACCTTCCCAAGAAAACATGCGCTTCTTCAGCAACAGGGAAAGCAAGTCACCTCTGCCCGGAAGTGAAGTAATCCCAAGGTTGATTTGAAATGGACGCAATCGTGGAATACACCAGAAAGGAACATTCTTTGTCCTTGTGGAAGCAATGAGGTTGCTGGTGTTTGATTTGTGGCTGCTGCTGGTATTGCATTGATGATTGCTGACTACTATTTGGCACATCAAGAGCCCTTGAAGCATCAGGTTCAATTCAGTGAGGTCAAACGATGGTAGATTGTGCTGCTTCTGTATTAGCTGCTCCTTACAAAGGGAGTTGCTTTAGGAAGGTACTGCCATGTCCATGCCAAACTTTAGCCGGTGAGCCTGGCTCTTGGCTTCAAAGAGAATCTGGGAGAGGGGAGAAGCCCAAAGGAACAATACTAATAAAAATAATGCTAATAACGCACAAAAGAGTGTCAAATCAGACTACAATTCAAGAAAACCTCAGGCATGAAGAGCATTGCTGGTGGTGAGGATTCCTCCGCACTGGATTCTACCACACTCGGGTGGGCAGTCACCTCCCACTGGCGGAAGGAAGCGCAAATCCCCAAAATAGGGGAATGTGGAGCCAGGGCCCTGGAAGATTTCTGTTGTGTGAGCACTAAGTTGTTCTGCTTGCATAATGTCTCGGTTGAAGTCAACCCAGAAAGTAGTCCCATTAGGGCAATAGGACTCACTCCCTAGTCTAGGGGTAGCCATAGAGAGTGCTTCCAAAAGATGGAGTTGTGATCCAAAACGTCAGGAAGGTAACACAGGGGCTGCTCCTGCCGTAGTCAAGGAAGAGGAACCTGTGCTCTTCCAGATGTTGCTGGAATCCAACTCTCATCATACCTGCCCTGGTATTCGAGAGGGGCACTGCTGCTGAACAAAGAGGCTCCGTTTAACTATTCTGGCCAATCAGTGACATTCCTAGCAGCACAGCTGGAGAGAGGGCAGGTGCAGTGGGAGGGGCCTGGCACTTGGAGCACCTCCCACTTTTTGGACGCATCAGCTGCCACTATTCCGAAGCAGAAGCCTAGGATATTCAGGAGATGGCTGGAAAAGAGAAGTCATGTGCTCTCAAAATACTACTTTCCACCACGCTGTTTTCCCGAAGAAGCATGGCTGCTGTTTTGTTTTATTTCTCATGAAGGGAAATAATTCCTTTGAAGGAGTGTAGCTTCTTACTGGGTGGGACTCTCCCTCCTACAGGGATGTTGGAAATTTCCAGTGGCCACAAGAACAGAAACGACCAGTGTTTGTATTCATCCCATGTCCAGAAAGAAAATCAATCGAGTGAATATGATTGGCATTCACTGTAGCTGTTTTCAGTCTGCAAATGATGACATTTTTACCCCATTTGCACTGGTTTCCTTTGCACTGAAATGAATGGCCTCTGTGTTGAAATCAGTGGTGTGGGTTAATGTCATGATAAAGTAATTAACTACATCATTAATTACATAAATTCCACCACAGCAGACAGCGAGGCAAAAAACCTTCAGTGCTGCCAGCAGAAACACATTCCATGCAGTTCACAGAATCTCTCTTGCAAAGAGCGAATTTGCTCTGCTCTCAGCATAATGGAATGGAATAGCCCCAGGTGGGAGAGAAATCCTCTGGATTCTCTGTTAATGGAAGAAGTTGGCCCCATCAGAGAACAATCTCTTGTCAATAATAATGGAACATTCCACCCACACTCTTCTTTAATGCCACTGTCAATCAAACTTTTTTCTTAAAGAGCTCGAGTGAAACAAAGCCTTTATTTGCTGTTCCCAGTTCTTTTTCTCTGGGGGTACGCAGTACACATACCCCTAAACATTTTATGAATCTTTGTACTTTTGTCCATTTACTGTATTTATTTTTTCCGATTTGAACTATAAAATGGTGATTTTCTTGAGTCAAAATGAGAGTACCCCAAACATTTTTTTTTTAGAAAAAAAGCACTGGCTGTTCCTGTTCAAAAAGCTTGCCAAAAAGAGGTGGCGCTGTGGATTAAACCAGAGCCTAGGACTTGCTGATCAGAAGGTGGCGGTTCAAATCCCTGCGACGTGGTGAGCTCCCATTGCTCGGTTCCCAGCTCCTGCCAACCTAGCAGTTCGAAAGCACGTCAAAGTGCAAGTAGATAAATAGGTACCGCTCTGGCGGGAAGGTAAATGGCGTTTCCGTGCACTGCTCTGGTTCGCCAGAAGCGGCTTAGTCATGCTGGCCACATGACCCGGAAGCTGTACGCTGGCTCCCTCGGCCAATAAAGCGAAATGAGCGCCGCAACCCCAGAGTCGGTCATGACTGGACCTAATGGTCAGGGGTCCCTTTACCTTTTATAATATAAAAAGTGCCATTTTGCATGGCTGAATGTGGCACAAATGTTCAGCAACCATCCACTTCACTGGGACTGGATTTTGACTCCATATCCTTAACCAGAAAGGCAGCAGCTCCCTTGCTGCTATACAATGAGCCATTTCTCTCTGTGGATGGAAATACAGAAGCCTGGGGTGCAAGCCAGATCTGGGCACTTTTCATTGATTTCGATGGGAGAGTTGAACACCTGCTGCTCAGGCAGCGTACTGGTTAGCACAGCCCAATTTTCCCCCTCTCTCACCCCCAGCTTATGTGCTATGAAAGCTGACATGACAACCCTTGTAGAATGTAGCAGGTGACTCTTCGCCCCCATCTCTGTATCTCCATGTTGGGAAAAAGATTCTGCTATTGAATTCCTGCTGGTCATTCATCTGTTAAAGGCGCAGAACTCTCGCAGGAAGAAATAATGTTTCAGACTGTCCAAGTGTCCCTATTTTCCAGGACAGTCTCAGATTTACAGAAGCTGTCCCAGTTTCTGTTTTGATCCCAGAATGTCCCGCTTTTGCTTAGGACATCTGTATTTTCACTGAAGAAATGTTGGCAGGGTATGGAGCTATGCGACCCCTGAGCCAAAGAGTTAAGTAACTATACAACTTTTAGAAGACATCTGAAAGCAGCCCTGTGCAGGGAAGTGTTGTTTGTTTTTTAATGTTTTACAGTGGTACCTCGGGTTACAGATGCTTCAGGTTACAGACACTTCAGGTTACAGACTCCGCTAACCCAGAAATAGTACCTCAGGTTAAGAACTTTGCTTCAGGATGAGAACAGAAATGGCACGGCGGCAGCAGGAGGCTGCATTAGCTAAAGTGGTACCTCAGGTTAAGAACAGTTTCAGGTTAAGAACAGACCTCTGGAGCGAATTAAGTTCGTAACCTGAGGTACCACAGTATTATGTTTTTTATGTCTGTTGGAAGCTGCCCAGAGTTGCTTAGGGCAACCCAGTGAGATGTGTGGGGTATGAATACTATTATTATTATTATTATTATTAACGACATCTCTATTTTCATTAGAGAAATGTTGGAGGGTATGTGATGCGCCTGGCCTCCTAGCCCCCTCTGCTCCAGCCCACTGAAGCTATGCTGCCCTCCCTGCCCAAAAACCCTGGAGTCCGGGGCCCCCTCCCGCCTTCTACGTTTTTGTCCCTGCTGTTTTGCCTTCCTCTGTTATTCTAGCCCCAGTGGGGTGGGAGGTTAATGGGCCTGTTGTTTCCTGTTCCCCCTCCCAGGGCTTTGAACTGACTGGATTGGTTGGGGAGGATTGGCGAGAGCTCAGGAAGCGGCAGCCCAGCAGCAGCCTCACCTCTGAGCCCCTCGTGTCTTTCATCTCCGCCCCAGTTCGGCTCCCCACTGCCACACGTACAGCCTGATCCTATAACCCAGTTAAATGGAAATACATGCCAAATTGAAGTTGACTTTGAGCGGGCTCATCAGTAGGCTTCAGCTCAAAAATGCTTGGCCTCAACTTCCAATGGCTGTTAGGGCTAATATCATGTCCCTTTTCCAGTTTCATATCAGCAGTGGATATTTGGCCAGGCCGATCCATCATCCTAGAAAAAAGGGAAAGCCAAACTCTTCCCCCACCCCCGGCGCACCTCCAGTCTTTCAGGGGCAGCTGACTGACTCCTTCAAGGGCACCGACTGTTTTTGTGAGGGTCTAATTTTTTATGACATTGTCTGGCCTCCAGTACAACAGCCAAGTTGAAATATGCTGCAGTGAGCTGCTGTTCTGGACTCTCCCTTTTCTCTCAAGATAAGGCCACATCCACGCCCATACATTTAAAAGCACCATTATACCACACACATGGGACTACAGTCATACCTCAGGTTACAGATGCTTCAGGTTGCGTTTTTTCGGGTTACGGACATGCCGAAATCCGGAAGCACTGGAACGGGTTACTTCCGGGTTTCAGCGGTCGAGCATGCACAGAAGCACTAAATCACGCTTTGCGCGTGTGCAGAAGGGCCGAATTGCAACCCGCGCGTGCGCAGACGCGCTGCTGTGGGTTGCGGATGCTGCGGGTTGCAAACGTGCCTCCCGCACGGATCACATTTGCAACCTGAGTGTCCACTGTATACAGCTGCAAATATAACGTTTTAAATCTGTTTTAAGTGCATTATACAAATTTGACACTAGATGGCGATGGTGAGCTTAGGGCAAAATCAATATATTATTCAAAACGTGTTGGTTTTTTTTTAAAAAAAAACAAAACAATTTTCACAGCATTTTATATGTGTCTAGATTTCACCATGGATTTCCCCAGCGACACCTCAGAGAGTGCTGAGGGAGCTGGCAGCTATTAGGACAAGGTGGTCCAAAGCACGGCCCTTGAGGCCATTTTTGGTGGCCCTCAGCAACACTGGGCACCCCCTTTTGCCCTGCCTTCGCAAAGCCAGGAATGCAAGGTGCTGGGCTTTAGGAAGGAGGCATGAGGGCTCTGACAGGGTCCTAGCATCCTCCCACCTCCTTCCCAAAGACTTGTTAGTGCTTTCCCAGCTTTGGGAAGGAGGTAGGTAGGAGGGCTGTAGGATCCTGCCAGTGCCTTGTGCCTCCTTGCCGAAGCTCCTTGCTTACATACCCACCAAAATTTCTCTGATCCCATTCCATAATGATAATTTTACTATTTATACCCCACACATCTTACTGAGTTGCCCCAGCCATTCTGGGCGGCTTCCAATATATATAAAAACATTAAACATTAATAAAACTTCTCTATACAGGATTGCCTTCAGACGGCTTGGGGGTCAGATAACGCCATACCCTCCAACATTTCTCCAGTGAAAATAGGGACATCCTAAGGAAAAGCGAGACAAATCAGAAACTGGGATGCCTTCTCTAAATCAGGGATGTCCCTGGAAAATAGGGACACTTGGAGGGTCTGTGCTTAGGCAGCTTTGAGAAGGCAGCGAGAGGGCTGGGTGAGTGTGTCAAGTTCTAGCCTCACTCCCAGCACAGGTTCCATGTTGAAGTACTCTTGCGGCCTACTTGGTATGAAAAGATAGACCGCTCTGTTTTTGGAGATCCCTATTCCCCTAACAGAGCTACAATTCCCAAAGTGGTTTAACAGTCAAAGTGGTAATAACAGCCCAATGCTATTTCATGACACCCTTCTAGCTTAAATTATTGCTTTTATTCATTCATTCATTCATTCATTCATTCATTCATCATTCATTCAACTTACTGCTTCTTTCTTTCTTTCTTTCTTTCTTTCTTTCTTTCTTTCTTTCTACAAAAGTAACACAAAGGGACTTAAATGAAGTCATAGTTCCACTCTTCCTGTGCTCTGATGTTCTGATGATGGCAAGTCCATAAAAAATTATTGCCTACTCCCCCCCCCAACCTACCTGTTCCATATACCCATGGCAGCCAAAGGCATCACCAGTAATAATATATGGCTGATCAGCTGTACTATGATGCAGACCTGAGAAGAAGAGGGAATGACGGGAAGAACAATGGTTCTAAATTACAAAATGCCCTCTGCTTGGTTGCATAACGGGCAATGGGTGGTATTAAATAAGATGCTTGTGCAAGGATTAGTACTGGCACAACAGGATTCCCCCCTCTCCCTCTACACACCTGCGTGTGTCCCACACTGTCCCCAAATCTGCCCTGGAGGCTTTTGGGGAAACAGATTCAGGGGGTGCACAGGAGGAGAGGAAGATCATTCTGTTGTGCAAGTAGAAATCTGTGTGCTGATGGAACTATCTTCTTAATGCGATGCTGAATACAACTCAGTTTCAGGGGATCTGCTATCTACAAGCCTAAGAACAACAATAATGGTGGCAGATACCTATGGGAAGGACTGATGTCTAGGGTCATGGAGGATGAGAACATTTCTAGTAGACCACATGTCAAGAGTTCAAAGCACGTCAAATGAATCATTTCAGCAATCCTTCTGATGAAATAGATTGACAGTGTTCTGCCTCCCATTTGCTTCTTTTTAGGGAGGGAGGAAGGTGGCTGTATTGGTTTGCAGAGGCCAAAACTATCATTCACGTCAGCTGATCACATTGCAAGAGTCAGAACGGGTAAGAGTTCCCAATGAAGAGGGAGTCTATGTGTTATATGGTATCAGGGGTCAGCAAACTTTTTCAGCAGGGGGCCGGTTCACTGTCCCTCAGACCTTGTGGGGGGCTGGAATATATTTTTTGGGGGAAATGAATGAATTCCTATGCCTCATAAATAACTCAGAGATGCATTTTAAATTAAAGGACACATTCTACTCATGTAAAAACATGCTGATTCCCGGACCGTCCACGGGCTGGATTGAGAAGGCAATTGGGCCGGATCTGGCCCCCAGGCCTTAGTTTGCCTACCCATGGTCTATATCAGGGGTCAGCAAACTTTTTCAGCAGGGGGCTGGTCCACTGTCCCTCAGACCTTGTGGGGGGGGGGAGACTATATTTTGGGGGGGAAATAAAAAATTCCTATGCCCCACAAATAACCCAGAGATGCATTATAAATAAAAGCACACATTCTACTCGTGTAAAAACATGCTGATTCCCGGACTGTCCGCGGGCCAGATTGAGAAGGTGATTGGGCCGGATCTGGCCCCTGGCCCTTAGATTGCCTACCTATGGTCTATATGTTATTTAAGGTAAAGGTAAAGGTACCCCTGCCCGTACGGGCCAGTCTTGACAGACTCTGGGGTTGTGCGCCCATCTCACTTAAGAGGCCAGGAGCCAGCACTGTCCGGAGACACTTCCGGGTCACGTGGCCAGCGTGACAAAGCTGCATCTGGCGAGCCAGCGCAGCACACGGAAACGCCGTTTACCTTCCCGCCAGTAAGCGGTCCCTATTTATCTACTTGCACCCGAGGGTGCTTTCGAACTGCTAGGTTGGCAGGCGCTGGGACCAAGCAACGGGAGCGCACCCCGCCGCGGGGATTCGAACCGCCGACCTTTTGATCGGCAAGCCCTAGGCGCTGAGGCTTTTACCCACAGCGCCACCCGCGTCCCTATATGTTATTTAGACATCGCTTAAAAAGAGGAAGAAATGCATCACCAGAGAAGAAGATGCAGAGTTGCAGAGAATTCGCTTGTGCTAGCATATTACATAGATGCCAATTTAGAAATACTTACTGTAATTTCTCTGGAAATGCATCTCACCATAGTTGCGAAGACGGCAGGCAGGTGAGCTGTGTTTCTTCTCAGTCTGCTGTGCAGAATGCCCCACATCTGAAATAGAGGACTGACCTCTGTATGGCATGGCCACCCTTGTGACTATAAGTGTTGTAGACCCATCAACAGAGGGGTGGAGACCATTTGGAACTAAGCATAATACCATGTGGGACTTAACTCCTATGTGATTTCCAACTTCTCCTCTTCCGATTTTTAGTTCCCAGATGTCAGCTGTCAACTCAGGCGTCCCTATCAGGCCTGATGGAACAAAGACAGACTCCAGAAGGGACACTGGGGATGCCACAAAAATCACCCCCAATTCAGGTGAGTAACCTGACCATTTAATTCAATATAAATTCTTCTGGGTTACAGGTAAGCCAGACTTCTGGTCGGCGCCAGTGTCTAATGGCGGTCTTTGCCTCGAGCTCCGAGGGAAGACTGCTCCGCAAGTTCGGGTCTGACCCGCTACGGCGAGCGGGGGACCCCTAAAATTGCAGGCGCTGAAGCCTGTAAGCAAGGAGACTCGGTGGGCACCTTTGGCGCCCCCCGGTACTGCGAAAGAGCCTTTTTAAAGGCTACGGAGCGGCATCGGGTGTGAGCGCGGTGCTGAGAGTCGTCACCCAGCTTGCGGAGTGAAGCCGCGTCGCCATTGAACAGAGAGCGCCGATTCCTTCCTGAAAATTGAATTTGGACTACAAACCCGTGAGTAAGATTGACAAATGAAACGGGACTTTTAAAAGTGGATTTCTAAATTTGGCTGAAAACGGGAAAGGCATAAAGTAAGGAAGTCTGCCTCCCCGGACTGCATGTAAATAAAGCAACGAAAAGACAGGCTGCATTCAAAGGAAGGTTAACCTTTAAGCTGTCTAAACCGGACATCAGATAGAAATTTCCCCCCCTAGCTAGCAGGAGAAGGGGGGGGAGGAAAATTGGAAGATTTAAAACCTGCCTGAAAGAACGGGAGAAAGAGAGCCTCCACTGTCAAATCCCTGAGTCGGGCTGCCGGAGCAAACACCGGGCAGCTGAGCTGTCAATTCAAATTGGATACAAAGTTAAGATCTTGACTGGGACAAAGTTACAGGACTTTAATGTAGCTATTTTGTGAACAGCTAAGTTGAAACTGTAAAGAGTGCTTTGACTGTGGACTTTGGGACTTTGCTGTTTGGACTCTTTGTTTCTTTGTTTTCTATCTCAAGTGCTTTTGGCTTTTTAAACTGGATACAATTAAATGCTCCCTCTAGAGGACTTAAAGAAAACTTGCTACTGTAGAAGGGAAAGAGTGGAAATTTCCACCTCTAAGCCTTTCCTGTGAGAATTGACCTTGAGGACATGAGTGGCCAACCAGATGAGATAACAACTAGATCCAAAGCAAAACAAACTCAACAAACTCAAAAGAAAAGAGGGTCGATGCAAGGCACAATACCAGCTGGACAGGAAAAAGCACCAACTGCATCTATGGAGTCAATGACACAGGCTTTGCTTAAAATAAACCAGTCTTTGGAAGCACTGACAAAGCAGTCGGCGGAGAACACAAAAAAACTGAATGACTTGACAACCAGACTAGATCTGAACACAGCAAGTGTAGCCTCCAACACAGACTCTATAAATAAACTTATTCAAGAAAATTCTGAAACAAGAAAGATTGCTCAAAGCGCAAAAGATACAGCTGAAGAAACTAAGAGGGAGCTTGCACCAATTACAAAAAAGGTGAATGAACACGAAGCAACTTTGTCTTTGTGGGAACTTCAGAGAAAGGAGAAGAACCTTAAATTACGATCAGTGCCAGAGGAGGAGAAAGACAGTCTTATAGATTTCCTCACAGAAAACATCTTTGAATTTTGGCAGGACGAATTTCAGGAGGAAGAATTTGAAATAACAACGGCCTTCCGGTTGGGCAGAAGGCAAGGAAAGAAGCCTAGGGATTGTTTGATCACACTGAGATCTAAAGAAGAGAGAGATAAAATACTAAATCTACACTACCAAAGGTCTCTTGTAATCCAGAACTGCCAAGTCCAGATCTTTAAAGACATCCCTAAATATATACTGGAGGTGAGGGCCTTTTACAAAGATCTCGTCTACCTTCTGAAGAAGAACAGCATACCTTTCAGGTGGGAGTTCCCACAAGGACTGTCTTTTAACTATACAGGAAGGAAGATAAAAATAAAAACAGTTCAAGACAAAGAACTGTTTTTGGAAAGAAACTTGGAGGACCTGCAGAAAGGAACAGTAGACCTAACAGCAGAAAAAGAGCCGACTGATATAGCAAATCTCTCATTTGGACTTTTACTACCATCGGAGGAGGAACAAAAACTTGGAGCAGTTGGAGGAGTAGGTACATAGCATCAAAATGTCTCTGCAACTTCTTAGCTGGAATTGTAATGGACTCAATCTCCCCAGGAAGAGACGCCAAGTCTTTCATATTTTGAAAAGAGAACAATTGGACTTAATTTGTTTGCAAGAAACGCATGTGATTAGGACACATAGGAAATTACTTATAAATAAGAGGCTTGGACAAGAATTTATCTCATCAGATAAAGTTAAAAAAAGAGGTGTTGTGATTTATGCAAAGGAAAGATTGGCCCCTAAAATGATTTTCAAAGATGAACAAGGAAGATACCTGGCGATAGAAATACAAGTTCAAGGAGAAAGAATTATGATTCTCGGAATATATGCACCAAATGAGGGGAAGGCGGAATTCTTCAGGAAGTTGCATGAGACTTTAATGGACTATTTGGACTTTAAAATTATAATGATGGGAGACATGAATGGTGTTGTCTCCACTAATATGGATAAGGCACAGAGACAGATAATCTCCAACGATGGAAGACTTCCAAAGACCTTTTTTGAAATGACTGAAACACTGGACTTGATTGATATTTGGAGAGTAAGGAACCCTCTAGAGAGGGAGGGAACTTTCTTCTCTGAAGCAAAAATGACCTGGACAAGGATTGATCAAATTTGGGTATCTAGCTGTATGGCACCGAAGATAAAAAAAGCAGAAATTTGCCCAAAGACTTGCTCCGACCACAATGCAGTGAAGATAGAGCACCAATGGAGGCTAAAGAGATAAAGAAACTAAATATGGAGTCCAAATGGCCAAAATATTGCGAAATTATAGAACAAGATGGTGAAAGAGTTAAATTGCAGAGTTTTGATAAATTAAAGTCTAAGGTACGAGACTGGTTGCATTACCGTCAGATAAACGAAGTATTTAAACAGGACAGGAAAATAGGTTTCCAGATGGAGAGGTCGAAATTAGAAACAGAACTGCTAGAACCCAATACCAAGAACTTGTCGAGAATGTACAATTTGCTGCTGAAGTGGAATACACAAGAGGAAGTAGTAAAATCAGCCATGATTAAATGGGCACAAGACATAGGTCATGACATAATGTTTGATGACTGGGAACAGTTATGGAATTCAGGTATTAAGTTTACAGCTTGTAATGCATTAAGAGAGAATATAATGAAAATGATCTATAGGTGGTACATGACCCCAGTCAAACTTGCAAAAATCTATCATTTGCCCAGTAACAAATGTTGGAAATGTAATGAGATTGAAGGTACCTTCTATCACCTTTGGTGGACCTGCCCGAAGGTAAAGGCCTACTGGGAAATGATCTATAATGAAATTAAAAAAGTCCTTAAATGGACATTTTTGAAAAAGCCAGAGGCCTTTCTTTTGGGTATGGTAGGCCGATTGGTGCCAAGGAAGGACAGAAATTTCTTTATGTATGCTACCACAGCGGCGAGAATTCTTCTAGCAAAGTATTGGAAGACGCAACAGCTACCTACTCTGGAAGAATGGCAAGCGAAGGTGACTGAGTACATGGGTATGGCAGAGATGACCGGCAGAATCCGCGACCAGGGGAGAGAGACGGTGGAAGAGGACTGGAAGAAATTTAAAAAATATCTCAAAGACTGTTGTAAAATTGATGATGGCTGAGATGTTATGGTTATAAGAAATAGAGAATTGCAGTTGTAAATCTTAACTTTAAAAAATGCATAATGAAAATGAGCGAACAAATTGAAACGAAGGGTTGCTGAGAAAGGGTTAACATAAGGATGCAGAAAAAGGGAGGTATGGGGAAGTCCGGGAAAGAAGGTTTATGAAAATAATTTTAAGAAATTATACATGTTTATTTGTTTGTATGTTTTGTTTTGTTTTATTTTTTGTTTTCTATATGTTTGGAAAATTAATAAAAATTATTAAAAAAAAAAAAATACAGGTAAGCCAAATGGGCTATTCAGCCTTGCCCCCGGCTCCATGCATGTAGAGCACTCTCCCTGGGTCAATTGTTGCTCCTAGCCACAGCAAGAGATATTGGTGAACAACAGAAATGGGGGTGCAGGGCAACTTGCCTTAGAAGGAACTGGCCCAGCTCACGATGTTCTGCCACGCCAAGCAGATGCATGCCTTGTACAGTCAGTGTTGCTGAAATATACTCAGAGTTGAGTGTGGATTTCATGCTCTTTATTCAGCTCATAGTAGTGAGGAATGGAAGTTCCCCCAAAATGTCTGCTTTATATACATTATTTACACAATGGGCCCCACGTGATTGGCTAATTCCGGGATTCTCCTGTAGGCCAATCAGGTTGCGGATTCACTTCCACCTGGAGCTGGATTGGGTGGCTCCTGCGGACCAATCAGACTGCTGCATTCTGAATCCTATTGTTCTAGGACCAATCAGGCTGCTGCATTTTGGATCCTATTCAACTCAGTACATAACAGTTGCCAAGGGGCACTGTCTCACCAAGCACGGCCTGCTCTCAGCCAGCCCCCGTCTGCAGGGGCGTGGGAAGGGGGGTGCGGTGGGTGCGGTCCACCCCGGGTGTCCCGGGGGTGGTGTGAGGGGGGTGACAAAATGCCAGGCAGCACTCACCGTGGGGCCTGCAGCGTGCCCAAGTCATGCATCTCTCCTGGGAGAGACATAGTGGCTTGGGTGTGTGCAGGCTCCCCACTGCCCAAACGGTCCGCCCGCTGCCTCCCACCCCCAGCTGTAGGGCGACTGAGTGGGAGGAGGCAGGCAGACTTCAGAGGCCCTGCGGTGCGCCCCGCCCCTATGGGCTGTGCCCCCCGCCCCTGGGCGCACTGCCCCAGGTGCCCGAGCGGCTTCCTCCGTCGCTGCCCGCCACCTGCCTTCTGACTTCCAACCTATAATTGGCTCTGGCTGTTAAACCACTGAGCCTCTTGGGCTTGCCCATCAGAAGGTCTCCGGTTCGAATCCCCATGACGGGGTGAGCTCCCGTTGCTCGGTTCCTTCTCCTTCCAACCTAGCAGTTTGAAAGCACGTCAAAGTGCAAGTAGATAAATAGGTACCACTCCGGCGGGAAGGTAAACGGCGTTTCCATGCGCTGCTCTGGGTCAGCAGAAGCGGCTTAGTCAGGCTGGCCACATGACCTGGAAGCTGTACGCCGGCTCCCTTGGCTAGTAAAGCGAGATGAGCGCCATAACCCCAGAGTTGTCCGCGACTGGACCTAATGGTCAGGGGTCCCTTTACCTTTACCACCTGGTGTTGGTCTCCCTGTCTTCTGCCCTACCAGTCCCAATGGGGTCCAGCCACCACTGCAACTCGAAATTTCTTTTTTGTTTAGGTTAAGGGATGTGTATGTCATTGTTGTTGTCATTTGCTTTAGGGGCAGTTTCCAGAAAAGGAAGGTGCTAGGCCAGCTCCCCCACCCCTAAACAAGCCAAGTTGTGTGTGTGTGTGTGTTTGTTTGTTTGTTTGTTTGTTTGTTTGTTTGTTTGTTTGTTTGAAGAATAGATTATGCAATTGATTTGGTTAGAGGTGAAAAGTAAAAATTGGTAGAGGATATTTATTTGTTTATTATTTATGTATGTATGTATGTATGTATGTATGTATGTATGTATGTATTTATTTATTTATTATACCCCACCCATCTGGCTGGGCTTCCCCAGCCACTCTGGGCGGCTTCCAACAAAATACAGTAATGGTAATACATCAAACATTAAAAGCTTCCCTAAACAGGGCTGCCTTCAGATGTCTTCTAAAAGTTTTGTAGTTATTTTTCTCTTTGACATCTGGTGGGATGGCATTCCACAGGGCGGGTGCCACTACCGAGAAGGCCCTCTGCCTGGTTCCCTGTAACTTGGCTTCCTTCTCGCAGCGAGGGAACTGCCAGAAGGCCCTCAGCACTGGACCTCAGTGTCCAGGCAGAACGATGGAGATGGAGATGCTCCTTCAGGTATACTGGACCGAGGCCGTTCAGGGCTTTAAAGGTCAGCACCAACACTTTGAATTGTGCTTGGAAACGTACTGGGAGCCAATGTGTTATGTGGTCTCGGCAACTGTCTAGCTGCTGCATTCTAGATTAGTTGTCATTTCCAGGTCACCTTCAAAGGTAGCCCCACATAGAGCGCATTGCAGTAGTCCAAGTGAGAGATAACTAGAGCATGCACCACTCTGGCATGACAGTTTGTGGGCAGGTAGCATCTCAGCCTGTGTACCAGATGGAGCTGGTAGACAGCTGCCCTGGACACAGAACTGACCTGCGCCTCCATGGACAGCTGTGTATATATAATTTTTATTTATTTTCCATTTAATATTATACAGTCACATCATCATTATCCACTTGACCGCTTTGGCTCTTTAGAGCCTATCGACTTCCTTCCCTCCCGCCTCAAAATTAACCTTTATATCATTGCATTTTGCACGTTTTCCAGTTCTAATTACACTCATTACAAAATAGCTCAAAATTTAAATGAAAATAGAAAGATAGAAAATGTCTCATTACAAGTCTTCAGACAACCCTGCTAGTGATGTTAATTGCTGTCAGGGGTTCAGGGAGAGAGGCACAGATGAGGGAGGAGACTGAGAGCGAGGGGGAAGAATCCCGGAATGAGGAGGAGGAGGATGACAATGACTTGAGGGTTTCCATGAGTCTTTCTAGTGAATCGGAGGATTCCCAAAAGGGGGCGCCCCTGGTCAGGCCAAGGGGAGCCACAGGGGGGACTCGTCAGGAGCAGGGGAGCAGCAGGGAAATCCCGAGTGGGAGTGGGAGATCGGGGCCGGCTTCCCCGCCGGAACGGAGTGAAGAGGGTGGAGTTCCCAGTGTGACAGGCGAAGCAGAGCAGGAAGCAGAGAGGGGAAGGAGATCGGGGCAAGACGTCCTGCCGGAAGGGGCGGAGAGTAGTACAGAGAGTAGTGTAACTGTCAAGAGGAAGGTCAGGGGTAGCGAACGCGTGCCAAGTTCAAATGTGGAGGCGCGCGGAAATGCGGAGAGCCCGGAGGAGGAGCCTGGTCCCAAAGCACGGAGGAGGGGGGAACAGGCGTCTGGGGACTCAGCGTCAGGGGAAAGCAGGAGGGAAGGAACCCAGGGGGGCAGAATGACCCTGCGGAAAAGGAAGGACAGGAAGAGGTGGACCAGCACAAGCCTCTTAAACTGGTGTAGAGGCGGGACTGATTCAGAGGGGACTTCAGCGGTCTAAGCGTAACAGACGTGGGGCTGCGCGCCTCTGCTGTGGAACAAACAATGTACTTCAATAAAGACTTTTGTAAATAAAGTGGACTTGGCGTTGGTCTCTTGTGAGCTGGGACCTGAGGCGGCCCTGACAATTGCTTACAATAATCTTTCACATATCGTATAAATTTACTCCAGTCCTTTTGGAATACTTGATCATGCTGGTTTCGGATTTTTCCCGCCAGCTTCGCCAGTTCTGCAAAGTCCATCATCTTCATCTGCCACTAGGGCTGCACTGTTCTCACTCGCCCCACAGGCAAAGCCACGGCAGGGTCTCTGTTGTCGAGCTGTGTTGTGCTTGCACCTTCCTCCAGCTACTACTTAGCAATGTAGTTGCTATTGAAGCTGGTGGCACTAATATCTCGAAAGGCAATTTGGGGATCTAAAGCTACGATTTGTTATTCAATGAGACTCGGCACAGAAGCAAATCTTTTCTTTTTAAATAAAAACCCCTGAAATTGTAATTAAAGTTAATTCAAAAGGGGCAATTAGGCTTCCATTAAGTGCCTTTTAATTCAATTTTTAAATTTTGGCTTTTACTATGCATGGAGCGATTAATGGGATCTTTGCATTATTCATTTAAAAGTATGAAAGCTATTATTTTAAAGTTTCACATGCTCTCAGTAAGGGCACAATTTTCATAACTAGGAAAGCTGCATTCAGCTCTCAAGGAGAGTTGCTGGATAGAGAGTTGAGCTGAGTCAAGCAAGGGTGGACCTAATTGCGCTCCCATGGGGGAGCATCAACAGCGCAAAAGGCACCTTGCCAATTGCCATGCGCAATGCCTGGGGTTAATGCTGCAGACAAAATGTGTCTGCTTCCCACTCTGAGATTTAGAGTCCCTCTGAGATTTTGGGCACTTCCAGACTCACTAGTTTCAGGTGGGATTCAGTCACATACCAGAAAATTCAGATTGCACAATTAAAGTTGATTTGATGCTCTTGCACAGCAAATCTATACTCTGCCCACCTCCCAAATCTCACTTTTTGCAATAAGGGAAGTGCTGCTAAAATGCACCAGAAAGTGTAAGATAACATCTGCTTGAATGCGATGGTCCCTGCATATAAATCAGAACGAATGCTCAATAAATAGCTAATGTTGCCTAATCTCCTGACAAACAAATTGGGAGGAGTGCTCAATAAACAAGTTCTGTGGATGTGACCTTAGCCCAGGGGTTGGCAAGGTTTACATGAAGCCGCTGGAAGAGATAATCAGGGGGTTTGGACTGGGTGTCCATCAATATGCAGATGATACCCAGCTCTACCTCTCTTTCAAATCAGAACCAGTGAAGGCGGTGAAGGTCCTGTGCGAGTGCCTGGAGGTGGTTGGAGGATGGATGGCGGCTAATGGATTGAGGTTGAATCCTGACAAGACAGAAGTACTGTTTTGGGGGGGACAGGGGGTGGGCTGGTGTGGCGGACTCCCTGGTCCTGAGTGGGGTAACTGTGCCCCTGAAGGACCAGGTGTGCAGCCTGGGAGTCATTTTGGACTCACTGCTGTCCATGGAGGCGCAGGTCAATTCTGTATCCAGGGCAGCTGTTTACCAGCTCCATCTGGTACACAGGCTGAGACCCTACCTGCCTGCAGACTGTCTTGCCAGAGTGGTGCATGCTCTAGTTATCTCACGCTTGGACTACTGCAATGCGCTCTACGTGGGGCTACCTTTGAAGGTGACCCGGAAACTACAACTAATCCAGAATGCGGCAGCTAGACTGGTGACTGGGGGCGGCCGCCGAGACCACATAACACTGGTCTTTGTTTACTCATGTCCGACTCTTAGGAGTGAGGCTTAAAAGCCTTCATTTGTATTTAGTCAAGAAGGGAAGCTACCTATTGCATAGTGTTTGTGCAGGGTTTTTGTGTCAGCACCATGCGGATAGGGCCTTAAGCAACCTCATCTTATGTTGTTGGCGTCGTTGTGACTGAATTTTCCAAAAAGAAACAAATACAAATAAAGGCAAACAATACAAACTAAAAATAAGTAAATAAAGGGGAAATTAACCCCCCCCCCATGGCCATGTATTCCCAGAGGATTTTTGTGGTTGCTTTACCTCATAATAATTAGCAGTCTAAGTGGTCCTGAAGAATAATCACATAGTCGAAAGCGCAGGGGAGTGGGTGAGCCCTTCCTCTGCCCACTCTTCCCTCAGAGACACTTCCTTTCCCTCCCATCCTTTCCTAAATGATGTGCATTCCAGGGCTGTGAAAACAAGATTAGGCGGCATGCAGCGCTATCCTAGGCATGTCCACTCAGAGGTAAGTCCTACTACGTTCAGTGGGACTTACAGGTATATGTGTATAGTGTGGGATGTGAAACACAAGAGCAGTCAAGTACAACATTTGCCAAAAATTTGTGCTTCTGACATGGGTTGCCATATGTCCAGATTTTCCTGAACATTTCAACATGTCACCCCCCCCCCGTTTAAGAGGGCAGAATACTGTATCGGCTATGTCTGGGAAATTCTGGATGTATGGCAACCCTAATTTAGGAGCCATTTTGGCATATAAGCTGTATAGAAATCAATAAATAAACAATAACCATTCCTTCTTTCAATTGCCAGAGCATGAAGAATCATTTGGAAACATCTCTTTCCCTGAAAACCAGAGATACTCGCCTGGGGAGTTTAATTCCAGTGAAGATTTCTCCCTCATTCCTTCTGCCCAGATACCAAAGAAAGCGGAAAATGGTAAGATGAAAGTGGGGGGGGGGGAGAGAGAGTTCATAAGCAGAGGAAGCTAAGAAACAAGAGCCTAAATAGAGATCTTGGTTTTATTGGATTACGGTAATGGTCTGTAATCCCCCTGCTGCCCCATTATTTATTTACTGTAGCCCTTTATGTATTGATCAAGCCACACGCATTGAGTCTCTGCACACAGAAGCTGTACAGTTGCTTGCAGACTCTGCCCTCGGGGGTCTGTCCCCAGGGGACAAGGATCCCAATTCCATCACCCCATTGATTCTTCGTGCTTTGAGAAGTCTGCCTGGGGCTAAAGTGTGTTGTGGTATATGGTATCGGCGTGGCAATGATGAGGCAGGCAGAGAAGGGAAGGAGCCTGGCATGGCCGCAGCCTGCAAAAGGATCGCCATCTTTGGCACCTCTGGCATGACCAGCCTGGCCACCCTGGCGCAAGCCATCAAGGTTGGGGACCAGGTTCTGGTGCTGGTGCGTGACCCAATCTGGCTTCTTTTGCACGAATTTATGTACAGTGGTACCTCGGGTTAAGTACTTAATTCGTTCCAGAGGTCCATTCTTAACCTGAAACTGTTCTTAACCTGAAGCACCACTTTAGCTAATGGGGCCTCCTGCTGCCACCGCTGTTGTGCGATTTCTGTTCTCAACCTGAAGCAAAGTTCTTAACCAGAGGTACTATTTCTGAGTTAGCGGTTTCAGTAACCTGAAGCGTCTGTAACCTGAAGCTTCTTTAACCTGAGGTACCACTGTATGGAAGGGACGCGGGTGGCGCTGTGGGTTAAACCACAGAGCCTAGGACTTGCCAATCAGAAGTTCGGCGGTTTGAATCCCCGCGACGGGGTGAGCTCCCGTTGCTCAGTCCCTGCTCCTGCCAACCTAGCAGTTCGAAAGCACGCAAAAGTGCAAGTAGATAAATAGGTACTGCTCCAGTGGAAAGGTAAACGGTGTTTGCTTAAGCTGCTCTGGTTTGCCAGAAGCGACTTAGTCATGCTGGCCACATGACCCGGAAGCTGTACGCCAGCTCCCTCGGCCAATAAAGTGAGATGAGCGCCGCAACCCCAGAGTTGGCCATGATTGGACCTAATGGTCAGGGGTCCCTTTATCTTTACTAGCTTTTTAAAAAAGTAAATAGCCACCACAGCATGGGGAGATGAGAAGGATTGGAACCACAGTGTGCAAGGAGGAGGTTTAACCATTGCCCTCCGTCAACGGTGCCGGCAAAAGTTGCCCCCTTCTAAAACTGCTGTTGGCAATTTGCGAGGGAAGAGTTATTATTCTTGCAGCATAAGCTTTCGCAGATTAGAACCCGCTTCACCCAGTGCCAACGTTGCAACTGCAGGCTTCAGGTTACCTTTCCCTTTCTTTGCAGAACGCCCCCAGTCCGTCATCGCTGGCATCGCCAACTCCTCTTTCCAGCCAGGGAAGGTTGCCCTCCATCCTGCCTACTGCGCCAACGGCTGTGGGCTTCCCCCGGCTTCCGTGAGGCAGCAGCCGCGAGTCTCCAAGAAGCAGCGCATCAGCTCCACCGCCTCCGTCTGCACCAACAGCAGTAAGAAGAGCTGCAAATCCACAGCATCTCAGATCCAGGAGGTGGCTGGGGATGGTGAGTGCATGGGCACTGAGGGTGGGAGGTAGTTTGGGAAGGATGGGTCAATGGGTGGGACACCGCAGAAGACTCCGATGGAGAGTAAGAGGCTCAAAATAGTGACATGGGGGCTTAGCTGGAGCTCAGTGGTGGGCCATAAGCACTGAGACACTAGCAAAGGGCTTTCTTTAGCCTCTTCCTTTCCAGTGTGAACAATGGGGTACAATGATTATGGGAGAGGGCTGTTGGCCTTGCTGTAAACAAAAACCTGCCCTTTTTTCCCTTATGGGGTATCCAAGAGCCCATATAGAGTCCTTACGTAGGTTCCCTATTGGTAGGAGAAAATAACAGAGGCCAACCAGGGACTATTGGGAAGCAAAGCAGCTAGGAAGCTTGATCTTTATTGATCTGTTGCAACAGGGTCCTCACTCACCACACGCAGGAGGGAGGAGGAACCCCAAAGAAAAGGTGTGCCTAAATATAGACATTTTAAATTCCCTGCCCTGGAGCTCAAGACCACCCCTCCATACATCATACATACATCACAGAAGGGGTGTAACCTAAGACTACCCCCCAGATACATTATACCTACATCACAGAAAAGGCGGTCTACAGCAGAATCTGAGTGCCTTGTTTATCTCATCTTACTTGTTACCTGTTTAATGGTCACTTTATTGGATTGCCTGGGGAGCCTGGCCAGTCTTTTGTAATGATAAATACTTAGTTCCTGAGCCAGGTCACAGGCTCACACCCTATTCATATCTTAAATGTGCCCTTAAGACAGGATTTGTGAAGGAAAAGACAGTGGGGAGGCAAGTCAAAAATGGTTTCAGGTCGGTCTTCCTGTGCTGATCTATGTACGTGCTTGGTTGGTACACCTATGAACATTTAACATATATCTAGTTCAATAGTTTTTTATTAAAAAAAATTCCATAAATTCTCCCATCATCATTTTTCCACAACACATATTTTGATTTGTTGAACTTCCCTCAACTCCTCTGAAATCTTCCATAATTATTCCTTTATCTACACATTTCTTAATTTTAATATCACCTTTGAGTAATATTTGAATCCTCATTTATCTTTTTGCGATATTCGTTGTTTTTCACAAAGCCTCTTCAAAGCATACTAGCGTTGTATTCTCCTCACATACACTTTCCAAATACTCTCTAAATTTACCCGTCCTCCAAAAACTTATAATCTTTCTGAAATCTAATTTTTCCAGTCAGTTTATCCAGTTCCGCATACTCTGTTAGTTTTGATCTCCATTCTTCCAAAGTCGGCACTTGTTCCTGTTTCCAACGTTGGGCTATCAGCATTCTCGCTGCAGTTATGGCATATTGGAAGAGCTTGAAATCCCTCTTGTTTATTTCCTTTCTGGTTATCCCTAATAGGAAGGTCTCTGGTTTCTTTACAAAACTGTACCTTAGCATTTTCTTTAACTCATTATACATTTTCTCCCAGAAACCCTTCACTATCTTACATTCCCACCACATATGCATGAACGAACCCTCTTTCTCTCTACATCTCCAGCACTTATTACAGGTTTTATACATCTTTCTCCATCTTGCAAAAAAGATGCATTTAACATATATCTAAGACCTCAAAATTCCTATCACAGCCTTATGTGCTCTGGCTGGACATTGAGGAGGAAAAGGATGCCTTTGGGTTTAACCCAACGAGGCTCTTCCTATGTCCTTCAAGTCTACCTGCCCATACCCCTTCCCTTCTGTGACCATAGGAAAGGTCAGCCAATCACTGCCAGTGACTTTATCACCCGCGCAAGCCCCATCTCATATTATGACGCTTTGCGATATTTATTTTGGCTGTATTATTGTAAGACTGGCTTACCGGTATTTTACCTTTAACTTTCTTGATTTGATTTTTGATGAGAATAACAATGCACACTACAAATACAAGCAAGAAGAAGAAGTCCCAACGAAAGAAGAATGGATACAAAAACTTGTGGAATATGCAGAAATGGCAAAACTTACCGGAAAAATAACAAATCGAGAAAACAAACTTTTTAAAAAAGGAATGGAAATGGTTTATTGAATATTTACAAATAAATTGTAAACAGATAAGAACATTGGCAGGATTGTTGTAATAGCCTGAAGTTTTATGAGAGTATCTACCGTATTTTTCCGTGTATAAGACGAGGGTTGTTTTTTTAAACCAAAAAATTAGATTTAAAATTGGGGCTCATCTTATACACGAGTAGTGCTGAGGGGTTTTTTCTTAATTTGGAGTCCCCAAAAATAGAGGGTGTCTTATACACAGAAAAATGTGAGATTTAAAGTAGATGAATAAATTAGTAAATTAAGTTAATTTGGATATGCAGAAAATATTAAAAATAAATTTAAAGAACCGCAGAAAGAGGGAGAAGGAAGTCAAGTTTTGAAATGTTCAAATGATTATAAAATTATTGAAATATATAAAATTGAAAATAATAAATAAAATAATAATAAAAAGATACAAATACAAGCGACGCCACACCTTAGAAAACTGACGACACTGGCAACAGTGAGGCGTCTTATGCTCCTTAAGAGACCTCCCACCTCTTGTGTACTCTGAAACAGGCAAAAGAGGCTCTGATCATTAGCCAGCTCACCCTGGGAAGCCCAGAGGCTAAAGAGCAAGGCGCTCTTTACCCAGGGGAGCAGCTAAGCATGCAACCTCCTTCCCCACTGGTGGCCTTAAGTGGTGCCCTTCCAGCAGGGCTGCACCATGTGACTGTTCTGGCTTCAGAGGCCAACTCTTCAGGCTCGCTGTTGTGGAGTGCCTAATGAGTTTAAAGAGAATCAAGCCAGATGTTTCCCAATTGCCTTTGCACGCCTTAAGATAGAGAGGACTGCAGCGGGGGCCTCGGCTGTCATATGAGCCTGGCCCCCAGTTTTTCAGATGAAATAACAGAAGAGCATTCCAGCAAATTTTAATGGCAGTTCAGCCACTGGTTTTTCCTCTTGTATGCTTTGAAGTAGGTTTTCCACTTTTTTAATTCACTTTTTGCTTTTTAAAAAAAGAAGCAAAACTACCCAAGGGATTGGGGTTCAGAGACAGACAACTTCATGACTGCATGCAATAATCCACAGCTGGCTTCTGCTGGAGGAAGGCATAGCTGGTATTTTCAGAGAGGAATGATGCTTTGGGTAGCCAAACTAAGGCCCGGGGACTGGATCCGGCCCAATCGCCTTCTAAATCCAGCCCACGGATGATCCGGGAATCAGCGTGTTTTTACATGAGTAGAATGTGTCCTTTTATTTAAAATGCATCTCTGGGTGATTTGTGGGGCATAGGAATTTGTTCATTCCCTCCCCTTCAAAATATAGTCTGGCCCCCCAGTGGTGTAGCGTGGGGGTGCAGGGGGGCCGGCCGCACCGGGCGCAACATCTGGGGTTAGGGCAAATCCACGGGTTAGGGGGCGCAAATCCACGGGTTAGGGGGCGCAAATTACTTGCCTTGCCCCGGGTGCTGACAACCCACGCTACGCCGCTGTGGCCCCCCACAAGGTCTGAGGGACAGTGGACCGGCCCCCTGCTGAAAAAGTTTGCTGACCGCTGCTTTAGAATTACGCTTTGCAGGGGGGTTTCCATATCAGCCCTCCTATTTGCCTTCACGCTCTCCTTCCTTTCCACAGAGCTGTGTGCCACTCTCCTCTTAGCTTGCCTCTTCTGCCGTTTCTCGGACATCCTGCCTCTTTTCTCCGGGCCCTTCTGCTCTTGCTTCCCTGTGCCATCCTGCAGCTCCAGGCTCCTGGGCTTTTGCTCGGACCCCCAGGGCTGCTGCTGCTGCTGCTGCTGCTGTCGGTTTGAGGAGCCGGCCCTGGAGTTATGCTACCAGACTGGTGACTGTCTCGAACTTGCATTAGAAGTGTCTGAGCTGTGCTATCACTGACTAACCTTGGCTGCCAAAGATGCCTCCTACTAATCTTTACTTCTTCCTGGGATCCTTATGGCAGGTGAGCAAACTTTAGTCTGAATATATTTAATTCGGATCGGCTTTTTGGTGCACACTTGTCTTTGCAGGCTTGGATTATTTACATTTCCGGGAATATTTATCCAGACTATGGGACTCTCTCACCTCAGAAGTGCCTATGGCTTCTGTGCTGTGGATTTTAATTTATTTTAAGAAACACTTTTTTAAAAATGACCTTTTCTTAAATAAGTCCCCCCCCCCGAGAACTATGTTACTGAATATAGTTGAGATATTAATCTCTGTTAGCTGTTTTAATTAGTCTTTTTAACAACTGTTCTTGCTGCTGCCTTGTCAGTTTTGATTCTTGTTAGATTGTTCATTGCATGAGTTGCCTCGGTGGCATCAGTGGCGTAGCATGGGGGGTGCAGGGCGGGCCGGCCGCACCGGGTGCAACATCTGGGGGGGCGTGCTTGCCACCTCCGGAGTCGCCAAAGAGCCTCGGGCGCAGGCTATAGCAGAGCCCCATGTCTCGTGGAACCGACGAGCTGGCAGCGGCTCTCAGCGCTCGCCGCGGTCCCCGCGCGTCAGGGCCGCGGAGGGCGTGCCAGGCAGCCCCGCCTCACAGCCCCGCCGCCGCCGCTGCTGCTGCAGCTGCTGGGCCATGTTGCATTTTCCTCGCCTCTCTGCCCTCCTCCTCCTCCGGGCAAGCGGCGTCGTTTGGGCGGCAGCGCCAGCGGCAACTCGCCTCAGATCACCTGACACGGACCCGCCGCCGCCGCCATGGCTACCTTACCGTAAATACCCCAGCCCAGGCAGCAGCAAGAAGAAGCTGGCAGCGGCGGCAGGTTAGGGGTTAGGGGGCGCAAATTACTTGCCTTGCCCCGGGTTAGGGAGCGCAAATTACTTGCCTTGCCCCGGGTGCTGACAACCCACGCTACACCGCTGGGTGGCATATAGATGATTGAATAATAACTAGTTATGCAGTATCTACATTGACTCTAACCCAGCCTGGTTGACACATCCCTGGCTCCAGAGGCTGGCATGGCTGAACGTTTGCCGGGGCCTCAAGGCTGCCCAAGAGCCAGTGGCCCTCACATCCCTGCCACCCTCCCATTACATGGAGCACCCCAGATGACCAGAGATTGTGGGAGACCATGATCCCTTTGCATGTCCTGAGATCATTCTCTCTATGCATGTTTGAGGGCAACTTCTCAGAATCCAAGAGCCAGCCTTGCTGCAGCTCTCACTCTCTGGCTGATTTGTTGGTTAGGACCATTGGTGGGGAGCCTTTGGCCCTCCCGATGTTGCTGAACCACAACTCCCATCAGCCCCAGGAATCATGGCCAATGGCCAGGGATGGTGGGAGCTGCAGTTCGGCAGCATCTGGAGAGCCAAATGGTCTCCACCTCAGGATTCGCAAATCTAGGCTCGGGGAGCAAGCTGTTTCTGATTTTCATTCATTCATTTCACCTCAAAACAAAAAATACACCTAGCCTTCCAAGAGATGAGTTTCTGGATCGCAGTGGACTCCATGCAAAAGTTCAGTGGCACTCTGAGGTCAAGATATGCCCAGAAGGCAATTTCTGCTATGTAGGAAGTTTGGGAAACTTTGGTGAGATTCCCAGGTTCTCATCTTCTCCCTTTCTCTCTCCTCCTCCAGATCGCTGTGCACACTGTGCCCTTGCCTGCCTCTTCTGTGAGTTTATGTCCCTCTGCTCACTTGCCCTGGACTGTGGGGGCTGCGGGGGCTGCCTAGAGGCTTGCTGTGGTGGAGAAGGAGGGGAGTCCCTTGCCGAGAGCTGCTGTGGGGAAGCCGGTGGAGGAAATTGCCCCTGTGGGTTAGGCTGCGGGATGTTGCAGGATTGCTGCGGCTCCTCTGACTGTCTTGAGATCTGCCTGGAGTGCTGTTCTATCTGCTTCCCAGCCTGAATTCAGGGACTGGGAGATCGTGTCCCTCTGTCCTCCATGGTTCCGGACTGCGTTGGGATGTGTGCATATCCCTTTGGGAATCCGACCCCACCAAACTACAAAGCATGGCAAGAGATTAATCTGGGCCTCTTTTCTTACCAAAGCCCCACCTCCTTTGAACATCCTCAGGCAAACTCCTTCCTCTTTTTATATCATGGTAACAGCCCAAAACGCATTGCTTGTATGCGCACAGCTGGGGCCTGCTGTTCGTATTGGATGGGATGAGGCCCGTTAAGTATTGTTTCAATTGTGTGGTGTCACACCCAGACATTGTGATGATGTCACCAAAAAGGCTAAGCTGTGTTCGCACTGAAGACAGGATAAATTCCACTCGCACTACAAAATCCTGTCAGGTCAAGCCTATTCCTCTACGCACTATAATGTTACAGAAAAATCTGTGCCATGCATTTTCGGCAGATGTCACCATGCAACTGTGGATGGAATCTCTCTCCTCTTTTTTTTTAACTGTGACCAAAAAAATTTACATTGATGCTGTGATATATCTGAATGGACTGAAGCTGAATATGCCCCAGAGCCAAAGAAATTTCTCTCCCTGTGCTGAATGCTTCCAGGTGACCCGTTTATTGAGCATTCATCCTTATTAGTTTGCAGGGAGATTAGACAAGGTTGGATATTTAATGAGCATTGCTTTTTATTTAATTGCAAGGAAGTTAGAAGGCCTTGCATTTTTTTAAAAAAAGTCTTGTCCCACACTTTCCAGTGCATTTTCCGGTCTCTTTCCTAATTCCAAAAAGTCAAGTTGTTTTAGGAAGTGGATTTGTTGTGCAAGACCTCCCTGAATTTGCCAGTGTGTGATTGAATCCCACCTGAAAATAGCTATACAGCCTGGAAGTGCCTGGTGTGTTTCTGATGTGAACTTTAAATGGACCATAGGCTCCAGGTTGGGGTTTCTCACATGACTATTTCTTTGTGCCTGGAAATATATTGTTGTGCTGGTCAGGATGCCTGATTGTAAAATAAATTTAAATTAAACTAATGAAGCCAGCATCTGTTACTTCAGCTTTATTTCTGTACCACCATTGCTTGCCCGCAAAACTCTCACATCTCTTCCCCCCCACCCCGCCACAAGTTATTGTGTTGTTGAGCCTGAGTTGTGTGACTGTAATGTTACAGTCTGGAAGCCAATGTGGTTTCCTCCAGAGGCTGTTGGGACTCCTACGTCTAGTCCTGGTTTGGAGGGACCCAAAGACTCTTGTGGCACTGTAAATACTAAGCCTTTGTGAACTGCAGACTGCTTCCCTCTGATGACAAGTTCCCAGTTCCTTAGTCAACACACAGCTACATTATTATATCATCTAGATCAGTGTTTCCCAACCTTGGGCCTCCAGCTGTTTTTGGACTACAACTCCCATCATGCCTAGCTAGCAAGACCAGTGGTCAGGGATGATGGGAATTGTAGTTCAAAAACAGCTGGAGGCCCAAGGTTGGGAAACACTGATCTAGATAGCTCAGTTGATTGGTAGGTAAAGGTAAAGGACCCCTGGACAGTTAAGCCCAGTCAAAGGCGACTATGGGGTTGTGGCGCTCATCTTGCTTTCAGGTTGAGGGAGCCGGCATTTGTCCACAGACAGCTTTCCAGGTCGTGTGGCCAGCACTACTAAACCACTTCTGGCACAACAGAACACCATGACGGAAACCAGAGCACATGGAAACGCTGTTTACCTTCCCGCCACAGCGGTACCTAATTATCTACTTGCACTGGCGTGCTTTCGAACTGCTAGGAAGGTAGGAGCTGGGACAGAGCAACAGGAGCTTACCCCATTGTGCAGATTTGAACCACCAACCTTCTGACTGACAAGCGCAAGAGGCTCAGTGGTTTAGACCACAGCACCATCCGCATTCCTTGGTTGGAGCATGGTGCTGATTCTGCCAAGGTTGAAAGTTTGATCCCTATAAGGGATAGCTGCATATTCCTACATCGCAGAGGGTTGAACTAATGTAGTTCTCAACCTGTGGGTCCTCAGATGTTGTTGGACTACAACTCCCATCATCCCTGAGCTTTGGCCTTGCTAGCTAGGCGTGATGGGAGTTGTAGTTCAACAACATCTGGGGCCCCACAGGTTGAGAAAGGCTGGTAGATGATCCTCAGGCTCTCTTCAACTCTATGATTCTGCCCTATGGGCAGCTTGAACAAGGAGCTGAAATTTATATGTGTTGGTATTTTGTGTTTTATAATTGGGTTATAAGGAAAAGAATAGATATGGTAAAATAAAAAGGTGAATTGCCTGGAAGCCTAAATCCAGGTTTGGGGCAAGTACCCTTTGGTGAGAGAGCCCCAGCAGAAATTTAAAATCACAAAACATGCAGCAAAATAAAGCATGAAAATATAGACTGCTAGACCTTTAAAATAGCCTCTTCTAAGTTGCTTCCAAAATTCCCCACTTCCCTTATCATAGAAAGAGACCACGAGTTTGGTAAGTTAAAAATGGTTTACTTACAAACAAATCAAAGGTCAGATTCAAGTGCTTTTCCATACAGCAGCAAGAAAAGGCAGGCATCATGACTTAGCTTCAAAATGGTAAATATTTCTAAAACAATTGTATAGAAACACAAGACTTGCTTAAGCTACACAGTTGAAGCTTGGAATATCCGGTTTAGATATCTTTACTGGTAGGGTTCACATAGTGGAAAAGAAAGAGAACAAATAGTTTGGCAATGCTTCCTTCCGAGATGAGGGGGTGTAACCTTGCTAAGTCTGGTAGGACAGCTTACTCTATGGTCTTAACCCCTCATGCATTAATCAGAGTTAAGCCATGGTTTTCCCAGTAGTGATGTATGGAAGTGAGAGCTGGACCATAAAGAAGGGTGATCGCCGAAGAATTGATGCTTTTGAATTCTGGTGCTGGAGGAGACTCTTGAGAGTCCCATGGACTGCAAGAAGATCAAACCGATCCATTCTGAAGGAAATCAGCTCTGAGTGTTCACTGGAAGGTCAGATCCTGAAGCTGAGGCTCCAATACTTTGGCCACCTCATGAGAAGAGAAGACTCCCTGGAAAAGACCCTGATGTTGGGAAAGATGGAGGGCGCAAGGAGAAGGGGACGACAGAGGAAGAGATGGTTGGATAGTGTTCTCAAAGCTACCAGCATGAGTTTGACCAAACTGTGGGAGGCAGTGGAAGACAGGAGTGCCTGGCGTGCTCTGGTCCAGGGGTCACGAAGAGGCGGACACGACTAAACGACTAAACAACAACAAAAGGAAAAGCAGGACATTCCAGCATCAAATCAGAATCTGGAATGTCTTCTCTAAATCAGGGACGTCTTTCGAAAACAAGGACACTTGGAGGGTCTGCCATCCCCATTCCTGTGCCTCAGAGGACCTCATGAGGCTGTGCTTCCTAGAAAGCAGCGGTCAACACCAAAGGGCAACACCAAAGATGAGGGCCAGGAGTCCCAGGGATACACCCCTGTCAATGTAGGGACATCTCTGTTACTGAGACCAGACTTAAAAGTTGTGTCCAATGAAGTCATCCTGCTGGTGCAAGAAATTATGCCTGTACAACATGTTCTCTCCCCTGTTGCCGCCCCGCAATTTGCTATGGGGCATCCCTGGCCATTGAACTTGCAGATTCTACCCAACAGGATGCCTTTGAATCTGCAAGTTCAACGGCCAGGGACGCCCCATAGCAAATGGGTGTAGCCAGGGGTGGCAGCTGCACCCCCTCCAAATCAAATAAAATACTTAACTAACTGAACAATTGTGTTGCAGATAACTCGTTTCTGCCCACCACAAACATAAAGCTTGACCCTCCAAAAAATCCTGGCAACGCCCATGTTCACAACCCTTAAATTTAATTTTGTTGCAAGAACCTTTTTTTTTTATAAAATATTTATTAAAGTTTTAGACAATAAAACAAACTTCACATTCACAAAAAAAGGAAAAACACCATCATATTCAATCAAAAAAGCCAAAAAAGGAAAAAAGTACAATACAAAATAGAAGAAAATAAAGAACATAAAAAAGACATAAAAGAAAAAGAAAAAGATTCAGTTTCTTAAATATTATTTTCAAAACCCTCCTTCCAGACTCCCTCGCATCTCCCTTTTCTGTGTTCCCTTTTAGAAAATCTTATTCAACAATACTTCACCTTCTTTCAAATCTTATTTTATGTTATTAAGGTACCCCCCCTGCCCGTACGGGCCAGTCTTGACAGACTCTAGGGTTGTGCGCCCATCTCACTCAAGAGGCCGGGGGCCAGTGCTGTCCGGAGACACTTCCGGGTCACGTGGCCAGCGTGACATCGCTGCTCTGGCGAGCCAGCGCAGCACACGGAAACGCCGTTTACCTTCCCGCCAGTAAGCGGTCCCTATTTATCTACTTGCACCCGGGGGTGCTTTCGAACTGCTAGGTTGGCAGGCGCTGGGACCGAGCAACGGGAGCGCACCCCGCCGCGGGGATTCGAACCGCCGACCTTTCGATCGGCAAGCCCTAGGCGCTGAGGCTTTTACCCACAGAGCCACCCGCATCCCATATTTTATGTTATACATTTCAACTATTATGTCTCCAATTTTCCCCTTTATTATCAGTTCTTTGAGTTTGACATAATATTATTCTAACTTCACCTTTGTCCTTTTAAACCAGTTTTTGCATATTCCTTTCAGCTATGTCACTAATGCCATATTGTCTTTATATCCTGCATCATTCTAACATTCATACAGTTTACAATACTTTTGCAAGTAATCCTTAAATTTCTTCCAGTCCTCTTCCACTATCTCTTCTGCCAGGTTAATTTTGTTGCAAGAACCTTTTGTAAGCCGCTTTAAGAGCCTTTCCCTTCCACAACAAGAGAGAGCTTTCGGGTGCCAATCCCTAGAATAGAGGCTTCACCTCTCTTTTCCAATGGACTCTGGACTACGCTAGCAATTGGAGTTACAGTGGTACCTCGGGTTACATATGCTTCAGGTTACATACGCTTCAGGTTACAGACTCCGCCAACCCAGAAATAGTGCTTCAGGTTAAGAACTTTGCTTCAGGATGAGAACAGAAATCGCGCAGTAGCGGCAGGAGGCCCCATTAGCTAAAGTGGTGCTTCAGGTTAAGAACAGTTTCAGGTTAAGAACGGACCTCCAGAATGAATTAAGTACTTAACCCGAGGTACAACTGTATTCCTATGGAAAGCTTGAGAAAAATAAGTACATTGACTATGGGTGATATGATCACCTCAATGCTCTTATTAATATCGTCCGTAAAACAGTCACAGTTGGGCTTATTATACACGAAACAATTACTTCTCTTAGAATCATAGAATCATAGAGTTGGAAGAGACCACAAGGGCCATTGAGTCCAACCCCCTGCCAAGCAGGAAACACCATCAGAGCACTCCTGACATATGGCTGTCAAGCCTCTGCTTAAAGACCTCCAAAGAAGGAGACTCCAACACACTCCTTGGCAGCAAATTCCACTGTTGAACAGCTCTTACTGTCAGGAAGTTCTTCCTAATGTTTAGGTGGAATCTTCTTTCTTGTAGTTTGGATCCATTGCTCCGTGTCCGCTTCTCTGGAGCAGCAGAAAACAACCTTTCTCCCTCCTCTATGTGACATCCTTTTATATATTTGAACATGGCTATCATATCACCCCTTAACCTCCTCTTCTCCAGGCTAAACATGCCCAGCTCCCTTAGCCGTTCCTCATAAGGCATCGTTTCCAGGCCTTTGACCATTTTGGTTGCCCTCCTCTGGACACGTTCCAGTTTGTCAGTGTCCTTCTTGAACTGTGGTGCCCAGAACTGGACACAGTACTCCAGGTGAGGTCTGACCAGAGCAGAATACAGTGGCACTATTACTTCCCTTGATCTAGATGCTATACTCCTATTGATGCAGCCCAGAATTGCATTGGCTTTTTTAGCTGCCGCGTCACACTGTTGGCTCATGTCAAGTTTGTGGTCAACCAAGATTCCTAGATCCTTTTCACATGTACTGCTCTCAAGCCAGGTGTCACCCATCTTGTATTTGTGCCTCTCATTTTTTTTGCCCAAGTGCAATACTTTACATTTCTCCCTGTTAAAATTCATCTTGTTTGTTTTGGCCCAGTTCTCTAATCTGTCAAGGTCGTTTCCTTGTCAGTTGCTGCAATCTCAGATCAGGATGCAGAGCTTTGCTGCCTCTTGCTGGGCAAAGGAGAGCATGGCATTCTGATGGAGGCAAAGGCCTTTCTACACAGAGCTCACTTAGTAACACTCAAAGGGTCACAACCCTCTCAAAATTCATTTTCGGGGTAGGAACCACACAAAGTTTCCTGTCCCCCGGAGCTAAAATCTGCTTTCCAGCTAATGCAAAAAGGCTTTCTAAATTGGTCAACTGTGCATTTGCCATATCATGTTTTTGGGTTTATCCCATTTCCCCCTATCTCTTCGCTCCTCGTCTGGCTGTGAGGGATCTTAGGAGGAAGGGGGGCTTGTCACCACTGTCCCCCAAAATCTGCCATGAAGCAGATGTGTAAATTTGCCTAATGAAGGGCCAATTTATCATGCTTGGTGGACCTGTTTTTAAAAAAGCTTTTTTTGGAAAATTGACTGGAAAAATTAGAGGAGTGTCAAACCAGAAGGTTTATAGGGAATGGAAAATATTTAAAGAATATTTTAAATCGTACTGTACGAACAGTAAGATCCTCGCAGAAATAGAGCGATACTGGTAAGCAAGAATTACATAAAATATAATATTGGATTATACACACACACACACACACACACACACACAGTGGTACCTCGGGTTAAGAACTTAATTTGTTCTGAAGGTCCGTTCTTAACCTGAAACTGTTCTTAACCTGAGGTAACACTTTAGCTAATGGGGCCTCCTGCTGCGCCGCGATTTCTGTTCTCATCCTGAAGCAAAGTTCTTAACCCGAGGTACTATTTCTGGGTTAGCGGAGTCTGTAACCTGAAGCATTTGTAACCCGAGGTACCACTGCAATATGAATCTGTGCAAGGAATACAGATAATATAAGTAGTATAATGAGAATTATTGGAAGTTATATATTTTAATTTGTCATGTAAGTGTAATATATTGTATTTGTTTATGTTTGTTTCTTTATCTTTTCTTATTTATTTATTGTTTCTATCCGTTTGTAGTGTTTTCTGTTAAAGATTTTCTAAAATAAATAAATAAAGCTTTTAAACTGTGATACAAATGCACACATTGATACAGAAAATTTTGAAGGTTAATGTTCAACTGAAACCAGAACTCCTGCTGGGATTAATTAGTCCTGCTGGGACAAATAGATATACAACTAGAAAAAAGTATAACAGATTACTGCAATATATGATCACAGTGGCAAGACTATTATAAGCACAAAGATGGAAGGGCTTATTACCTACTAGGGAAGAATGGTTATTTAAATTAATGGATTTGGCTGTGATGGCAAAGCTGACATGTTTAATTAGAGAAAAATCATTGTTGACATTTATTAATGATTGGAAGCCCCTTATGGACTTCTTAAGTAAAAAGAAAAATGAGCTTGTAGTATCTGGGTTTAAAGTTTGAAAAAAGGATGGTTTATGGAAAGTAGGAGAGTTTGATGCTATATGGAGCAAGGGGTTTGCATATATTTATAAAGCTGATAGACAGGGAATTGCAAGTCTTTTCTTTCTCTTTTCTTTTATTCCTTTTTATTTATTTTCTTTCTTTTAGTTCAGGCTTCCTCAACCTCGGCCCTCCAGATGTTTTGAGACTACAATTCCCATCATCCCTGGCCACTGGTCCTGCTAGCTAGGGATCATAGGAGTTGTAGGCCAAAAACATCTGGAGGGCCGAGGTCGAGGAAGCCTGTTTTAGTTTTTATGTTTATGGTATTTGATGTTAACTTTTGTATACTGCTTTTTCTTTGTTGGTTCTTCATGCATTAATAAAAATAATTTGCAGTGAAGAAGAAAAAAGATCATTCATCCTGGTTTGTTTGTTTCCCATTATTTGTGCTTTCCACATTTTTCAGTCCGTTTCCCCCTTCACTTTTCACATTGCAAAAAGTCCATTTTTAAAACAGTGGATTTTTCATGCTAATATGGCAGAGTTCTTTAATCCCCATTAACTGCACAAACCTAAAGATCTGGTCACATGAAGCCCTCCTGCAAAATAGTGATATGTACTTCCTTTAAAAATAATAATTATTATTTTATTAACATATAAAACACATACATATACATTTACACAATACACGTAAACAACACACTACCTAATTTTCATAACAAAAACATACCTACATTACTCTATGCCACAACTGCTGCTCGAATTTTACTAGCTAAAAAGTGGAAACGCAAGAATTACCAACTGTGGAAGAACGGCAGATGAAGATGATGGATTTTGCGGAGCTAGCCGACCTGACCGGAAGAGTCCGTGACCAGAAGGAGGAGGAGTATCAGGAAGAATGGACAAAATTTAATGATTATTTAGTTAAAGTTGTTAAGTTAAATTAATTGGAAATAGCTTGCAGGTATTAGATTGGCTTAGGATTTTATATAAGTTAAGTGGTGAATTAATATGTTTAATTTAGAAATGAAAAGATATAAGGATGTTAAATGATTAAGTTTATAAGAACTCTGATTTGGAAAACTGTTAAAAGGATACGCATTGAAATTCAGCCAAGGGGAAGCGAGGAAGTCACTTAACAATTTTAATAAATGTAATTTTAATAAGGTTATGATTTATGTTTGTTTGTTTGCTTGCTTGCTTGCTTGTTTATAATTTTGTGAAAATCAATAAAATTTTTTTGGAAAAAACCCAAAAACTTTGCCGCCGTAGTTCCATAAATTAATATTGGTCTGACCCTTCCTGTCCTTTACTTCCACCAAGCATCACAAACCAACGCACGCACCGCCGTTCTGGCAAGCAGGAAATTAATTCGTGCTCCTACCTAAGAAAGCGTTTGCAACCCGAAGCCGCTGCTCGCGATGCGCCCCCTAGAGGCGAGAAGACGCGCTGCAGCGACGGGGAGGGATGCGCGCAAGGTGCGGGGGGGGGGCTCCTATCCCACAGCCTTGCGGATTATCCGCTGCTGCGCTCTGCCATTGGCCAGCGTCTCTGTCTGTCTCCCTCTCCCCCGCCCGCCCCCGTCCTCCGCATCACTTTCTGCCGGGCAGGAGGAGAAGGAGGGTAGCAATTCGCGTTGCCTTGGCAACGGCCCATGGTCCCTCCTCTCGCTAACTGCTGCTATTTCGGGCAGCATCAGCATCCGAGGTTGCTCCTAACCTCCTTGGCTCTGGCTGCTGCTGCTGCTGCCGCTGCTTGGCGGGGCCCGCCTGGGAGGTTAGGGGACCCGAGGCCGGGGGCTGCTGCGAGCCAGAACAGCGCTGGCGGCGGGGGCACCCACAGAGGTAAGGAAAGGGCGCCCCCTCCTCTTCCTCCTCGCTTCTCTTCCCCCAGCATGGCGATGATGGATGGAGGATCAGCCCTTCTAATAGGATTCCCGGGTCTACTCTGCAGGGGTGGGGAGGGAAGGGGTAGCGGGAGGACGAGGAGAAGATAAGTAGCCGGCCTGTAGTGCAGTGGGTTAAAGTTGGTTGTGGGGCTGTGGGGGGAGGGGGGAGAACCAGGTGGCTGCCTGCTGGGAGGGTGATGGATGGAGATGGGCTGGGTGGGGGTGGCTGCTGATGGGAGGGAAGGAGGAGAGGGAAGGGATGAGAGCCGGGGGCGGGGAGGCGGGGGCAGGTGAGTGGATGATGTCAAGAGATGGATAGGACCTGACAGCCGGGCGGGGAGGGGTGCTGGGGACGAGCGGAGAAGGATGTGACAGGCCAGCGAGGAGACGGGTGACTCGTTGGGTGCTGAGTGGAAGTGACAGGGCACTTTCCAGCAGCGGGTTCAGTGGCAGCAACCCCCCACCCCCACAAAACCACCTGCTTAGTACCTGCCGCAACCCCAACAAGGGGGTTAACTAGGCAGACAGCTCTGGGTGCAGAGTGGGGGTGGGATTAGCCTGGACCTTTACTCCAGGAGCATGGCCTTCACCCAGGTAAGGAGCAGATCCTGACACGGAGTAATGCCGGGATTTCCGATATCCTAGGATTCTTTAACTGCTGATCCTGGAAGAAGGGAAAGAGAAGGGCTGTGATTTTTCAGCAGAGCCTTCGCTCCCTGTTTCCATCCTTCCACCTGACTAAAGGTAAAGGGACCCCTGACCATTAGGTCCAGTCATGGCCGACTCTGGGGTTGCGGCGCTCATCTCGCTTTATTGGCCGAGGGAACCAGCGTACAGCTTCCGGGTCATGTGGCCAGCATGACTGAGCCGCTTCTGGCGAACCAGAGCAGCGCACGGAAACACCGTTTACCTTCCCGCCGGAGTGGTACCTATTTATCTACTTGCACTTTTGACGTGCTTTCGAACTGCTAGGTGGGCAGGAGCAGGGACCGAGCAACGGGAGCTCACCTCGTCACGGAGATTCGAACCGCCGACCTTCTGATCGGCAAGTCCTAGGCTCTGTGGTTTAACCCACAGCGCCACCCGCGTCGTGACTAGTTAGGTGCTAAAGCCAATCTCTGTTTTCTACTGCTCAGAGTGTTTCCTTTCCTTGGGTCAGTGTTTCCCAACTGGTGTTCCGCGGCACACGAGTGTGCCGTGAGACGTTGCCTCGTGTGCCGCGAGATGCCTGGAGGGAGGCGGGCGAGTCGGGCGGCGAGAGGCGGGGCGGCGGCGGCGAGGAGAGGCCGCGCCTCCTGCTGCTGCCTGGCGCTCCTCCTCGCAGCCGGCAGCGCTGCCTGGGCGCCTCCGCGCGACTCTGCCTCGCTGGGTTTGGTCTCCCAGCAGAGACGGGTCACACGCGCCCCTCCCTCCCTCCCTCAGCCTGCGCGGAGGGAGAGCCAGAGAGAGGCATCGCTCCTGCGCGGCGGGAGAGGGAGCAGCCGGAGCGATGCCCCAAACGAACGCATGGGACCGGAGGGGAAATCCTCTCCGAGGCGGATTGAGCGCAGCTGAGAGAAGCCTTTCGAGGAGCTGCCGTGTCCCCTGGAAACCCCCTTCCCAGCTCTGCCTCAGCGGCCGCCGCCTCAGTTGCCGCCGTCCCTCAGTCCCTCGCTCTGCTGCCTCCTCCCACCCCCAAAGCTTGGAGGTTCCCCAGCAAGGGGGAGGGAAAAAACTTTCACTTTTGTGCGTCCCTCCCGGCGTGACGCTGCGCGCTGACGTCACGGGGCGGGGCTTTAATGGTGGTGTGCCGCGAGATTTTTTTTCAGTAAACAGGTGTGCCGTTGCCCAAAAACGTTTGGGAAACACTGCCTTGGGTCTCCTGGGATCGGACTGCTTTCTAGGGTGTTCCCCTTATAAATTCTGACAGGAACCCCTTCCTTTTGCAGAGGTCCCAGGACCTAGTAGTAAAACTCTTTCTCCCCTCTCCCCTTCCCCCAAACAATTGCCTCAGTTCTGAAAAGGGACCAGTGATCCTTTGCCCTTCGCATGATGATATATGACTCAAGAGGATGAAATCGAAATGGACTGGGGTGGTCTGCAAGAGATGGTCTTTCTCTCTGAGCTCTCGCCATACATTTGAAGTGCATTTAAATCGCACACACCCAAAAAACCACGGGAACTGTTGTTATTCCAAGGGTACTGGGAATTGTAGCTCTGTGAGGGGCGAACTACGTTTCCCAGGATTCTTGGGAGGTGGTATACGTAGGTGATTAGCCAGTAAAATGTCAGATGGAGCACAGCACTGGTGAGAAGACACGCATGTTGAGACAAAATATTATTAGATGCAATGTTGGAACTGATTGTTGTAGTTGTCACTAAAGAAAGAGATTTGTGATTTTAGAATCACTGTAAAACTGATAACATTCAAGATACTGCAGTATTTGCTGTCAGAACCTCAGAGAGAATCTTAGAAATCAGGTATCAGTGCAGATATTATCCCATGGGTTCTAGAGACAGAAAAGAAGTGAATTTGCGTGTTATTGTTGTTTTACATGAATCAGCTACGTGGAGGTTTAATGTCCATTTTGCATCAAGCATACTCTGGACTCAGGCAGGCTTTCTAGTAACACATAACTCTTCAGCAAGCATTCTGCAGGGTAGTTCATACAGCTCTACTTTATGGGGATTCAAAATGGGCATTTAAATTTCAAATGGTCCAGTCTTAGTGGTTCAACAATAGGTTTAATCTTATAAATATAATAATATTACTTAGCCTATGAATAATTCCCATGCATTCTCAGTAATCCTGACAACAGCCTTGTCCAGTAAAATAGTGTTGTTATTATTCTCATATTGCCAGCGGGGTGGTACTTAACTGTGTTTTATGGCAGAGGTGACACCTGAGCAAAATATTTACGGGATCAGGGCTTTGTCTCATGGCCACACACGAGCTCTCTCAGAAGGTGATCTAACCAAAGATGCCATCTACTACTGAACATGCTCTAGGATGATTCAAAAAGAGGTAGTAAGCCATTCAGAAAATATTATTGTCATATTGTATAAAAGACAGCATGTTTTGTCTCTCATACTATAGGTACTTTTACCATTTTAAATACTCCCTTCCAACTCCCTTCACACAAAAAACTTATCCATTGGAATATTGGCTTCTCCCTGACATGCTAGCTTTCAGTGTGCAGGGTTGAGAAATTTTTTTCAGTGAGAGAGCAGTCCAGTCCTGACAAAAGTTTCCCACTTGACTCTGCTGATTGTTCGGCCCATTTCAGATGTTATTTTAATGTGTAGAGAGGGGGAAAGTGAGATTGTGTGTACTCAGCTGTGCCACACTTTTCACAGGGCACTTCCAAATACCCTGTTTATTGAGCATTCATCCTGATTTGTTTACAGGGCGATTTGACAACACCGGCTATTTCATGAACAGTCGTTCTGGGTTTTTTGTGGGGAGGTTCGATGAGGTGGTCTCAAAACCTCTGAAGCAGTAACAGTGATAATGCCTCTGCAGTTTGCCCCACCCCCAAAACAACTTGGGGAAATATAAGAAAAATGAGATAATAGTGCCTCTGCACTGGCCTTCCCGCACCAACAGCTTTGGAACAATTCCTGCTGTATGACATGCAACATAAACAAAAAAGGATTTCCACATCTCCTCCTTACCCTTCCATTCAACTGATTCTCTTCTCTGGTTGCTGCCTGCTCAGTGTTCAAAATTAGCCAGGTGCCAGGTGTATTTCACACCTGACTATCGGCCATTGGAACCAAGTGAAGATGCCTGGGTGCCAGAATGGCGCCTGACATCTCCACTGTCGGAGATCCTTGGATCTGGACTGTTTTCACACACTAATACCCCATCCTGTCAAATTCTATCCATTATATTTTATCTGCACAATCGGAATGATTTTCTGGGGGAAAAACACTTTTACTGTGCAGCCTGTGTAGGAGCAGTCACTGTTAAGAAAAAGGGGTTGGGAAAAGCTGATATATATGTGAACTGCCATTGGATCAATTAACTTTTCTTCTTTAAGTGCTCAAAGCTCTTAACTGAGCTCAAGATTGTCATCTGAACTAGCCAGATGTTTAACTGATAATCACAGTCAGACCATCATTTGAAAAATAAGACTTCAGAGCCGCCTTGCCCCCAAATGGCAACTAGACATTCTGTTTTGGCAGCTACAACCTTGATTTAAGGAGACATTTGGCGCCTACCTTATATATCTGAGTTTCTAACACTGTGTCTGCTGCATGTGGCAGCAAACAAAACAAACGTAGCAGCAATGGGTTTCATTTCTTCCTGCAACCCCACCTTTTCAAAACGACCATCAGGCAGCTGCCTGCCACATGGCTGACAGGCAGCAAAATGAGCCAACAGGCAGTTGCCATGCTTGCCCTTGACACACACCCCACACATTTTTTTAAAGTAGCTGCTGACTTACCACTTCATGTGGCTGGCAGAGAGCAAAACAAAACAAGCAGAGCAGCAAAAGAGTGGCTCCTACGCTTCACACCCACTTTCCAAAAACTGCTCCACGGACAGGGCCGCTGCTTGCTCCACAAGGCCAGCAGGCAGCAAAGCAAAGAGGAAGCAAATAGGCTAAAGCACTTCCCCTGCTTTGTTAAAAAGCCCTCACCCATGACAAGAAAGCTTCTCCCCTTTTCAATAAGCCCTTCCATGTACATTTTCTTTTTCATGGTTTGATTCATTTTTCCTGAAACGCTTTACAATTGGGTTTATTTTACTGAGCGGAGTAATTTCAGGTTTCGTTTGTAATTGTTTATATTTGCGATATAAGGTAATGTAACAATACCAATCTGATATGATTTCTTTTTTGTGTTCTTCGGCTATCTAGATCCCAGTTTTCTTGGTGATAACCTTGTAAATGTTGCAAACAAACAAATAAGCCATACCTTTCACTTCTCTGAAGGTAGAGGGCAGGGCAATAACCTCCTCATATTCTCTTCGGGTACAGAGGGGATTCGTTCAGGAGAGTGTGTCACCAGGCTAGGCACAGACCACCTGCTTTATAGGGCCATCTGTCAGGGGCTTGAGAAGCCCCCTCTTTCCCCTGCTTTTCTGTGGCTGCACAAACAAGAGCAGAACAGGCGGGAGTGTCAAGCACTTGGCGGTCAGGAGGTGTTCCCACAAGCACCCATTTGAAGCTGGACTAGCCAGAACCTCTCTTTCATGGGGCCTTTCAGTGCTCTCTGGGCCATGGGGACTCCACGCCACAGCTTCTTTCCCCAGCCACACTGCTTGGTGACCTTGCTTCACATCCTCCTTGAGTGCTTTTTGTCGAACGACCATTGCTTGCAACTTCCAAAGGTGGGATTTATACTCATTGCTCTGCCCATTTTTGCCTCTGGCCCTGAACACAACCGACGTGCGGCCCCTCAGAGATTGTACCAAAGGGAAGGTGGCCCTCTAGCTGAAAAAGGTTCCCCGCCCTGATGTTATGGCTCTCACTGGGTGGTTTTCAGCTAAGCAGGCCTATTGGGGTTAAGGCGCCTCAGTCACATTTATTTCAGTGGGTCTAGTCTGAGTAAAAACTTAGTCAATGCACAAAGCATACTGGAATCTGAGCTGTGTCACCTTTTGTGTCTCTGCACAGGACAAAGTGAGGCAACCTCTGGGGACCCTACGAAGCTCCCCTGTTGGATGTGGGGGACTGAGCTTGGGTCCCCGAAGTGAGATCCCTGGCTGCGCTGACTGTGGGGCAGTCATGGGGGGTGCTGGCCCCCATGTCCACGACTGGGGTTCAGAGAGGATCGAGCCCTGTGGCATCAGGTCAGTCCAATGCACTACTCGTCCTCCGCCTGAGAGGGCTGATCAACTGAAGTGGGGAGCGAGGGAATGGAGGAGTCTGCCTTCCTGAGAAATACTCACCTCTCATTGTTGTCCCCCTTCCAAAAGCTGCAGCACAAGACAAAGCCCCCAGGTGACTTGTGAGGCTCGTATTCCTGCAACAGAGACCACCCCAGCTGCAGGAGGTAAGTGTGGAGGGAGTTTGGGTGTTGTTATAAATAAGACACCCTATGGTGGGGTCGCTATTGGCAATTGGCTTTAATGGGGTCCTTTTCAGCCCAGTAAGTGCAGAATGGTCAGCAATATTGGCTCTCTAAGACCCCATCTGCATTGTACATTTAAAGCAACATTATAGCACTTTAAATATCAATGGCTTCCTCCAAAGTAACCTGGAAACTGCACTTTCTTAAGGGTGCTGATTGTTGCTAGGAGACCATTATTCCCCCCCCCCCGAGATACAATTATCAGAGTGGGTTAACAGTCAATCCCTGCTTTGCAGGAAACTCTGAAATTTGTTGCTCTTAGAGGGGAATAGGAATCTCCTAAAATTTCTCAACACCCTTAGCAAACTACAACTCGCAGGGTTCTTTGTGGGAAGCCGTGATCGTTTGAAGTGATATGATACCTGACCCTCCAAGTGTCTCTATTTTTCAGGGACATCCCTGATTTAGAAAAGCTGTCCCAGTTTCCGATTTGATCCCAGAATATCCCACTTTTCCTTAGGATGTCCCTATTTTCATTGGAGAAATGTTGGAGGGTGTGGAGTTTTCCAGCCCCTGAACCATCTGAAGGCAATCCTGTATAGGGAAGGATTTTTTAAATGTTTGATGTTTTATTATGTTTTTATATATGTTGGAAGCTGCCCAGAGTATCTGGGGCAACCCAGTCGGATGTGTGGGGTATAAATAGTAAAAATGTCACAATGGAATGGGGCGTCCCTATTTTCCTCGGAGAAATGTTGGAGGGTATGTGATACTGCTTTGAATGTGATAGTGCAGATGGGGCCTAATTCCCACTCAAACCAAGATGGAGGCAAAGGACTCTATTCCCTCCACCTTGCAGGCTTTGGTAGAGCTCTTCCTTTCGAACCCGGGTCCTGTGAGTGAGAAACAAAATGCTCTCTTGGGACATGCTCCTCCTAATATATTTTACATCGAGGAGTGAGCTTTGTTTTGTTTTTGATTCTTTTGTTTTTTTGGGGGGAGTTATTGCTTGTTTTTCCCCTCTGCGTGTTTTATTTGTTTTGAGGGTGTGTGTGGTTGGGTTTTTGTGGGGAGGAGTCTAAGCATTGCCAGTTTTTCTTCTGTGAAATGGGTATGTCTGTGGTGCCCACAACCATTTCTTGGATTTTGGGTCCCTGTCCCCCCAAAGGCTGAGTGAGGACCTCTGCTTGAGGGCCTTCTCTTTACCATTTCCTTGTGTCTTGGCTTGCATGTGAGGATGAGGAGCTGAGGTGATTTAAGGAAGAGCACTGCCAAAGCCACTTCTGCTGCCCAAGCGGAAAGGAAGGACTTAGAATCCCTCACCTGCCTCTCAGCTTGGGAGAACATCAGGGCCTGCGCTGGGAACCAGAAGTAAAGTGGATTGCAGGGGGTGGAGATTTGTCCTCTGTCTTTCCTGTTGCTCATCCCTGAGTTAGAGTTTGTGTGAATGCCACCATCAAGTCATGCTAGCAGGAGAACCTACTCTCCTCCAGTTGAAGCATGCGTGTAAATAACGGGTTGCCTGTGGCAAACAAGAATTCCCTGAAGCCTTTAGAAAAGACCGTGCACACACTTTTAAAGCACATCCATGGCAGGTTCTTTTTCTCCAATAATTCTGGGCCCTCTTGTTTAACTCACATGAGTTACAGTTCTCAGCGACCCTTAACAAGCTATTCCCAGAATTCTTTGAGGGAAAGAATGTGCTTCAAATGTCCACCAAGCCTTTGGACATCAGATATGACAGGCAGGCTAGGGAGACATTTTGTGGACTTGTGCACAGGGCCGTGCCAGGGCTGAACTTTGCCGTATGTTCCAAAACGTAGCGCCGCCGTTCCCGCCCAGCTTCACCAAACGAAGCACTGTAAGGCTTTCTAAGAACATGTGCCCATTGCGCATGCTATAACGTGACCTCCTTGTCAGAGCTGTGGCGGTTTCTCCTGCCTTTGCAAAGTTTGAACACCCCAAATGTAATGGCCAGAATGGCAGCCTCTCTCCTGAAACACAGGCAAAAAGAGAGAGAAGCCTGAAACACTGAAAGTTTCGTCTTGTGGAATAAAACCCATGCTTTTTGACTTAAAAATATTTTTCTGGCAGTAGAGTCAAGACCAGGCATAGGCGAACTTGGCCCTCCAGATGTTTTGAGACTACAATTCCCATCATCTCTTATCATTGGTCCTGTTAGCTAGGGATGATGGGAGTTGTAGTCCCAAAACATCTGGAGGGCCGAGTTTGCCTATGCCTGGTCAAGACGGTCTGTTTTAATGAAAGACAACTGTCTGGGAACCATTCTGTAAATGCATAGGTGCCAACTCCCTGGGGCCCCAAAGTGCCCAAGCACCCACAAAATTCCCCATGAAGGGACCGGGCACCCCCAAATTTCAGTCCCAAGGCCATGCACACTGCATGGCACCCACAGCCCTGGGCACCCATGGTGGCAGGGCCAAGCTGGCACTCCTGTGTAGAAGAATCGTCCCTGTTTATTATAACACAGCACAACTACATTCCACATTATTTAGGGTTACCTGGAACAGTTCCTTCGCAGCTACAAATACGGCAATGTGTTGCAATCCCAAAGCAGTGCCCTCAATCCTACCCCCAGGGGAAAATCACAACACCTCATCTTCAACTGTGGTCATGTCTGATGCTCCTGAGGAAGGATTAAAAATGTCCAAGGTCTTTGTGGCAAGGGGAGAACTTCTCTGATCCCAAAGGGCCCCAATGAGATATCAGAATAGGAAATCATGATATACCTGTTACCAATGTATCCAATTCTGTTTTGCAGTCAATGGGTATCTTGGCTCCTGCAACTGCTCCAAGCAGACGATTCCAGAATATTAGTCCTTCTAAATGTATGAATGGCTAGTTTATAACGAGTTTATGGCCTTGCATTCCATAGCAATGCCTCATCTTGCCTAGAGCTGAAATGGGTATTTGAAATTCACTGAAATTTCCAATTTCACCATTTTTACATGTGCATTTGGAATGTGACATTGTGCCTCTGAAATAGAACTGTTTAGATTTGCTGGCATCTCTTGGTGCTTTTGGCAGGCATTTCTTTGTTTATTTACACATATATACTTCGTTAAAACCAGTTCCACTAGATTATTAAAGCCGCTCATGACATACATCCATAATACAGTATAAAGAAATACGAAACCACATAAGCTGTCAGCTGTCAAATACTAAACACCACAGCATGCCATCTATCAAATGTTATTAAATACTAAATACCATTACATGTCACCTACCAAATACAATCAGATACTAAATACTATTGCTTGCCAACCATCAAATACTAAATCCCATTGCTTATTAGCTGTTAAATATTATTGACTACTAAAAAAATTTAAAAATGTTGCATGCCAGTTATTAAATGAAGTACTAAATACCATTACATGTCACCTAGTTCCAAATAATACCAAGCAGCGTCAAATATCATAGGACGTCAAATTAAGATATCAAATATTGGGTGACTTGTTTGGCAAATGAATATTTGACTAGATTTCTGCAGAATCTGGAAGAGATTTTGTATGGCGGAAAATTTGTTTCAGCCCTAATCTTGGCTCTGAAAGGTACTGTCTTGCTGCCTGTCTTTTATTTTCCTTCCACCTTTTCAGTGAATGTCGTAGTAGTGGTGGACGGGAACTGCATCCTGCAATACACCCATCGCCAGTCACCTTGCTCCTGCCTTTCTGATGGGGAGCCTCTCCTGTCCCGACGCCCTCCGCCAACGTACGGGGCTGTGCCCCCCAGCCCCACTGTCCCCAGGGGCCCAGCTTGCGGCCAAGAAGCTGGTCCGCCCCCATCCCGCAGGACCCGTGGACTCAGCGTCCGCTGTTGCACCAAAGCCTGTCTGGGAGACGAAGAGGAACATGCCGAGCGGCACCTCCACCGGGGGCCACCCTGCAGCCGCCTCACCCCAGTGCCCTTGCCCTGCAGCCCCTCTGGCCCGTGGTTTGGAGTGGGGTCTCTCAGTGGGGGCAGGCCGGGGGCTCAGGTCGTGAAGATCTGGGACCGACAGCGATGCCCCTTGCTGGAGGAAGGGGATGTCATTGCAAAGGTGAACGGGGCTGACGTGCGGGACCTGAGCCCGGGAGAAGTGGAGAGTGTCTTGCAGGAGCATACGCGGACAGGAGATGTGATCCTTCTGGTGGAAAGGAAAGGTGAGCAGGGCCACCACGAGGTTTTGTCACAGCCCAGGGCAGATTCAAGTTTCAACAGGCCTTCCCTCATCTTATCCACCTGCTGGGCATCTCGCTACGCAACAGTAGCGCATGAATGGCCAAGGGTTTCCAGAATTATCTTGGTTTGCCAATTCCAACGGCTCCTATAACAATGCCGTGCTTGTAGCCCGTTGGAAATCGATAAAAAAATCAGACTGTCTCGACAGAGTGGTGCATGCTCTAGTTATCTCTCGCTTGGACTACTGCAATGTGCTCTATGTGGGGCTACCTTTGAAGGTGACCCGGAAACTACAACTAATCCAGAATGCGGCAGCTAGACCTACATTGGCTCCCAGTACGTTTCCGAGCACAATTCAAAGTGTTGGTGCTGACTTTTAAAGCCCTAAATAGCCTCGGCCCTGTATACCTGAAGGAGCGTCTCCACCTCCATTGTTCTGCCCGGACACTGAGGTCCAGTGCCGAGGGTCTTCTGGCAGTTCCCTTGCTACGAGAATTCAAGTTACAGGGTACCAGGCAGAGGGCCTTCTCGGTAGGGGCCCCCGCCTTGTGGAACGCCTCCCACCAGATGTCAAAGAGAAAAATAACTGCCAAACTTTTAGAAGACATCTGAAGGCAGCCCTGTTTAGGGAAGCTTTTAATGTTTGATAGGTTACTGTATTTTAGTGTTTTGTTGGAAGCCGCCCAGAGTGGCTGGGGAAACCCAGCCAGATGGTAAAGGTAAAGTAAGGTACCCCTGCCCGTACGGGCCAGTCTTGACAGACTCTGGGGTTGTGCGCCCATCTCACTCTAGAGGCCGGGGGCCAGCGCTGTCCGGAGACACTTCCGGGTCACGTGGCCAGCGTGACAAAGCTGCATCTGGCGAGCCAGCGCAGCACACGGAAACGCCGTTTACCTTCCCGCTAGTAAGCGGTCCCTATTTATCTACTTGCACCCGGGAGTGCTTTCGAACTGCTAGGTTGGCAGGCACTGGGACCGAACGACATATTTTAGTGTTTTGTTGGAAGCCGCCCAGAGTGGCTGGGGAAACCCAGCCAGATGGGCAAGGTATAAATAATAAATTATTATTATTATTATTATTATTATTATTATTATTATTATTATTTTAAAAAGCAACTCGCAAGACAACGGAAAGGGATTAGAAGCAAGGCACTCATCTATGAATGTCTGCCCTGCCCTCTGCTGCTGGTTGAGGTGCTCAGGCATGTCCTCAAAAATGCAGCAGACGTCCGTCCCCGTCCCCCCCCCCAGGTGTCTTTGTGCCCCTCCGCCAGGAAGAGAGGCCGTGGCTCTTCCTCCAAGAGTTTTGCCTCGCTGAGACAGGCGCTGCTCCTTCAGCAAAAGTGGCGGGTTCTGAGTTTGCCTTTACGGCTAACTTGGCTGCGGCAGCCAGGGAGCAGCATTTCGGGTCATTTGATGCTGTGTGACAGCCGGATAGAATTCAAAGCCCCTGTCGCAGAAGAGGCAGTAGATAGTCCTCAAATAAATGGTTAAAATAAACAAATAGTGGTATTAATTATATAAAAAAAAGAAATCACGGAAATGTCTGAGATAATGGTGCTAATGACAATAATAAGCTGGTGTTGTCAAGTGACTTCAGTGGTAGCCGTGAGACCAGGGTGCCTCAGTTCAAACTGGACCTGTAGTCACGAAACCATGGGATGGGGCAGAGCAGATACACACTTTATATGGCACTGATTCTCCAAGTGTCCCTATTTTCCAGGGAAGTCCTTGATTTAGAGAAGTTGTCAAGGTTTCTAAATTGATCCCAGAACGACCCACTTTTCCTTAAAAAGGTAAAGGTAAAGGACCCCTGACAGTTAAGTCCAGTCGTGAATGGCTCTGGGATTGTGGTGTTCCTCTCGCTTTCAGGCCGAGGGAGCCGGCGTTTGTCCGTAGACAGCTTCCGGGTCATCTGGCCAGCCGCTTCTGGCGAAACCAGAGCAGCGCACAGAAGCGCCATTTACCTTCCCGCCGGAATGGTACCTATTTATCTACTTGCACTTTTTGGAGTGCTTTTGAACTGCTAGGTTGGCAGGAGCTGGGACTGAGCAGCAGGAGCTCACCCCGTCGTGGGGATTCGAACCGCCAACCTTCTGATCGGCAAGCCCAAGAGGCTCAGTGGTTTAGACCACAGTGCCACCCGAGTCCTTTTCCTTAGAACGTCCCTAATTTCACTGGAGAAATCTTGCAGGGTATGGAGCTATCCAACTCCTGAGCCATCTGAATGCAATCCTGTATAGGGAAGTTTTCTTAATGTTTAATGTTTTATGGTGTTTTTATATATGTTGGAAGCCACCCAGAATGGCTGGGGCAACCCAGTAAGATGTGTGGGGTATAAATAGTAAAGTTATCATTATGGAATGGGACATCCCTATTTTAATCGGAGAAATGTTTGAGGGTGTGAGTGCCACAGTATTATCTCCCCTCTCCCCTCCCCCAGTAGCAAATTCATGGCAGATGTTGATGGCAGATGCACTGGGTTGAAAGACCTGTTACTCAGGACTCTCAAACAGGTATACGGTTTATACGGTTGTTTAAGTGTGAAAAACCAGGGCTGACCCAAAACATGTTGCTGCCCAAAGCATAGCAACAAATGGCGCCCTTCCCACTGCACCCCCCACCCCTCCAAGTCAAAGTGCATAATACCCAAGGCAAGCTAAGTTAAAGATAAAAATGCAATGATAATACATTAGGAGATAATGAGTGGAGATGGTTTCATTTGCAAGCTGACGGAACGATTGCACTGACGGAACAATCAGAAGAACACAACCTTAAATTCTCTCGAAATGTACTTCCTGAGATGTTCACCTCACTCCATCAAATGGTTGAGCTTGCCCTGCAAACAACCAAATGATCTTTAACAACAACAAAAAGAACCCCAACTTTTATACACGGAGTGAAGGGGTGGGAAATCAGAATCGTTTCTTACAATAAAGAGGGATCGTATATACAAACACTCCAATCATAAACCCTTCTTAGGCCAAATCCTGTTTACTCTATTTTTCAACACAAGCCATAAGCCCATCGGGATGGGGCAGGGCAGGTGGTTAGGTATGTGGTGATATTATTATTGTTGTTGTTGCTATTATAGAAGTGCTGATTTCATGAATTTTTTATTTTATAGATTTGCTATGTTTAGTTGGTTTTTTTATATATCACATTTGGCCATTGATGAAGACCTTTGTGCCAAAATGCGCTTGGTTTATGTTGAAATATAATGTCCAGGATTTGGTCTGTTAAGGATTTGTTATTGGAGTGTTTAAGTAGGCACATCTATTGTGATTCATGTTTAGCGTATTTATAGCAAGAAGCCGCCATGTAAATCCTGCACTTGCAGTCTGTGGTTTAGAAAGTAGGAGGCCACTGTTCCCTTAGCCTCAAACACCATCTTAGCATAGGAATAACAATACAGTACCAGCTTGTTGTAATGCTCACAGAGATATTCTCTCTGTAAGTGCTATAAAAATGCTTTATTTGTGTATACATGCAGCAGAGATCAGATCCAATATTTGTTTGTAAGTCATCTTAATTTGATTGTGAGTGTTGACCTCACAGGCTTGAGGGAAAGGTGGGGCATAGATGTGGGAAATAAATAAACAGCTTGCCTCTGGCACTTGCACCATCTCATTCCATGCACTAATCGCAATCGCAACCAATAGTGATTTCTGAAGGAGGCTCAGATTTTCCCAGGTACAACGTAGCGCCCTTGGGTAAATTCTCAGGAAATGAGACAGCCCCGTCTCCCAACCAAAGTAGCACCTCGAAAGAAAGATGTGCAGCGAGATCAATGAGAATTTGCTGGGCAAAAAAACCCCAAAAACCATCAACATCATCTGATTATACAGAAAGTAGTGTGAAATCTTTTTTTCTTAACTGAAGTTCAACAAATCTAAAAATGCTGACTTCAACATCTGATTCCCTCCCCCAATCAACATTTGAATTTCAGACTCAATTTTTTACATCAACATTTGCAATTTAACTGTTTTGCTTAGCGTGTATGTGTTTTTTCAAACCTATTGAAGGGTGGGATTTTTTTCCATGATTGGGTAAATAAATGAATTATTTTAGTACAAAATGTATTAAATGCCACTGCACATCAGCTGTTAGGTACTGTCAAATATTGATTGGTACATGTAAGATACTGTCAAAGCGCTGTCTCTTCCTGCATGTCAGCTGCCAAATACTGACGGATACTGTAAGTCTGACAGCTACTGAAAAGATCACTGGATGATGAACGCTAATGTGGAATATCAAATATTCAGTGAACGTGCACACATGCTGAGGGCTGTGATCTGAACAGGCATGAAGTCATAAACTTTGCTGAGGCAGGCCTGGGTCTGGTCACTGTTAGATGGATTTAGATGAGTAAGAGAGGATATTCTATTTAATAACTACCCTTCCTTTTTTCATTTTTGTGAGCATGCAAATATCTATTTTAGCAGAGTTAAAATCACCATCCGTCCACAGCTTATCTCTAGAAGCTATTAGGACAAGGTTGCATAACCTTCTAGAACAATTATGATATCCAAGGATGCTATAGGCAGGCTTGGATTATCTTTTTCCTGTTTTATGTTTCCCTGTTAAGAAAGAAATCACTCTCAGACCATTTAGAAAACAAGAAAAATACAAGGTTTACTCACATCAAAAGTCTTGCAAGGATTCAACACATACAGTGATGAAAGTCAGGGAGGCAACAACATCTAGAGTCCCTTGTGTGTGACTGTTTAGCCACCATGCAATCTGTGATTTGCCTGCAGATCCACAGTCAGTACCTGGATGGCAGGCCACTTGGGATCCACATAGATCCCACCTTAATTGAAGAAAAGTAGGCTATAAATGTAATGAAGGAACTCTTGCCTGTCAAAATTCACACAGGATAATTTTAGAGGTGCAAATTCATTTCAGCTGTAACAGAAAGACACTACCTCTTACAAAATGAATGTCATGCTTAGTTGCGTTGTTGAAAGCCACGGCCTGTTTTTTCCTAGCAGTTTGCCAAATGGACAGAGCAGTTACACACACAAAAGACCTGTAGCTGAAACAAATGTGAATAGGGTGTGATTCTGATAGCTAGAAGTGGATATACAGTTGTACCTCTTGTTACGTCAGTCTCCGGTTGCATTTTTTCAGGATAGGAATGCGGCAAACCCGGAAGTGTATACTTCTGGGTTTTGCTGCGTGCTCATGCGCAGAAGCGCTCTGCATGTTTCACACATGCACAGAAGTGCTCTGCGCACCTTGCGCTTGCACAGAAGCGCTCTATTGTGCCGCACACATGCGCAGAAGCAGTGCTCTAGTTGCGGACTTTTCAGGGTGCGAACAGCACCCTGGAACGGATCCAGTCTGTAACTAGAGGTACCACTGTACAAACTTGAGGTGTGGGCTTGCTAAGCACTGCAAACCCCAGAGAGACCACTGTGGTATGTGACGGGGTCTGGTGTCAATTCAGACCTACTCAACCCTACCTTCTTGTCCCTGCAGGTCATCATTCCCGGAGACATCCCCAGGAAAACTGCTCTTTCAGACGAGAACACCTCTTGCCTGATTCTTGCCACAACAAAGGAGTTTCCCGAGATACTCCTAACACTTGGGGAGCTCCCCTGGCTGACACTTTGGCTGTGACCAGTTTTGTGGGCCCCGAGCCCCGGGATGTACTTGTGTGTCCTGCCCGTTGTTCCCAGAGGCTGAGGAGGCCCCGGCCAGCGGGAGGGGCTGGGGAGCCCACAGGAGGTGTGGATGGCCCCAAAGAAGACCATGGGTGCAACAGCGGCGTCGCCATAGCAACAGATGGAAGTGGAGCTGTGAGAGCAGGTGAGGCTGTGGGAAAAAGCAGACCCCCTTGCAGCAGGGAAGAGCAGTGGTGGCGGGTGCCCATTGGGACGGGTTGGGTGGAAGGGGAGGAGCCCAAACAGTAGGTGGAGCCACAGCCAATGACAGGCAGAGCCCACTCATTCTGGCTTTGGCCCCATCCTCTTTCCCACTGAGTTCCACAAATCCAACACTGAGACTAAAAACTCAGATACAGTATACAGCTGCAAATAAAACGCTTTAAGTGTGTCTGAAGTGCAATATACAATGTGACACTAGACGGCGATGGGGAGCCTTATAGAAAATTCAATGTATTTTTAAAAACACTTTTAGAAAAAAAGCATTTTCAGAACGGTTTTTATATGTGTGTAAAAATGTAAAGGGACCCCTGGCCATTAGGTCCAGTTGTGACCAACTCTGGAGTTGTGGCGCTCATCTCGCTTTATTGGCCGAGGTAGTTGGCGTACAGCTTCCGGGTCATGTGGCCAGCATGACTAAGCTGCTTCTGGCGAACTAGAGCAGCGCACGGAAATGCCATTTACCTTCCCGCCAGAGTGGTACCTATTTATCTACTTGCACTTTGACGTGCTTTCGAACTGCTAGGTTGGCAGGAGCAGGGACCGAGCGACGGGAGCTCACCCCATTCTGATCGGCAAGCCCTAGGCTCTGTGGTTGAACCCACAGCGCCACCCGCGTCCCACTATACGTGTGTAGATTCCACCTAAAAAGGAGGATGCAGACCAGCAGAGCCACTCTCTGGGGTGACTGTAAGTAAGAAGGCAGGCAGGTGGGGGCTTGCTGAGGGCAGACACATGTTGGTGGGTCCCCATTCACCCTAATGGACCTATCTCTACTGAGGAATATTTTGTGCCTACCACTGCTGCCGCCCCCCATTCCAAATTTTGCATTCAGTCTGCTTCAAATGGGTTCTGCATATCTGAGTGGCATGTTTTAATGTGCTATTCATTGAAATAATTGCTTTAATACAGAATCAGTAAAATAGCACGTTTGCTCTTTTATCTTTATTTTTTAACCCCACTGTGTTCTACAAATCCCTCAAGGTGGTTCACAACATGCCGAGAGCAAAGGCGAATGTAGGGGAGTGTGACCGGTTTGGGTGCTCCGGGTGCAGAGCTTCTGGGCTGGGGCACCACAACTATGACATCCAGCGGAAGGCAAGAGGCAGTGGGGCACCGGATGTTGGTGTCAGGCCGATTGAAATTTGAGACGCCGAGGTCCGCCGCTGCCAAGAGACACGGGAGAACACAAGATCGCAAAATCCCACGTCAAATTCAGCTGCTTAAAGGCAGCATGCTAAAGAAAGTTAAATAACCTAAAAGCAGCCCAACCACTTCACCTAAAATTGAAATCAGCCATCCTCGCTCTCTCTTGCTTCGAAAGCCAGCTGAAATAAAAAGCTGCCCCGCTCTGAATCAAACTGAAAGTTAAAACACAGCAAGTCTTTGGGAGGGAGTGCCATTCAGAGCGGTCTGTGCTGCAAAGGACCTTCTCCTCATTGCCATCAGTCTAGTTGGGTAGAAAGGGGGGTTAAAACAGGGTCCCATCTAGAAGATATTGTACACATATTGTAAAAGGTTGAACAGAAAACGGTGGCACCCAGCAACCTGAAAACTATGGATTGCTTTGCACTGAATAGAATCCCTATTCTGTTGAAACTTCCAAGCTCCCCTTTGATTTGTGGGTCAGCAGACACAGTTTGTGCCTTTCTAAACTCGGCCCTCCAGATGTTTCAGGGACTACAATTCCTATCATCCTTGACCACTGGTCCTGTTAGTTAGGGATGATGGGAGTTGTAGTCCCAAAACATCTGGAGGGCCGAGTTTGCCTTTGCCTGCTTTAGATCTTCCTAAGCATTTAAGGATCATGCCCCTCATCAAAACTACATCATACATTACATTGGAAGCCTAGCAGGGCTGTGTAGGGATTTAGGTTTTTAATGATGCCCATAGAAAGGAAAGGGTCAGAGTTCAGTGGTAGAGAATTGGCTTTACCTGCAGAAGCTGCCAGGTTCAATCCTGGCCATCTCCAGGTCTGAAACCCTGCAGCTGCTGCCAATCAGTGTAGACAGTACTGACACAGTATGAGGCAGCGGCTTCCTGCACTCCTATAAAGGAGCTGCTTACGTGAACATATGGATAAGGTCTGAGAACTAAAATTTATTAGCTAATTTATTCAAAATAGAACAATGCAAAGAGTCACCCACAAAGCAGAATATGAAGCTTCTCCTGAACACAGTGTGGCAAAAGTGATTTCTCACTTGCCAACGTTGACACCAATATATAACTACAACTTGTTAATGTCTGCGTCCATGTGGGTGTGAGACACGGGTGGCGCTGTGGGTTAAACCACAGAGCCTATCAGAAGGTCGGTGGTTCAAATCCCCACGACGGGGTGAGCTCCCGTTGCTCGGTCCCTGCTCCTGCCAACCTAACAGTTTGAAAGCACGTCAAAGTGCAAGTAGATAAATAGGTACCGCTCCGGCGGGAAGGTAAACAGCATTTCCGTGCGCTGCTCTGGTTCACCAGAAGCGGCTTAGTCATGCCGGCCACATGACCCAGAAAAACTGTCTGCGGACAAGCGCCGGCTCCCTCAGCCAGTAAAGCAAGATGAGCGCCGCAACCCCAGAGTTGGCCACGGCTGGACCTAATGGTCAAGGGTCCCTTTACCTTTTACCATGTGGGTGTCACTCCTGGTTTGCCATCCCTGTTGGGCATATATATGCTACAGATTTTAAAACTGGTGTCATTTTCCAGTGTGTTTGGGTGCACCTGACAAATGAGCCTGTTTGTCTTTAAGGTGCCACAAAACCCTTGGATGGACTGGTTTTGACATCCATTCCTTTTCCCCGCGGAACTCTCAGAACTCCAGCTCTTGGGTGCTGGGATCGGATAGCTAAGGATTGTCAAGGCACCTTCCTCACAACTCCCAGAAACTGATCTAAAAGCTTATGCAACAGCGTAGACATACATTTTTGTCTCCTGTCCGCGTGGAATAAAGGCAGAGTTCTCTCCTCCTTGATGGGGAAATGGCAGCTTCTGCTGCTTTTGAAGAAGCACCTGTCTCTCACACTGCCTTGCGCTTGGGGAAACTGGAGCAGGAACTGTTGTAAGTGGCGTAACCAGGAACCTCTCATTGTACGCCCAGGGAACAAAATGTCCCTCGTGGCTCTGAACAGGTTAAGCTTCAGCCACTCCGCCCCCACCCCCAAAAGCCCTTGGCTTATCAGGCAAAGCCTTGTGCGGAGAAATTCCTGTGAAGGGGGCAGAGGAGAGGGGTGGGGAAGGGTTGCTGGAAAAGCAGGCGCAGCCTTGGGGTGGGAGGGCTGCAGTGGATTTTAACCCACTCCCCACTCTCCCCCTGGACCTTCCCTCCTGCATCTACCCTGAAAATGTTTGAGCAAGTCCAAACCTTCCTGCGCCATATCCAGGACTTCAAGCGTAAATACCTAACTCCTGCCGCCGCTTTCTGCTTTGTAGTCGAAGGACGGGAGGGAAGTGTTGCCTTGTAGAAAGTGTGGCGGGGGATGCGCAGCGGGGAGGAAGACTTAAAAGTGATTTAGTCTGTCTTGCCAAAGGGGGGGGGAAAGGGGGCTCTCTACTTATAAGGGTGAGACCGGGGTGTTGTGGTTTGTTGTGCGGGAGAGGAAGGAATTGGGCAGGTTGCATATTGTTCAAATTGCAAATGTGTGTGCGTATGGGTGATGTTTATCTGTAACGAACCTGAGTCACGACTTCAGCCTTGCGAAAGCCCTTTGGTCTTTCTTGTTCAAGCAAGTCAACTTTTTTGGGAGGGGGGTGAAGCTGAAGAGCCAGTGAGGGTGTTATGTGAACCCACCTAAGAATGGAGGATATGCTAGAGGCCAGGTGAGGCTGAAAGCTTTTTCGAGGGGGGAGTTGTGGGCAGGGTGCCCATAGCATTTCTGACTTCTATCATTGTTCAGCAGAACATGGCTTTGATGTGAACTTGGGTCTCGTCCACTTTCTGTTGGCAAAGTTCATCAGCATCACCTGTTGTGTGGATGAGAAAGCAGTCGGAACCATCCTGGAGAATCCCTTTAGTGTTTAAAGGTTGTATGAAGTTTGTACTGAAGACGAGAAAGAGAGTGTCTTAGGTTGTGTGTGTGTGTGTGTGTGTGTGTGTGTGTACATGCATATACTTATGTTTATGTGAATTAAGGACACGAAACCAATGGATTTGAGTTACAAGAAAGGAGATAGCTCAGGTATATCTTTCTGATAGTAAGAGCTGTTTGACAGTGGAATTGTCTCCCTTGGGAAGTGATGGACTCTCTTTTCTTGGTTTTTAAGAGGAGGTTGAATGGCTTTAGCTGAGATTTCTGTATTGCAGGGGTTGGTCTAGATGACCGCCAGGGTCCCTTCCAACTCTGCAACTCTTCAGTTCTATGATTCCATGACATAAGTGTGTCTGCTCTTGAGAGAGCCCCAGCGCTGAGTTAAATTTTCAGGTTCTGGCAAGTAAACATTGACTAGAACAACACCCAGGGCAGGGTATGTGGAAAGGGGAAGCGCATTTTTGGAACATGCTTGTTTTTGTTTCAAAGGCAGCTCTTGTTCTCAGTATTTTGGGGAGAGAAGAACTACAGGTATGTTCACCTTTCCCCATACCCCACATCCTGTGTGCTCCCACTGTCTGTTTTTGAAGCCCCACACTCATGATGTGAGCCACAGTCCACACCAATCCTGTAGTTCATGGGTAAGCAAACTAAAGCCCGGGGGTCGGATCTGGCCCAATCGCCTTCTAAATCCGGCCCGTGAATGTTCTGGGAATCAGCATGTTTTTACATGAGTAGAATGTGTGCTTTTATTTAAAATGCACCTCTGGGTTATTTGTGGGGCATAGGAATTCGTTCTCCCCCCCCTTCAAAATACAGTCTGGCCACCCACAAGGTCAAGTTTGCTGACCCCTGCTGTAGTTCCTTGGAAAACATGGCTTTTTAAGCCACATTCATTTTGTACTTAAGAATGGCACATACATTTTAGTCTACTCTGAGTGGGCAGTTTAAGAAAACAAATAATATTTTTTGTTCCTGAAACACATTTTAACTTTTATCTCCCTATAAACTAGATAGTGTTCCAGCTATCCTAATTTCATTCACCTTCCCCCAGTCTACTCTCCCAGGAACTGGACAAGACTGGAGGAGTAGCCTTGTCACTCACCTGCTTTCCACCCCTTTCCCTGCCACCGTTGTAGCTGTCATCTTCAGGAGGACGGGGAGGTGGGTTGACCCTTCAAGGACATCCATGCGTAACCTTGCTGGTGCACACAGTATTGCACAGACTTTTTAAAAAGGGGAAAAAATGTGTTCAGGCATCAGTGAAGCTGCCAAGTCCCTCTCCTGTTCCTGCCAGTTTCGATGGAGAACAGAGAGTCCGATTGCATCTGGGTCAAGTCACAAGCAGTGGCGTAGCGTGGGGAGTGCAGGGGGGGCCGGCCGCACCGGGCGCAACATCTGGGGTTAGGGCAATCCACGGGTTAGGGGCGCAAATCCACGGGTTAGGGGGCGCAAATTACTTGCCTTGCCCCGGGTGCTGACAACCCACGCTACGCCACTGGTCACAAGGCAGTGGAGATCAGCATCCAGAGCAGGCAGATTGGGGAGAATCTTCTTCCACCTAAGCTCAAGGGGATGCAAAGATATTTAAACTGAGAAAAGCACGATTTGTGAGCTTTGGTGATGGAAGGGAAGATTCCCAAGTGATAAGTGAGGTAATTCAGAATGCGTGTATTATTAGCAGCTTTGGGTGAGAAAATTTCCTGGCGGACCGAGACCAATGTTATTGGGCGGACGCAGTGCAATGCTAGACTATGGAACTCACTGCCACAACAGGCAGCAATGGCCACCAACTGGAATGTCTTTAAAATAGGCAGGTTCTTGAAGGAGAGGGCTATTGAAGGCTACTAGCCATGGGAACTGTGTTCTGCCTCCCCTGGGGGCCGTCCCATCAGATAAGTTATCTTGCTTCTAATGAATTTCTTTCTTTCTTTCTTTCTTTCTTTCTTTCTTTCTTTCTTTCTTTCTTTCTTTCTGTTAAATCGTTTTTATTCATTTTCCAATAAAAAACATCCAATTAACATATCAAATCATAATCCAATAAAAATAAAAAATAAAATAAAAAAGGTCAAATTATCTTCCAAATTATAATTATTAATTTTGGGGGGCTTCCCATAGTCTGGACCTTGAAGCATATCTCCAAATCTCAGTCCTGCTTCTCCTCGTTGTTTCCAAATTTTCCACATCTCGATTTTAACGCTTTAAACTTCTCTGTCTCTGGCGCATCTAATGAATTTCTTAAGTGAATTCCCTCTCGAACTCCCAGTCTGGCACTCAACTCATGTGACTTCATGGGCAGAAGATTCTCGTATGGGGGCCATAATCCATGGGGCAGCTGGGTCATAGCTGCACTCATCTTCAGCTGGTGGTTTAGCGCTCGCTGCTGCTTCGCAGCCTAGCCCAAAGCAGGCCTGTATAAGGGAGTCATTGGCGCACTCCGCAATTGCCTAACCTTGACTCCCATAGGTTCAGGTTGGGGGGTCACAAGTGTTATAAGAATTTTAAGGTCTTAGATATATATTAAATGTTCATAAATGTACCAAGCAAACACGTATATAAATATATAAACCACATGTCTGAAGCAGCACAGGAAGACAGTCCTGAAACCATTTTAACTCCCAAACTGACCAAATGTTTCTCTGCAAGGAGGGGAGGAAATGGAAAAAAACCTTCCCATTGTCTCAGGAATTAAGTAATTACCACCTCAGAGGAATGGCCAAACTCCCAGAAAAGGCAATCAGATAAGGCATTATCAGATAACCTGGCAGACAGGAAAAACAACAACATTCAAATTTCTGTTGTAGACCGCCTTTTCTGTGATGTAGGTATGATGTTTGTGGGGGGTGGTCTTGGGCTACACCCCTTCTGTGATGTATGTATGATGTATGGAGGGGTGGTCTGGAGCTCGATGGCAGGGAATTTCAAAATGGATATATAAGGTCTTGCGCGCCATTGTTTGAGGTCCTCCTTTCCTGCGTGTGAGGGGAGCACCTTGTTGCAACAGTCAATAAAGATCAGGCTTACTAGCTGCTTTGCTTCTCAGTATTCTCTGGTTGGCCTCTGTTATTTTCTCCTACCGATAGAGAACCTACAAAAGGACTCTGTTTGGGCTCTTGGGTACCCCATAAGGGAAAAGGAGCAGGTTTTTTTACTTATATCACAAGCAAGAGACTTCAGCCAGGAGACAGAAGCAAAACAGCGGCCTGTAGGCATGATCTTTGTTGCTGCAACAAGGCTTCCTACTACTATAGAGATGATGCAGCCAGAAGCCCTGAGCAATGGTTACATCCGTATTTTAAGTTTCCCAAAGTTTCCCATGATGGGACACGGGTGGAGCTGTGGGTAAAAGCCTCAGCGCCTAGGGCTTGCCGATCGAAAGGTCGGCGGTTCGAATCCCCGCGGCGGGGTGCGCTCCCGCTGCTCGGTCCCAGCGCCTGCCAACCTAGCAGTTCGAAAGCACCCCCGGGTGCAAGTAGATAAATAGGGACCGCTTACTGGCGGGAAGGTAAACGGCGTTCTGTGTGCTGCGCTGGCTCGCCAGATGCAGCTTTGTTACGCTGGCCACGTGACCTGGAAGTGTCTGCGGAAAGCGCTGGCCCCCGGCCTCTTGAGTGAGATGGGCGCACAACCCCAGAGTCTGTCAAGACTGGCCCGTACGGGCAGGGGTACCTTTAACTTTACCTTTAAAGTTTCCCATAATACCCCTCAGGATGCATCATCAAGACATCATAGATATGTGGCAGAAAAGGTATTGCATCAGGTAGAACCTGAGATCCAGGCATGCCCCTGTCACTCAAATATAGTCTTTTACACATACCTGAGTTAAGTCAAATACACCCCTTTTTCTTGTCTGGTCTTCATCCCACTACAGGGTGGGTGGGCATTGTGATTGAGATGGTTGTGATTGAGATGGTCTCTGCCACACTCCTTGGGAAGGCCTTGCTGATGTGGGGATTATGGTGGGCTCACTAACCTCCCCTTAGACATCACTAAGGGGTCCTAAATGCCATTGGAACTGAGAAGATCGAAACAACAATGCGATTTCTTATGAATTTCTAAAGTTTTCCCAGTGAGCCAGTACATTTATCAGTGAATTGCTACATTTGGTAATAGGCAGCGGAGGCGCTTTGTCTTTGCCTCGTGCTGGGGAGAGGCAAGGTTCATGGGAGGAGGTTTCTCACCCCCCCTTCCTATTTCCCGGTAACAGCCACACCAGCAGTGCCCCAAATGGACCTTGGGGTTAATTGTATCTCCTAGCTCTGAAAATGTCAAGTAAGGTAAAGGCAAAGGTACCCCTGACCATTAGGTCCAGTCGTGGCCGACACTGGGGTTGCGGCGCTCATCTCGCTTTACTGGCCGAGGGAGCCAGCGTACAGCTTCTGGGTCATGTGGCCAGCATGACTAAGCCGCTTCTGGCGAACCAGAGCAGCGCACGGAAACGCCGTTTACCTTCCCGCCTGTTTACTTTACCTATTTATCTACTTGCACTTTGACGTGTTTTCGAACTGCTAGGTTGGCAGGAGCAGGGACCGAGCAACGGGAGCTCACCCCGTCACGGGGATTCGAGCCGCTGACGTTCTGATCGGCAAGTCCTAGGCTCTGTGGTTTAACCCACAGCGCCAAAGAGTGGGAGGCTGTGCTTTGATCCATCTTCTCTCTCTCCTCCCAGCCAGCTCCCTGTTGCCCCATCCAGAAGAGGGTCCTTCTCATCAGGAAGATGGTGGGCTCTTAGCACGGCTATCCCACGGCGATGTCGGGGGCATCTTCCGGCAGGCGGGGAGCCGGGTGCGAATGAGGGTCTGGAACCGCAAGGACGCGGGTAAGCAATTGCAGCGGGCATTTGGGGGAGGGGCATAAAGTGAGGAGCAAGGGAGCCTGGGAAAGGTGAGCAAGGATAGAAAACGGGGTTGCTGGGAGCATTGCAGAAGGAGGCCTGAGGGAGGAGGAAGGGCAGACGCTGAGGGATGGAAGGAAGGAAGGAAGGAGAGAAAGGACGGTGGGGACTATCTCCTCCTCATGCTGACTCTTTCGATTCACTTCCAGGAGTTTCCAGTGATTTGAACACAGCTGATATTGATGTAGGCGAATGTCCCCGGAGCCCCACCTACCGCCTCTCCCAGCCCCAGGTATTGAAGACCCCGGGAATGGGTAGCTGGGACCCTGGATGGGGAAGGGGCCGTCTGGGTGCTAGGTTTGAAAGCTGGTCAGAGGTGGGGGGGAATGGAACTAGAGCGAAGGGTGAGTCAGGGCTGGCTGGCAGGTCTATGCTCCAGGCAAGGACTGGCCCTGCAACCCTTTTCCAATTCCACCCTTGGCACTCTGCACTTACTTCCCTCCCCACTCTAAGGCCTGCTGGCCTGTGCCACTCAGTTTCTAGTGTCTGCAGTGACCTGTGGGCTCCATTGTCTTTGCCCGCTCCACTGCTGCTGCCTGTGAGAGATCCAGGATTGGTGGAGCTGGACAGACTTCACTTTGTATAGGGGAAAGGCAGACCTATAATGTGGTTGTTGTGAAGAGAAACAATTAGCGGGTGTCGCTCAGTCAAGGAGCACGTGCCTCCTGGCAGTAATTAATTAACAAATTAATATAATAAATATGGGGCAGGTCAGACAAACAGAAGTACTTATTTATGCTACAACACAATGTAGTAATAGCCACCTTGGAGGGCTTTAAAGGGAGGTGAGAATGGCTACAGGTTGTCCCGATGGCTTTGTTCTACCTCCAGGATCATGGGCAGGGAAGAGATGAGCTAGAAGATCTAGTACGTCGAGAGATGAAGTGATGTGACCATAGTCAGCTCATCTCTTTCATGAATTGGACACGGTTCCTTATCCTGGGTCATATTTTACAAAGGACGCCTGCCCCTCAGTTCCTTCTATCTGGGTTGTGAAAGAGAAAGCTTCTCTTGTGATTCCTCTGCATCCTAATCTGCAGAAGAAGGGAGCAAATGGCTTCGTTTTAATATAATGACTCAAGAGCCACTAAATTCTAGTTTGGATTAGGTTGCTGGGTGTCACTATAATTCAGGTTCAGTTCTGAGCCAAGTGGGAACGCCACCACAAGGTATGGTGATACCTTGTCATTGGCCCCTCACACATAACTGCACTGGTGACTTGCAGGTGTGAATGTACCATTGCAAACCTATTGCCACAGGCAGGCACCTTCCATCACCTCCTGCATTCAGGTGTGAACAGTCCCTTTAGATAGTTTTGAAAAAGGACTGGGGAAATTTGCAACTATTCACACCTGTTGCTCATGCTAACCAAGTGGAAGCAGCCATGATCTAGGGCAGTATTCCTCTTTGAGTATCAGATGAGGGGAGGCCACAAGAAGGGGGGGTGACCACCATCCTCAAACCCTCCTTGTGAGCATAGGCGCCAACTCTATGGGGCTGAGGACACCTCAGCTCCCCCCAAAAGTATGTGGGGACTAGGCTGCGATGGTGGAAAGCCCTGTCGGGACTCCCCACAGTGGTGGAGGGCCCAACCAGGCCTTCCAACACACAATAAACCCCCGTAACCTGGCGCATACACTTGTGAGCTCTCAAAAGCACCCATGGCTGCCGGAGTTGGAGACAGATTACTTCACTACAGGGATGGGGAAGCTGTGTCCCTGCAGACGTTGCTTGGCTGCAGCTCCCACCATCCCTGACTATTAGCTGTGCTGGCTGGGGCTGATGGACTGGAGAGCCACAGCTTCCCTGCCCTTGCTGTACCCCATAGTCTGATACAATAAATCGGGGCAATTCTTATACCTGCTGTCAGAGCTGCCCTAGGTCCCAGCTCACAAAGGACCCACGCCAGATCGTTGTTATATGAAACAGTCTTTATTTAAGCTCAGCTTCGCTTTTACATCCGTGGCGCGCAGCTCTACGTCTCAAACTCTAGACCGCCGAAGCTCCGTCTGAGTCTCCTCCCCCCAGACACCAGTTTAAGACTCTAGCCTTGCTCCACCTCTTCCTCCGCTCTTTCCTCCTCTGGGTCCACCTGTCCGCTGGGGTCTTGCCCTTCCTAGACTCTTCTGACGCTGAGTCTCCTGAGTCTTCCCCCTCCCTCCGGCGGGCTTTAGGACCTGGTTCCCACTCTGGGTTGTCCGCTGTCCCGCGCGCCTGTACATTTGAACTTGGCGCGCGCGCCCAGTCTGACACTTTCCTCCTGACCGTTACACTGCTCCTGTCACTACTTTCCCCTCCCGGGGTGCTAGCTGGGTCTGATTTCCCCTCCATTCCCTCACTCTCCGACAGGGGCGTGGCCAGCTCTGGCTCCCCTTCCCTCCCACTACGTTCTGGTGGGGAAACTGGTCCTGATTTCCAGCTACTACTTTGGGAGTCTCCGCTGGCCCCTTGCTTCTGGTGTGTCCCCCCTGGGGACCCCCCTTTCCCTGGCCGTAGGCGCCCCCTTCTGGGAATCTTCTGATTCACTGGAGAGGCTTATGGAATCTCTCGGGTCACTGTCACTCTCTCCTCCGCTACCCTCAGATTCCTCCCCTTCGCTCTCCATTTCCTCTCTCCCCTGTGGCTCAGCTCCTGAGCCCCTGACACCTGCCTTTGTGGTTTCTCGTTCTCTGCTCTTCAGGAGACTGGCCAATATTCTGTGGAGCTGCTACGAGGACCCAGCGGCTTTGGCTTCAGTTTGAGAGGCGGAAGTGAATATAACATGGACATCTATGTCTTGGCCCTCATGGAGGGTGGACCAGCCCAGCAGTGTGGCAAGATTCAGGTATGTGATGCAGTCTGGGAACACCCAGTGCTGCGGGCAAGTGCGAACCTGGCTGGTTCCTTGAATGCAAAACCACTAGGAGAGCCTCACCCGGGAACATGACAGAAATGTGGGCCAGGAAGTGCCCAGTTCAAATTTTACCATCACCCACGAACTTGCTAAGTACCCTTAAGCAAGACACTAATCCTCAACACAATTCCCCCCCCCCCATATTGGCCTATCAGACACGCTTTAAAAAGAATACGCGAGAATAATGCATGCAGAGCATTCAGAGCACTCAAAAAGTGTTACTTTAATGCTGCAAAATGAGATTATCAGGTTCCCCTGAATGGGCAGCAATATGTGTGTGTTCTGTGTGGAGCTGTGCATATTCTATATTCAGTATATTCTACATTCAGCCTTACAATTATTATTATTATTCCCCGCCCATCTGGCTGGGTTTCCCCAGCCAATCTGGGCGGCTTACAGCACATAGAAAATAGTAAAACATTAGACATTAAAAATTTCCCGCTACAGGGCTGCCTTCAGATGTCTTCTAAAAGTCAGATAGCTGTTTATTTCCTTGACATCTGATGGGAAGGCGTTCCACAGGGCGGGCACCACTACCGAGAAGGCCCATTATTGTCATGCCTATCCAATGTGTGGAAACACATTGTGAAATCTCCAGAACAAAGCAAAACCCCAGCCAGCTCTTGGCAGTGATGGTGAGTTTTACACCGTGGCAGGTGAGCGACCAGCTGGTAGAGATCAACGGAGAGCCGACAGCAGGAATGACGCATGCTCAAGCTGTGGAGCACATCCGCAACGGGGGGAGCCGGATACGCCTGGTGCTGAAGAGGGGCAACGGGTTCGTTCCTGATTATGGTACGTCCACAAACCTGGTCTTTTCTGCCCATCCCTCTCTTCCTCCACAGTAGAGATAGGCTCAAGCCGACCCCCACGGTTAATGCAACACGTGAGAAATGATCGCAGGGGAGATGGGATGGCTCAGATGAAAATTTCAGGTGGTAATAGTCTGGCACGCTCCCCGCCCCACCAGCAAATTTTCCCCTAACCCTTAAGGGAGAGGAGGAAAACCACAATTAGTTTCTCTGTTTCAAGAGAGGTGCCGTAACCCAGGATGATAGGCCTTGTAATGGACTTCTCCCAATTTCTTTAAAAATATGCTTATATGCTGCTTTTCTGAGCAAAGTCTGTCCAAAGGGGCTTTCAACAATAAAAAGTATACATACTAGCACTAAGGACAAAACAGATTTTCAAAACTCCCCGCCTTTTCTCTGCAGAGAGGCAGGTTCTGGGTCTGCAATATTCACCCCTCTCTCCTCTTCTTTTTTCTTTCCTGCCCTGCCGTCCTTCGTCCGTCTGACCCACCATACACCACCCCGACCCACTCATGGTGTTGTCTGACCCCCCCTCCCCCCCCCACACTTCTCTGCCTAATCTGTGCCAACCTCACCTTAACCTTTTCTGGTCTGCTTTGCCTTCCTGGTCTGTGATGGCTCCATCCCCTACTCCCGGTCTGTGCTGGCCTTGTAACTTCCCTATCACTTCCTCTCTCCGCCCCCAAAGTCTCCATCTGTCTCCGCCCCACAGGGCAGCCGCTGGCCAGCCTGGCTCTCTGCGTGACCAACTCCCCCCGGGGGGAGCCCTGCTTCTGCCTCGTGGGACGGGTCGAACATAAATGGTGGGTGTCCAGCCCCCAGCCGGACCAGCAGAACCACTCAGCCCAGTCCCTCTCTCTCCCATAGTCTCCCAGGGAATCATCCTCAAACAACAAGAGCAACGAGAACTTTGCAACAGGTGGAGCCACCTCTCCTTCTTCCCCTCACTTCCCACCAACACATTAGGACCCTTCCCTGGTCTCCCTGCCCCTGTTTCCCCAGCATCACCCCAGCAGACCTCCCCCCCCCCCGAAGCCAAAGCTGTGTGTATTCTGCAGTTCTGCACAAGTACAGAAAAGGAGCAGAATTTTGGTATGAGCTGCATAATGCAGCCGCCTCAGACTCCCGGGCTGAAGACAGACGTTACCTTTTCATAGCAAGGGGGCACATGTGCGTTCTGTCCAAACATACTTCCATTTTGCAGGGCTGAGTGCTAAAATAGCAGAAGCCAGCCGCGAGAAGTAGTGCTTGGTTGGTGGTTGTAATGTCACAGAGCCAATTTCCCCCATGCAATCGCTTGTTAAATTGCAAGTCTTGGCTGAGTGACACATTATAATTTCTCTTTTAATAGCAAATTCCTTACCCCTGGGGTTTTGAAGGCCGTCTTTAAAGCATGCGGACAGTGCTCGTTAAAAAAAACCCTTAAAAGGCAGATACTTCTGTGCCCTGCGGAGGCCATTGGCTAGTAGAAGCAGAATAAATTATGCAATCTAAATATTCACGCTTGCATAATTCAGCTTTCACAGTGCAGAATTGTGATTTTTTTCGTGTGCCCTGGCCATAGCTACCATTGCCTCTGGTTGCCTCCCCCATTTTCCATTTCCCACTGATTTGTCTGGAATTCCTCCTCCACATATTAGCACGTTGTGAAACGTTATAGACCTGTCTATGTAATACCGGATTCCTCCCCAAACCTCTTTCCAACTTGCTGTACCCACCTAGCTCCTCCCCCGCCCCTAGAAGCCTCCCTCCAGCCCAGCTAGGACAAACACAAACCGCCCAAGTGCCATGTTGCCAAGCTGGCCTGTGGTGGCACCCCCAAGGCAAAAGGGAAGTTTGGGTAGGATCCTGCCTCTAGAAGCCCAAAGGGCAGGAAAGCAGCCTGGGAGGTGTGAGGACGCTTCCCAGGGTTCCTTGGAGGGAAGCCACAACAGCTGAACCACTTTAAACTGGTGGGGCAGAGAGGCCTTCTCAGTGGAAAACATTGCAGAGGCAAGTTCTCATACTCCTAGAGCCTAGATCCAATCTGGAGACCTCAAGGGGCAGTAGAAGAAACCCAAGGGAGCTCTCAGGGATATCCCAGAAAACAGCAGATCTCTCCCCCACCCCCCAATAAAGCAGCCTTCCCCAATCTTGAGTCCCCATATATTGTTTGTGGCGCTGTGGGTTAAACCAAAGAGCCTAGGACTTGCCGATCAGAAGGTCGGTGGTTCGAATCCCCGCGACGGGGTGAGCTCCCGTTGCTCGCTCCCTGCTCCTGCCAACCTAGCAGTTCAAAAGCGCGTCAAAGTGCAAGTAGATAAATAGGTACCCCTCTGGCGGGAAGGTAAACGGCATTTCTGTGCGCTGCTCTGGTTCACCACTCTGGCCACATGGCCCAGAAGCTGTATCCCGGCTTCCTCGGCCAATAAAGCGAGATGAGCGCCGCAACCGCAGAGTCGGCCACGACTGGACCTAATGGTCAGGGGTCCCTTTACCTTTTTACAACCCCCATCATCCCCAGCCAGCATGGCCCCATGGTCAAGGATGATGGGAGATGTAGTCCAACAATACCAGGGGACCAAAGGTCAAGGAAGGCAGCCCTAAGGCTTCAGAGATGAGGGGTCGTATCAGAGTATCCTGGGGGATGTGGATTCCTGGGCAGAATTGGGCGCTGGAGCTCCACAGCGTTGCTCCAGGGCAAGCTTCCTCAACCTCAGCCCTCCAGATGTTTTGAGACTACAGTTCCCATCATCCCTGACCACTTGTCCTGCTAGCTATGGATCATGGGAGTTGTAGGCCAAACACATCTGGAGGGCCGAGTTTGAGGAAGCCTGCTTCAAGGAGTATTTTTTAAATATAGCTGGTGATTATTTTAGGTAATGGAGAGGCAGCCGCATTCCACATTCTGTCCTGTCTCCACCCCACCAGTATCTGCCCGCCCTGGCGCTACCTGCCTGGCCTTGCCCAGATGCCAGCATTTTGAAATCAAACCTTGGCAACTTTACCCCCAAGGCAGGGTGTAGCTTGGGATGAGAGCTTTTTCTTTTGTTTCCTTTCTTTTTCAAAACAAAACCAAAGACCCGCCCACTCCATGCAGCCCACCTGGCCTTATACCAGGCGTAGGCAAAACTCGGCCCTGCAGATGTTTTGGGACTACAACTCCCATCATCCCTGACCATTGGTCCTGTTAGCTGAGGATCATGGGAGTTGTAGTCCCAAAAACATCTGGAGGGCCGAAGTCTGCCTATGCCTGCCAAGGAAGGATGTCTTCAGGGTCTAATCTCTCCTGTGCTGTGTTTTTCTCCCCGCAGACCGAGAGTACAGTCAGAGCCCTGCCAGGTTGCAGCAGGCGCCGGAGACCGAGAACAAAGGCAGGCACCGGCACCGGAGAGCAAACCCGCCTGGGGATCCCCAATATCTGGGTCAGCCCCCCTGTGACGGGGGCAGCCGGGAGGCATCGCCCAGCAACAAGCAGCGGCAGCAGCTCCAGCTCCCCAAAGCCCGCCAGCCTAGCTGGCCGCACCGCAGCTCCACCAAGGCTCCAGGGGAGGAAGACGAAGATGGAGAAGGGGGCTGGAGGCTGCGGGAGCAAGGGAAGGGCGTGGAGGGAGGAGGGGACAGCTGCAAGCTCCTCTCCCCCAGGCCAAGCAGGAAGCTGCGCTCAGACCTGGTCCCTGGTCCCTGGCTGGTGCCCAGCAAGGAGCGCCTGTCGCGGGCTCTGTGGGGCGTCTGCATGGGCCAGGGGGAGGAGGAAGAGCAAAAGGGGGACTCGGGAAGAGGGAAAAGCATGGAGGTGAAGAGGCGCAGCTAAGCCCAGCACTCTTTGCGGCTCCGCAACGCAGAACTACTCAGTGCCTGGGGCAATGGCCCTGTCCACCCCCATCCGGACTATGCAATATGATTTTCTTTTTTCCTTTCCTTTGCCCGCTCCCCGTATTCGTACTATGCAACGGCAGCTTCCGTCTTGCGCTCCCCGGCCCCCATCCATACTATGCAATGATTCAACACAAACACAAGCCTCCTTCCCCACCTTCCTTGGGATTCTGCGAGGCAATCTTCCGTTTTGCTGCCGCTTCCGCCGCTCCCAAGGACTGCGGTGGTAACATCCCTTATGCAGCCCCCTGCCCTGGGCGGACCAGTGCTACCGAAGCTGCGTTGCGAAGATCCCAGGGGGTGTTATGAGAAGTTTTCTCCAGGGAGAAGATCCATAATGGCAGACAGAAAATGGGCTTGCCTGCGATTGCCTACCCTGCAATGCCTAGCGCCAGAGGAGGGATGGTGACCATGTCCCAGGGCAGTGGTGGCGAACCTGCGGCCTAATATGGTCAGCCAGGCCTATTTTATACTTGAAGGAAACTTCAAACTATGGCTTACAGCGACAGAAAAAAGCACCAGGTTTTTAAAAGGTCAACTTTTGTCTGCAAAGGCAGGAATCAGAAGTGCACTTAGGGTACACTCCTTATTCTTCCTTTGTGGCCCCTGATCAAAATTTGTGTGGGAATGTTCAGGGATGCAGGAGAGGATATGTTGTTTGATTATATCCTTTCCAACTTGTGTTAACAAGTTCTATAATTTAGCAGAGTAACATTCCCCTTTTAAACTTGCACAGCGGATGTGTTTGCTCAGGCTCACTAAAGCCTCTAAAATAAGTTTCATTGGTAATTTCCCCTTTAGTCCCTCATAAAAAGATAGACACGACACAGTCTTCTATAAAAGTATAAAAAGAGTTTACTTACACATTCTGTTCACAAATGGATCCTAGAAGGCAGACTTAAGTTACAAAAGTAATATACAGCTGGAAACTATCCCATAAGGAGACAGCTCCTTTGTCCTCTCTTGGCTGCAAGCCAAGGAAGCATCTTAGGCTAAGCAGATGTTGCTTCTTTGATGAATGCAGTCAGAGAGAGAGAGAGATGGCTGACCAGTCCTGCTCTTTTGTTACCTGGGCAGGTGAAGTCACACCCACCTCTAGTCACATGCAGAGGAAGTCTGTCCCAGCCTAGGAGAAACAGGAAGTTCCGACTGGCTGGTCCAGACATCCCCTTTTATGTCCTCTCTAGGGATGTTGTACTTGACTGCTCTTGTGTTTCACATCCCACAATTTGTCTACTTGCACTGGCATGCTTTCGAACTGCTAGGTTGGCAGGAGCTGGGACAGAGCAATGGGAGCTCACCCTGTCACAGGGTTTCGAACCACCGACCTTCCAATCAGCAAGCCCAAGAGGCTCAGTGGGTTAGACCACAGCGCCACCCGCGTCCCTTCAAAATTAATATTACCAGACGTCAGGTGACTGACAGCAGGGTGGAGCTGGCCACTGTCAATGCAGCTGATGGAGGGGCCCGTGCCACCTCTGGATCACCTGACACCAGGGTGACTGACAGGTGGCTGCTGCGACTGGCCCTCCATCCGCATCCATTTTCCTGCTGCTGTTCTAGGCTGCTCTCAATTTGCACAAGGCAGTGACTGCATCCAACGGGTCTCATTGGTACTTGGCACAAACCGAAGGTGCAACGCTGCCAACAACAAGCCCAGAATGATCTGTGGGAGGCACACTGGACGTCTGTCAGCAGTTAGTTAATGGGAAAGGGTTTCCCTGAGACTTGATCGCTTGAAAACCGCTGACTCAATGTTCCATTCACAAAATCCATTGAGGCTCGGTAGCTGTTAGAGTGTTGGGGAGCCCAGGGTTCGAATCTCTGGGTGACCTTGGGCAACTCATTATCTTTCAACCTAACCTAACACTCAGGCTGGACGCGGGTGGTGCTGTGAGTTAAACCACAGAACCTAGGACTTGCCAATCAGAAGGTCAGCGGTTTGAATCCCCGCGACAGGTGAGCTCCCGTTGCTCAGTCCCAGCTCCTGCCAACCTAGCAGTTCAAAAGCACGTCAAAGTGCAAGTAGATAAATAGGTACCACTCCAGTGGGAAGGTAAACAGCATTTCCATGTGCTGCTCTGGTTTGCCAGAAGCAGCTTAGTCATGCTGGCCACATGACTCGGAAGCTGTACGCCGGCTCCCTTGGCCAATAAAGCAAGATGAGCACCGCAACCCCAGAGTTGGCCACAACTGGACCTAATGGTCAGGGGTCCCTTCACCTTTACCTTTATCACTCAGCGTTGCTGTTAGGATAAAATAGCAGGGAGGAACTAGGTACGGTGCTTTGAGCTCCTTGGGTATAATTGCAACAGATCAACGAACAAACCCATTCCATAGTGACTCATCTACTAAGGAACCCCTAAGCACCTGTTGTTGTTTTTCTGAAAAGCCCACATGTTTCAGAGGATTCTGTAGAATTGCTTTAGGGCATGCAGTCAGTTACCCCACACAAATAAAGCACATTGCTGGAACATGCCCAACACTCCTCCTTTGCAGGGAAGTTGACAATTGGTTGGAGTGGGCAATTCAGGGGCAGCCTCTTCTGCCATGACTGATCTTCTCCCAGAAGACTCACGTGCTTCTGAGGAAACCTCTGGAGCATGATTTGAAAACCACCGGCCTAGTATCCCTTATCACATCACTTTCCAAGACTGCGCAGTGTGGTCTGTGCCACTCTGCTGCTGAACCACCTCCCATCGCTGCCCCTTCGCCACAGTCCATTCTCCTCCTTCCCTCAGGCTGTGCAGTGGTCCACCAGCCTCACGGACCTTTCCACTCCACTGGTGCCTCAAGCCACCCCACGGTTGCATGGGCTGGTGATCCATGCCCAGCCGCTCAGAATGCAATGGTCCTCTTCACTCTGCTAGTGCCAAGCACGGTGTGCATGAGAGCCCTCATGCGCTAAAACGCAGACTTCGCATGCCATACGGGATGCCTGTGGCTCAGAAGAGCCATGTATTTCTGTGCCATGCGCACACCCAGACATGCCACCACCCGATGCTATGAAAACAAGTATAATATATAGATTCCTGTTAATTGGCGAAGGAGAATGTATTGTCCCAGGCAAGTTATTTCAGCTTCTCCTAATCAATCATGGGCACCGTTTGCTCCTACTAGGGAGCATTGTTTGGCCTTCTGTTCTGCAAAGGCACAGCAAACATGGGGTTGTTGTGTTGGTAAAGGATTGTGGGGTAAAGAAGTGAGACAGCACACTCCTAGGTTTTCTTTGCAGGTGGCGTGATGGAATAAAAACGAGAGAAATTTACAATCTAAATTTCTCACTACTTTTTTTAAAAAAATGTGGTTTCACATTGCATCTCCTGTTTAGCTCTCAGTTCCTTCTCTGATATATATCTGTGCACAGACACTTCGGAGCATATCCGGAGGTGGTGCTAGCACAATCCTGGGGCACACAGGCCAAAATTGTGCCTTGTGTCACCACCCTTTGTCTGGGGAGGGTGGGGGGTGGGAGGTCATACGCATTGCATGCTGTATGCAAAACATGAACTGACATGAAATGTGCATGTGTCCACAGGGTGCATTTGGATAAACTCTTGGCAGGGCTTCTGGCTTTATACAACACTGGGGAGGGGGATTCACATAAATGGGCACATGTAAGACAAACCCATGGGGATATGCATGTCAAAGGCCATGGCACACCTAAGAAGCCCAGCCCCATTGCATTCAGGAGGCCTTCAGAGGACCCGGCATTCAAGCTCGAAACCCACCATGCAAAGCCCCAGAAGCTATCTTCTCATGCAATACTACCACCCACACAACGGGCAAAGAGGTGCTGGGTCACACTTCTTCCTGGAGGCTGCATCAAAGTACCCTCCTGGCACCTATTTCCTGGTGCATTTATAGGAGTGGGTCATCTCAGAGGTGAGAAGGAAAGGCTCACTTCACATGCTCAGAAGCATTCTGCAATCCCAACCCACAGTTTTAAGCAATGCATGACATGAGAGTCTTAAGGCTCTAAGGACCTGCCCTGGTTGAAACCCCACTTACAAGGACTGAAGTTGGTTTCTTCTACTGTTCCAGATGTGGAAATAGCTGGCTTTTGGCTCACCTGATACAAGAGGGGGACAGGGCTCCTGTGCTTTTGAATAATTGTGCAGGTGCCATCTGGGTGGAGGTGGGAATGTCAGTGACACAAGAAATTGCTTTAGATATGTCTGGCAGTGCAGTTATGCCATAGGAAATGTTCTTCTTTTTAAAAAAATAAATAAAAATCTTATAAAATCTATCAATTAAAAGATTCTGATTTTGTTTTAAACGTTGCTTTTGATTTATTGTCTTTGCTTCCTCAAACTGCATAGTTCATGATCGAGGTTCTGAACCCTTTTTAGGGATGGAAAAATCACTGCTTAGGCCTGGTGAACTCGCTGAATGAATCAAGAGCGATAAGGTGAGCTTTAGTTTGCAGCTGATAAGAAATCCCCCAATCCAGCTTCAGTCCTGTGAAACAACAACAGTGAGACAGCGAACAGTTTTTATGTTATGTTTTAATATATGTTGGAAGCTGCCCAGAGTGACTGGGGCAACCCAGTCAGATGGGCAAGGTATAAATAATAAGATTATTGTTATGGAATAGGACATCCCTATTTTCCTTGGAGAAATGTTGGAGGGTATGTAACTAGGCTTTGGGAAAGCGGTGGGAGGTCTCTAGGACCCTGTCATCTTCCCAAAGCCCAGTGCCTCACCTGGCTTTGGCAAGGCAGCAATATGTGGGCTGGGGCTGGGGGGCCTCAAATGTTGCCAAGGGCTGTCAAAAAGGCCTCAAGGGCCACATGTGGCCCTGGGACCACATGTTGCACCATCCTGGTCCAGGCTAAAGAGTTGGCAGGGAAGTCAGAAAGCCCTAAAGCATGGGTAGGCAAAGTAAGGCCCGGGGGCCGGATCCGGCCCAATTGCCTTCTCAATCCAGCCTGCGGATGGTCCAGGAATCAGTGTGTTTTTACATGAGTAGAATGTGTCCTTCTACAGTCATACCATCAGATCATCTGAGTCATACAGGCTCAGATCATCAGCTTCTTATAGCAAAATTTAAGCTTAAACTGAAGAAAGTAGGAAAAACCACTGGGCCGGTAAGATACAATCTAAGTCAAATCCCTTATGAATACACAGTGGAAGTGAGGAACAGGTTTAAAGATTTAGATTTGGTGGACAGAGTGCCTGAAGAACTATGGATGGAGGCAGGGGCGCCGACATAAAAAATATTGGGGGGGCCCATGCTGGTCAAGGAAGGCTCCCCTCCTCCAAAGCAGACCTGATCCAGGCGGCTCCATAAAGCTCCTGGAGAGAGGCGGGGTGGGGGTGGGGGCGCGGAGAGACAATGCCAAAACTCAGGGGGCTCCTTGAGCCAATTGCCAGAGATGAGCCCCGCAGGGGGAGACAGGGTCCCCTATCGCCCACCCCAGCTGCCCTTCTTGTATCTACAGCCAGTTTGGCAGGGGGCGGTGGAAGGGTCTGGAAGGAGCGGGGACCACCGTGGAGCACACATACCGGGAGCTGGAGAGGCGAGGCCCAGCCGAGAAGGGGCAGCCCGGAAGGCGCAGCTTCACAGCCGAAGCTGTCCTCGGCTTGGGGAGCCGGAGAAGCTGTCGGGTCAGGGCCCTGGCGCAGGCCTAGCCGCTCCCGCGACGCCTCTTTGCTCCCGGGATCGGGGCCGCCAGCTCAGCGCTGGAGC